TGTGTGAGCGAGGGGAGGTTGGAATTGGCAATGTAAACGTAGAAACGGGTTTTGGGGGAACTCGCATCGAGTCACAGTCAGAAAGGAAATATAAATTGGTATGTGATATAAAGAATATAGTCGTCATTGTAATTAATTGTAATCGTAATTGTATATGTTTTCTTATTAATTATATAATTTACATTTGTCAAAATTGAGGAAGAACGAGGGAGAAGAGAACCATTTGGAAGCAAACCCTGAGGAGGAGGATGAGTCTTTGTTATTACAATATAATATTATTTACACACACACACACAACACGCAACATTACACAAACACGAATTCTAAACGTTTTTTGATAATTGTTAATATACAAAAACAAAAGGAAGAGCTTAAATGTATAACAAAAACTTAACTAAAACAATACACACTTAGGGGCGCGCGCATACCATTAATTTGTTGTCAGTTTTTAAAGTTTTGTGCCACACACAAAAAATGTGATAAAAAAAGTAAATTAAATTACAGACAACAACAATGGCACAAATCGACACAAAAAAAAAGAAACAAAAACTAAAAAAAAAGATTATTACGAATATATTAAATGGAGAAAAGTGTTAGACACAAAAAAACAAAATTCTTATCGGTCAGTATTCGCGAATTAGGTGAGGAAGGAAATGCTAAAATTGTAATTCGTTGTAAACTTTTGTGAAACAAATTCGATTGGTTATATATATATGCTTTGGATTCATACACTTATAATTATTATTATACATTATATATTTTAAAAATAATCGCTTTCTTGCGCTAGTCAGTTTATAGAGAGTTGTTTTTGCTTATCATTTCGGATAGAATATATCTATTTCACCATTTGTAAACGTTCGTTTTTCACATATAATCAATAATCTAATTTTTTTCTAAGGTTGTGGTTCTTATTTATATCTATAAACGAAAAGCATAATAATTTTAATTACTTTTCTAAGCGAAAACATTAAATTTTTGTTGTTGTTACAACAAGAGGAAAGCGATGGATTCATCTATTACCAAGCCTATTTTATAATTTATCAACAGCGCATGTGATGGACTCGAAATGTGAACCAAATATACAAAAGGAAGAAGGATACTTAGGGCAATCTAAGACAGAGTCCGAAATGTTGGCATAACTTTCGAGTCGAGTTATAGTTAAAATGTAAAGAGAAAGGCATGTGATAAATTTCAATATAATTTGATTAACAAACAAACAAACAAAACAATCTATCTACTAACACAAATTAATCCCTTAGAACACACCCAAGGTACAGAAACACAGGCGGAGAAAAGGGGTCAGAGGAAGGTCTCCTCGGAGAGAGGGTAGGGTGTGTGTATAGCCCATAAAAAAGTGAAATATTTTTCGAGAAATTGTACTAACACCCCACAGATAACAACTCTATTCTACTAATATGTATCCTTATTAATTAATTCTGTTAAATAAAAACAATATCAAAGAGTAAACACCCCAAAACACACACACAAAACACAAAATACACGCTAAAAAAAGTTGTAAACAAGGAGCTGTGAATGTTAAATTATATGTAAAGCAAAATATATATCTAAATATATATTAAATACGAAAACAAAACAAACATACATATAAAGGAATCGATGTGATTAATTGTGATTGAAATGAAATGAAACGAGGAGAGGTTTGGATCCTAGATCCTAGATCCTACAGAGAGGGCGAGGGTGGCAATAGGTTGGGTTTTGGTCAAGTGAAAGGCTTTCTTTTCAAACACACACGACACACAAAAACATAAACATAAACACATACATAATAGATACAAGAATATGCTTTAGGAAACTCTGATATGTTGTTTGCAACACTTTCTGTTTTTTTTAGTCATTTTTTTCCATTTTGTTCTAATTTTATTTCTGGATAGAAAACTAATAATACAAAAATGGGGAATTAAAAACATAGCACACACCATAAAGTCAAGTAAATAAAGTAGCTTTAAGTTAACAAAACAAAAGAGTAAGAGAACGGGAAAGTGAGAAATGATTGTTAATTGCTGTTAAAACGCACGCTTCACGAATAGTAAATAAATGTTGAATATGGAACGCAAAGCGCCGAGGAAATCTGAAGAAAATATCCACAAAATGCAGAAGAAATACAAATTCGATTCGAGTTGGAACACCTTTGTACTATAGCTAAACGATAATTATACAAAATAACAAAAGATTTATATACGAAAAAGGATGAAAAATCACATTGCTTTTTGCACTGCAATTTAGAAAATAACAAATTTAAAATAGAAATCAATCTAAATATACATATTTATGAAAAATGATAAATCTAACGAAACGAAACAAACGACGACATTCAAAATGCCAGTTAGACTATGAGAAAAGTGTGCTTAAAAACTTAAAACCAATTTCATTGAAACAAAAACGAAATGTTAGAACGAATTCAGAGTACATTTAATGATGATTGTGTAATATATACAGCCGAGAAAACGCCTTAAACAAAATTTGTAAAACTATATATTTTAAATGTTAAACGAGTAAAACGATTTAATTGTTATAAGTATAAACACAGGCAGAATCCAGAAAACCAACAAATAAAAACTAAATTTAAATATATATTGAAAAAAGAAAATGAAAATTAAAAACTTTCAAATGCATTTTGAAAACTTTCTTCTTTGCAGCAAAAAAATAAATAAAGAAAGCAGCTGTCACTCGTGGAATTAACATTTAAAACTTTAAACTAACATAATCTTTTCTCTTTTTCTAGGTGGACATGATATGGATATGAACTCAGTTCCGAAGGACTTAAGCCTAAACGACGAAGGACATCTTTGCGGAGACCCTCGCATCATGATAATGAATGATATTGTACTGAAAAAAATATATATACATATATGATAAAATTATATAATTTAATTTGCTGTATTGTTGTAGTTTTTGAAAATCACACCAACGAGTTACTCCAACACACACCAACACTGACATTTGTTACCCCGTTACCTATTTTTCGTTTTCCTGTATATATACCTATTTATTCTAAAGCTTTTGTTTAGATAAATGCTTGAGTGGCTTTTTGTATATGTGGTGCGTACATGTGTAACTCTCCTGGGAATATTGTGTCATCCAAACGTCATGTCCATCACTGCATCCCACCACCACCATCACCATCATCGTTCATAAAACCAAACATCATCGTTCCCAGCTGCTAACTCCAGAACCCAAAGAAACTCAACAACAACAACAACAAGACTCACCAATCACCAATCCAGCGCGACATTCACCATTCAGCGTCTATTGGGTAGAAGAAAGACACTAAGTTCTCGATATTATTTTTGATTTAACTTAATTTAATTTTAAATGTGCGCTCCGTTATCAATCCACTATTAATTTTGCCTTTGGTTTTGTTCTCCTTTTATTTTGTTTCGACACCGACACCGATACCGTCATCGACACCTCAATGCTGTGTGTGTGTGTACCCGTGTATATGTTGACCACCAGCAGACATCTACCCCATCCTGGGCAGCCTTCTGGGCGTGGACACATCCTCGACGAGCGCCAATCCCGGTGCCAGTGCCAACGCCGGCGACGAATTCTATGGCTATCATCTCAACAATAACAACAACAATAACAGCACAACCATAACCCAAGTGAACACCACCGCGTCCTCCAACCATGCCTCGGCACGCGGTGGCAATCCCAGTGGCGCGGGACTGTCGCGGGATACGTTTATGCAGTGTAAGCACTGCAATCGCTACTACAAGTCCCACCAGAAGCTGCAGGAGCACGTGCGGAAGTACTGCCTGAAGCAGAAGAAGTACAAGTGCGTGTCCTGCGAGTATCGCTCGCGGCGCAAGGATCATGTGCTGCGGCACGCGAAGCGCAAGCATTGCATGCTCTACGAGCAGTCGCGCGACGACGAGGAGAGCCTGTATGTGATACGCAACGAGGATGATCTGAGCAACGAGGAGGAGGACGGCGATCCGGATGACAACGATGCGGATGCGGATGCCGATGGCGGTGGCATGGACAGCGATGTGGCGGCGGCCCTCTGCGAGATCAATTTCGATTTTGCGGGACGGGATCTGACTATAACGGCGGTGCCGGCGCTGCAGGAGAGCGAGGAGGATGACGAGGACTACGATGACGATGGCTAGGCCCAAGATTCCGGGGGAGAAGCCACAAAGAGAGAGCAGCCGCTCGCAGAGGCGTAATGTGAAATGTTTACCAAATGAAAATATACAGACAATATACAGTTGCTTGTCCAAGTAGTAGCTACCTCCAAACATCCTTGCAACCTGCAACCTGCAGCCTGCGTCCCGCAACCAATAACCTATCGCAACCTACCGTACCCGTACCCGTACCCGTACCCCAACCCTTCTACCAACGTTGTGGCAGAGCTGGCCGCCCCACATTCCGTGCACCAATTTACTTAACAAACTCTAAGCCTCTTTTATACCTTTAATTTCTCTGAGCGCATTCCGTTTTTTACAACTCTTTTCTTTCCCGTCTTTATGTTTTGAGTTATGTCTAAGTTAGATGCAACCGGTCAAAGACCAATTTAATTATTTATACAAATACGTACAGACACAGATTCAGATTTATACTATATTTGTTGTTTAGTGGTTGGTGTTCTCTCAAAACTCAAATATTCTTGCCAGCAATCAAAGACTTAAAGCGCCATTAGTTTGCCACGTTTTTCAAACAAACAAAAACACACAAAAATACACCTACATACATATATATTCCTCAGTTATACATTTAATAATTCGATATACCTACATTTACCTACCTGTAATTATATAGTGTTCTTGGTGTTCTATATAGAAGCAAAGCGAAGCGAGAATTTGTGTACATTTTTCTATTCTATAACTTTGTAAATGCAAGAAGCGATTAAGAATAAAGGATACGAATCATATATATATACATACATATATATGCGTAAAAGCAAACAAAAACAAACAAAACCAAGTCCAAGTTTATAAATCCCATCACATCACCAAAAAAAAAAAAAAAAACAAATCCCCCCAAGACGGCCCCGCAGCTCACAAACACTCTTGTTTAAAATGCTTACAAGTAAATATTTTATATATTTTTGAGTTACTCATCCCAGCGGATGACTGACCAGAATCTCTCTCTTCTCTTTTCCCCGCCTTCTTGCAGATGGCTACTGGACAATCCTGGAAACGGTGCCCTACTCGATCGCCAGTGCAGTACCCACCACGGCCACTACGCTGAGCAACGGTGGCCATGGCAATAATGGATCGTCAGGACTGTTGACAAGTGCTACTGTGGTGGTCGAGCTGCCGCCCGATGATCTGGGCAATCCGGTAGGCAATATCCAGTACACTATACCGGCGCTCACAAAGAATGCCACAACAAACACAAACACCACCAGCTTGCTGCACAAGCCGCAGGCCACCACCATTCAGATTGTGAAGCAGCAGCAGCAGCAGCACCAGCATCCGCAGCAGCCTCATCGTCAACAGTTGACCATCCAGCATCCTCCGCGGCAGGAGTACATCAAGATAGACACCTCACGGCTGGAGGATAAGATGCTGCTGCGCGATGTAATGCAGTATGGAGCCACTAGCATTGCCATGGCGCCGCAGAGTGCCCACAGCACCACCACTTGTGTGGTGTCCAGCCACGAGTCCGGTCTGCTTCTGACCGATGCCGATGAGGCCGAACGGGAGCTGGAACTGGAGGCCATGAAGGGCAATGATCATCAGCAGATCGATGATGATGACGAAGACCATCATCATCTGCTCGACGACGAGGGCTATGTGGTGGAGAAAATACCCATCGATGAGGATCAGCCGGAGAAGTTGTATATAAACGGATTGTCGAGTGCAACGACGATGCACAGCAGCAGCAACAACAACGCGGCACACACCACCATGACACTGCATCAGCAGCAGGTGACCACCAGTGATTATCCGCTGGATGACTGCAAGTACGCGTGCAATGTGTGCGGCAAGACGTACAAGATCAAGGGATCGCTGAAGCGGCACAAGAACTACGAATGCGGCGTGGAGCCGAATCTCAAGTGTCCCCATTGTCCGCACAAGTGCAAGTACAAGTCGGATTTGCGCAAGCATATGAATCAGAAGCATGCCGATTCTGGGGACCCCCTGGTTCTGGGACATTAGGTCGATTGACATTAACTTAACCCTAAGATGGTAGTCTATATATATCTCTGTTTAGCAGTTGTTGTTGTGATGTATGTTCCATACCTTAGGTTTTACTCGGAAATCTCTGGAGATTTAAGAGCTCTCTTGATTAAAACCTTGACACCTTACTTCAGTCCATAGATTGTTATTATCTGCATAATTCCTTTGTATATATCTGGACCCTTATCCTTCTCAACGGTTTCTGAATCTCTGGAGATGACAGTAAACTGTTTGTAATATAGCCAAAGTTATGATCTCAATTGAATAATCATAGGTATACTAAGCCGTCATATGAAGTTCTAGTTGAATTGCTCAAACAGTAGACTCAAACCCAATTTCGAATCAGCTCAAGTCAAGTGTGTAAGTCTAAGTATTTTAAACTCCAAACATTATACAAGCCCTAGTGAACGTTTTAACCCCCAAAAAGTAATAATAATTAATAAATAAATAAATGTTTACAATCGAAACCAAGGCCAGTAATTATTGAGTTCGTTGCAAAAGTCCCGATATAAAACAAAATCACTAACATGATTCTCTTTTCTCTAGGACGACGAATCCGAGGAACCGGAAGGAACTAACGTTGGAGGAGATGATGCCGGACTGGACCAGCCAAGAAAGGTCTATAAATTTAACTTGACTCTCTCTCTCTCTCTCGCTTAGCATAAGTAGTCCAATCAATCATATATCAGCCAATAAAAATGTCAAACTGAAACGAATTTGTTGTATTCATCGTCACCCACGAGATCACCTCAATACCTAGCCCCTCTCCCTGTAATCCGTGTGTGACTAGAGCTATAGAGCCCGTGTCTGTGACTGTGACTGTGACTGTGTTTTGGAAGCTAGCCTAAATCCAACCGCATTCCGTTTCTGTTTCTTCTCTCCCCGCCTGTCCAGCAGATTTCGTGCGTCACGGCCCCAAGAACCAGCTGCTGTGCCAATGTGGACGCTACTACAACACCCTGAGCCGCCTGATGCTGCACCAGCGGGAGGAGTGCCAGGACTTTAAGCGCTTTCAATGCGACTTCTGCCTCAAGTGGTTCAAGCGGCGATCCCATCTCAATCGCCACAAAAAGCTGCACGACGCGGAGCTCTTTCTGGAGCCGGTGCACCAGAGCAAGCAAAGGCCGAGGGCTAAGGCCAAAGGCGGTGCCAATACCAATGCCAAGACCAACGAAGAGGACGATGATGGCCTGGACACCGAAGCACCAGCCATTGATCTAGATCCGGATATTTTGTATACATCTGAAATCAAAGTGGAGACAGAAGAGGAGGAGTTCATTTAAGTTTCTGTTACCCGAATATTATTATTATTATTATACCAATACACTAGACCAGTTCTCGTTGATGCCAAAAAAAGAGCCGAAAAAATACTGAAGTTTTGTAAATAAATAGAAGAGGATAACAAGAGAAAGTCTTATCCTGTCGAAATCCAAGTCTTACCTTTTTACTCAAAATATTACCATTTATTTTTATTCATTTTCTTCATCTATTTTAAATTTGTAAATATGTATGAATGCGTCTGAATGTGCACTGTGCCGAATATTTATTTGTTTATTTATTTTTTTTTTACTCCGTTTTTATGATTTGTATTTTTATTTTGATTTCCGTTGGTCTATTCTGTCGTTGCAGGGCACAGCGTTATGGATCTAAAGTACAACCTCCGCACCCATGAGCCCAGCCAGGACTATCCCAGCGGTTCCAAGCCGAAGGTAAACGTAATTGGAGTTGGACTCAGACAGGATCGCAAGTCTGGAAATCCCCCAACACCTGAAGCACCTGCCGCCGTGGAGCAGAAAAGCGAGAACGAGGAGCCATTGGATAACTCCAGCGATACCAGCCTCAAGAAGACCCTGGCCAGCTCGGACGCCATGATAGCCCTGCAGCAGCTGGCCTCCATATCGACGGCGCGGTCATTGCAGCATCTCGTGCAGAATATGAGCAACATTGACACCAGCAGCCTGGTTCCGGGCAGGAAGCATACGCGTCAAGCGCTTGCCAAGCGCTCGCCCACCTATGAGTCCAACCGGTGTCCACTGTGCTCCCGCACCTATCGCTCTCAGGCCTCCCTCAACGAGCACATGCGTAAGGAGCACTCGGTGCTCATCTAGTTAAGCCTTCGTCCTGGATTCCAAACCCACACACCCTTCGAGATGGTCTTAATTTCATCTATCATGACTACTTGATGATACATTGAGTTGAAAATACAGTAGATATTCGCATCAAAACAAGTATTTCCTATTAAATATTGAGTGTAATTGTGCTAAATTCAAACAGAAACACAGCTAAAATAATGATATCAGTCATTTTTACCAAATTTTGAAATGAAGACCAAAAAATATATATAGAATTTTTGTTCTATAATTCACTAATCAACACTTTTCTAAGAACGTACCTACAATTAAGTTGGTATAATGGCCAAGATATAAAGTACTCGCCTAATGGTTAAGATTTGTCTGCTTTGTCAAGCATTTATTGGTCTTTGAGTATAAATAATTAACTAGGTTATTATATAGAAGAGGTTAGCCGGATTTAAATTGTCCCAATTGATTAAACAAGGTCCAATTTAAGACTTTTTATACTTATTGCTAATAAACAAACAAAATAAATAAATCTTATAATATGGTACTTTGTGGTAACATGTACTTGAAATTGTTGTTCAATCTAATTTAGTTTATTTTTTTTTTAATTATTGTACGTTTTCATTTGAGCTAAGGTTGGTAGCCTTGTTAAGTTATTCAATTTTTTACTACATTTTTGTTTCATGCTTTATTTCAGTTTTCTTATTTAAAGTTATCTGCGAACAACTATTTATGTTTCTTAAGGTTAGTATATTATTTTTGGTATTTAAAATATTTTTATTTTATTAAATATTTCGTTTTTCGTTTCTTTTTTATATTTTCAGTTAATCTGTTAATTGGCCAAAGTGTTTCAGACAAAAGGATGCTTATGACCAGGCAAGTACAACAAATCTTTTCATTTTTTTCCCCTTTACAAATGGCATTTGGACTCAGATTTCCTGAGAGAGATACAGGATTGTTGCTAATCCTTTAACCAAACAGGTTTTCGGATAACAATAGCACTGGTTGTCCTTGAATTTGGCATGGCAGTGCGAAAAGGAAACCACAAACTAACTGTACTCTATAGAGAGATACAAACCCAGAGAGAGAGAGAGAGAGAGAGACTTGTATCCCTCGGATACCTTACAGAGCTCTAGCTTCTCTTTCGCCCACACACACTAAAATGCATTTGAAAAACATTTGCGCACACATAAATCAGGATATCTGTTTGTGTATTTTGAGTTTTTCTAAAAATAAGTTCGACCCGCGTCCGTCTGCCTGCCTGCCTGCTTTGTATCTCTAAGCCTGGGCTGTGTGTATCTGTATCTGAGTATCTGAGTATCTGAGTGCGGCTTTCGCAGTCGGGCGGGCTTCCCACGTGATTTTCCTCGATTTTCTCGAATTCCCTATTTAGCCTGCCCCATTATCCCTATCGGTGTCTCCTTTTGGGCTTTACCTTCGCAAAGCCAGGATACACACAAGTTTCAAGGGCTGGTTTCGAAGCTATTTGTGTGGGTAAATTCCCGGAAAATCGTCGGCAGAGGACCTTGATGCATCAGATAGTAAATGTGCGTCTGGCTGTGTTTACAGATATTTCCAGAAAGGAAACGCATTCGAAGCTGACGACGGCTCTGGGACATACCTAAGCTGGCACAGTCGTCCTGGGGAGTTACAGAAAATTCTGGAAAATTATATATGTATGGATTTAATGACCCATTTCCTAGTCGTATAATACTGAAGATTTTGGAACTTTAACCTTTAATTATTAGATAGTAAATTAATTGACTAAATATTTAAGAGAGCGCGTGATCTTATTTCCCAATTTATAAGAGAGCGAACGATTTGCAGAGGGTCCAATTGAGACTTTTCTTTGATTTTGTTACGATCGAATCCTTGGGTATCCTTTAGGTAAAGCGAGAACTTAGCAAGCTCTGCTTACTAGTTTGGAGTTTTAGACCATTTACCTAAAATACAGATCAATTTAAAATCCTAAACATTCCACAAAAATAATACAATACATGGAAGAAAACTAACTTTGTGAAACCTAAGTTAATATACCTTTGCAGTTTGCAATTGAATTATTATTTCATATCTGTCGGAGAGGGCTTAAACGACTCTGCTGTTTATGCTGATCAAGAACATATATTATTTATAGGATCGGAAATAACTCCTTCACAGTGTTACAAGCTTCTGATTAAAATTATAATACCCTGCAAGAGTAGCCAAGTTTCAAATATTTTGGCATACTCTACTTCCTGACTTTGGACGTTGAAAATAAAGAACTGAAGTTAAAATCTTATAGTAAATAAATAAATTAATAACTTTATGACTCACAAAACTTTACCTAAAATAATTGTATAGTTTCCCTAGTTCTTAAATTAAATTAAAGTCCTTAAATCAGGTGGCTTACTTAAATAAATAAATTAAAATCCTTAAATCTGGCGGCTATATTTATATTATATTAAGAGACTATTAACTTCGGCTTAATAATTTTTTTATAACAGTCAAAACCTGAACTTTACTCAGGAAATTTAAAATGAAATCAGAAGTACTTTAAAATAATAAATAGCTCTTCATCAAAATTTCAAGAGAATGTGATTAGATTTAGACTCCCTTAACTTTTCCACTGCTGACCTTCAAAATATAGCAACATGTACTATTTGGAACAGATGCACTAGATGAAGGAATAGGAAAAATAAACAGGGAAAACACCACCGGAAGCTGGCTGAAGAGTATTTCTGTTTAAAATGCTTTGAAAATGCATCTAGTTTTCTCTCCACATACACACATATACTCTCGCTCAAGCGAGCTGCCTCTCAGAGAAAGTTTTCCCCAGTTGCAGTTTTCCACAAATAGAAAGAGAGGGCAGGACCAATAACAATAACAACAACTGTTGAGTTAGGTAGAAAAACCCAAAAATAAATCAAGGATCGGATCGGATCCTAACCGAAAAGCAGGCAAAACTGCACTTGCTGTGCAACAGATACACAGCGCACAGGCACACAGATACTCACCCATACAGTCATATCGGGAAACAGGCGACGCAGCTGCGCCTGCGTTTAGGGATTTAGGACTCTCGGCTTCGTGCTTCGGGGAAAATAGAAAATTTGTAAGCTAGAGCCAGCGCCGACAGTGCATTTTCGATTGTGTTGCCGAGCGGACGCTTTTCCTTTCGCGTGGGCGGAGTGCTAATTAAGCTGGAATTAAGCTTGGAAAAGCGTGAAATATTTAAATAAAATATATAAAATTAGCAAAAAGCTCTTCGCCCACAGCTTAAGCAGAAGAGATAAAGCCAAGCAACCTTGCACTCTATTAAAAGTAATCTAAATAGTGACAAATAACTAATTAAAATTCTGGTTTATTTTTCAGGTTACCAAGGATCCTTCAGTGCTTAAATAGTGATGCAATCTTAAATAATTCCAGCACTTAGCTAACCTATTCTTCTCTGTTTTCCAGATGCTTCGACAGGTAATGAGTTGCATTTTAAAATGGTTTTGGTTCATAAAAAAAAACTCACTCATTACATATAAAACCACCAACACACCATTATCATCATCATCACCACCATTATCATCATCAGCAACATCATTCAACACACAAAAAAATACAATGTTTTCATTTGCCGCTGCTATAAAAGTTTATTTTATTTATGCCGAAATTATGTGATTACCAAAATTAATAAAACTTATAATAACGTGTACTTTTTATTTGTTTAAATTCATAAAAAAAGAAAAGACAAAAAACGAAACTGATCTGTGTTTTCCTTAATTATTTATTTGTATTTGTAGTGTTACCTGTAGTTTAATGCATGCTTCTTCATATAACTTTTTATTATTATTGTTTTTGTCTGCTTAATCCCAGCTAGCCAGGAGTTTTAACTTGCTTTTTCATTTGTGTTACTGCAGCAGCTCATCCAAAGCTTATATCAAAGGACCAATTCGGTGAAGAAAAATACAAAAAACTAATCCATATCTATGCTTCCGTTAACAGACTTGAGCAGGAAGGAGAACACGGCTCCGGATGTGGTGGCCGCCACTCAGCTCCATCGCTCCATTCAGCACAGCCTTCTTCAAAGCAAGCTACAAGAAGTACAGCGCAGCCATGTGGCAGGATCACGCCGCAAGCGCCTCTCCGTTTCGGAGGTGTCCGACATGCTCTTCGAGTTCTACAAGACCAAGTCCGCCAAGGTGCCCAAGCAGCAGCAACACCAGCCAATGGACCGTCAAGTGTCTCCCACCTCCGGCGAGATATTGGAGCCGTCGACCATTGCTGCCATCGCCGTGTACGGCTCGGCCTCCGAGACGGCCTCAAAAAACTTGAATGCTGATGAAATGACGCGCGCACAGAACACCACCCAAACGGTGGGCGCTGCCGCTGGCGCTGTCGCCTCATTTCATCCACGGCCTAATTACACCCTGAAGACAGCGGCGTCGACACCCATGGTGAAGGCTATACCCACCTCGGTGCTGGTGGCCAATAGCTCGGTGGTGCCTCCCCCGGTTGTTCCGTCGGTGGTTCCCAGCCCAAAGCCTCAGGCAGCCGTCATTGCGGAGGCTCTGATGCGAAACGGCCTACACAGCTTCCAGCAGCAGCTGCGTGCCCAGGAGATCCTTCGCCAGCAGACTCCGCATCGTCGCGTTAAGGAGGAGAACGATCCGTCAAAGATGGGCGAAATCACGCCCACCAAAATATTGGAAAACCTCTTGCGAAAGCAGCAAGAGCGTGACTTCCGCCATTCGGAGTGCGAGAACGAGCCGGGATCCTCGACTGAGGACGAAGAAGAAGGACGCTTTCATGCCTTTGACGATATCCACCTCATGGAGCAGGGTGGCGCCGGTCACAAGTTTGGTAACAACACTATAAGCTTCTTTAATGCCAACACTCATGGAGGCTCGACGAGCTCCATTCTCGACGCCCAGACCCAGGCCTTCCGCAATCTGGAATTTACACTTAGCGACTATGGCGGCAGCAGCAGCAACGGTAGCACCACCAGCCCCAATGGCATCGGTCTGGACGGAGAGCCGGTGTACGAGTGCCGCCACTGCGGTAAGAAGTATCGCTGGAAGTCCACGTTGCGCCGTCACGAGAACGTCGAGTGCGGTGGCAAGGAGCCGTCCCATCAGTGTCCCTACTGCCCGTACAAGTCCAAGCAGCGGGGCAACCTCGGCGTCCATGTCCGCAAGCACCACACCGATCTGCCCCAGCTGCCCAGCAAGCGACGCTCCAAATACTCCATGAAGGGCGAGAATGGAATGAGTGGTGGATCCTTGTCGGACGACTCGCAGGGCAAGCTGATCATCGACTGCAAAAATGAGGGCAAGCTATTTATCGACTGCAATAGTGAGGGCACCTGAAAGGCTCCAGTTCCGACTCTGAATTCGATACCAAATAATATTACTGACTATATATGTTTGTGGGGACCGAGTGAAGCTTCCAATTAATTATAGATTTTATTCGGGAGGAGGAGAGACAGCGAGCCATGTTCGTCGATTTGTTGTGTGTCATCTGATTTATATCAACTTGCTAGCATATTATTTCTTGTCATTCATCATGTGTCATCCCAAATATTTAATGTTTACTTTGTATTAACTTATGTAGCATCTAAGCAATTGTAAACCAATCTAATCAAAGCAAATAATCAAATTAGTCTTAAGAAATCGCATCCCATATTTCGAACGAAGCGTATATCTCAAACGAAAAACGCTCTCTACCCCGATTATTATGATATTATATGATTGACGATTGATTACACAATTATTTACACAATTTTATATACTTAAGAGCTTATGTGCCGCACTCAAATATTATTTTTTAGGCCATATATTATTGATTAAGAGATTAAACGCAATACGCTGCTGTCCAGAAATCAAAAAGTATTCTCTTAGGGCTTGCCATGCGCACATTTCCAGAAAAAACATATTCTTTGGCATCTTGCCCAAAAACTTTTGCATTTAACCCTACTCGATCTCTTAACTGGACATGATCCCAGCTTGGTTAATAATGCCATTTGTACTGATTGAACTCTACGACTGAATAAGAGACACTTTGGATATTATTTGGACTATCCGAGCCCTTACCCTAAAGACATTCGCTTCATATATTTATGGACTTTTAAGACTGAGATTTGTATCTTAAAAATTGTATACCTACAAAACCAAAAAACACAAAAAAAAAAAAAAAAACAAAAGACTTTGGAACACCACAAATACGATTCCCAAACCAAAAACCAAACATATTTTATCCTCAAATGTTTTTAACTGATATATATTAATGTTTTGTATTTTAACTATAAGCCTTTGTGCCGCCATTTCGAGTCGCTTAAGACTTGTATCGATTATGATTGTAATTTCCAACTGCAAACACAAGACACGATTACGAACTGTAGGGCAGTGTGACTGCTGCTAGAACTAAGACATGCTTTTATAATGAACTTTTCATACATCAATGTTTACATACATTTTAAATAAAACAAAACACATCACAATACTTTGTATCTTTTATAAATAAACGTGTATACTTTTTATTATTATTTTTAGGCGCAAGAGACTTTGTACTATGAGTGTGAGTCGGACTGCGTTAACAAATACTTTTGAAATTTGATTCTGATAACAGGAGATTGCAATATGACTGTGCGGAGTGATGATTACATAACATTAAAAAGCTATCAAACACCGTAAAAGAATTTTGTAAGAAAATGCAGCTTCGCGGAATTAGTTTCTCTGTTCCCCTGATGGCTGTTGTCTATCTGCACAAGTATGGTCCTTTTAGTAACTGCCCGAATTTAGTAGCTTAGTAGGAGCAGCCAATGGCCACAGTCAGAAAGTCCTCAAAGCCAATGGTGATGGTGCCATTCTGCTGAGTATCGCGCTGCCTGAAGGCCTCCGTGAAACGCTGTACTTGCACGCAAAGCACTATAAACTGGTCCACCGACACCTCCTTGTGGGTCTGCGGATCGCTCTTCTTCACCAGGAAGTTGATGAACTCGGGCGAGAAACGGAAGCCCATTTGAGTGAAGGCTATGGGAATATATTTAAGAATTAATTGAGTCATCTTTGTAAAATTCAATAAACTACTGGCTTAAACACTAAAAGTAAATCCTAGCTTTATAATAAAAAAAATTATTTAAAGGTTAAAAAGATGAGGTGTAAACAACTTTTATAATTTGAGGGCACTCTGTACCAATTCGTAGCACTGTGATTCATGTATTGTTTATACACAAATTTGTTGATAACAGTGAGTCAGATAATTGTTTTCACTATAAAAACTAGATGAGTGTTATAATTTAGACCTGATATCTGCCATGTTAGATTACGATTTTGTTAGGATAAACCATTTTTATAGGTAGTATACAATTTAAAGTTTATATGATTGCTTAATCATACAACTGCTTACGATAGATTTAAAGATTTTTTAAGATTTTCGTAAAGATGTATTGAGAACTATTAGCGTGAATGACCAAATTGCTAGAGTATACAAACTTCGGATTGCCCTAGTGAGCTACATATATTGCTACGTTTTATTGATTTAATTTAATTAACTTAATATACAAGTGAATCGTTTTAATTTCTTGGCACATGAAGTTGAAGTTTATGTACATGCTTTAAACGAACCATTAAAGATTGCAATTGGATCATGGTACTAAATTTAAAAAGGATCATAATTAAAACAAAATGCATTAGGTTTAATTAGAAAAGCTGTTGTTACTGATAAAGAATATAAAACGAGAACGGCTCTTTTACAACGTAGCAAACTTTTGGCCGAAATGATAACACCTTGCAAGGTCATAAAGATAGGTTTGATCATGATCTATGATGAATAAATAGTTTAATAGAAATATAGTTTTTTAATTTAATTTTCTATACAGTTTAATCAGTTTGCGCTAAGAAGTCTGGTTAATGAATATGAGGTAAAACATACCCTGGGTCAGCTCATGCTCCTCGATGTGACCGGAGGCGTCCTGATCGTAGGTCTTGAAGACCTGTAGCCACTGGTTAATATAGTTGTAGAGCTTCTCGAACTCATAAACGTCGATGGTGCCACTGGCGTCGTTGTCGAACATGCCTGTTTGGAGCAGAATCAAAAGTAGCGATAAAATCAGCATAAATCTCAGAGTAAACAAAAGAGATAGTATAGTGTCTGGCGGCGCCCCAAGGTGATCTAAACAAATATGTACGTGTCCGTCTGAGCTGTCCAAAAACTGGGGGGCGGCAAGGCAAATAAGTTTTTATGTACTCAGGCGGAAGACAAGAAGTCCCTGCCCTTTGACGTCACTGCTTCTGCTGGGGGAGCACCTATGGGTATTTCAATAAGACGTGCTTACTTATCATCAGCTTGCAGGCGTTGTCCGAGAAGTGGTCGCCACGCCCATTGACCAGGGCAGCCTGCAGCTCGGATGCATTGATCTTGCCAGATCGATCGCGATCCACCATTGCGAACCATTGATGCGCCTGTGGCGAGACCTGAGCATTCTGCGGCGGAAATGCTCCGGGGGGAGCTGCATAGCCGGCACCGGGCTGAGCATAGGGGTTGTAACCTTGACCCTGTGGAAGGAAAAGTGTTAATCCTGACATTTATAATACTTTCTGGTTTTTAAACACCCACATAAGACATTTTTGTCACGAGCTGGAATTAACTTTAATTAAACACAAAACAATAGAGCAGCAAGAATATCGATGTTACTATCGATGTAAATGGTTTTAGTATCGATACTACCAATATTTAAAAACTATAAGCATACAATTTTAAAGGCAGGTAAATGCATATGAGCTTTTCATTCTTAAAAGCTGTCATTGCTACGGTGATAACTTTGACAAATTCCACAAAAATGTTTAAAATCAACAGAACTATGCCGACCATAAAGAAGCCTTTAAAAACTTGTCTGAACTTTATTAGAATGTGGTTTGAAACTTTGCTGAACATTGACATAGTCAAGTTAAAGACGTTACACAACACTAATTATCGGAAGTCCAACTACCAAGAGTGACATCGATATCGATATCTAAAAACCGGCATAAACAAGGAAAGCAACTTAAAAGGCAAAAATGGCAAATTTTGTGAATATGGACATTTTCTCGAACTATCAGAAGTATATAGACAATGAGCAGGAGTTGCGAGAGGTAGGATATACCCTAAATAACCGCAACAGTCTGTAAAACCTCAAACTTTCAGAACATTCGCATCGTGGTGCGCGAGATTGAGCAGCTGGCAAAGGAAGCGCAAATTAAGCTGCAGATAATTCACAGCGATTTAAGCCAGAGTGAGTTATATTTACGAGTTGTCAGTTAGTCACTTGACTTATTATGTGGGCTTGCCTAAATTTATAGTTAGTGGAGCTTGTGGCTTGGCCCGCAAGCAGATCGAAGCCTGCTCCGAGAAGTACCAGAAATTGGCCGGCTTGGTGCCACCAGGGCAGTACTACAGGTGAGTCAGTGCGAAATATCCATGGTAGGCGTCTAATGATCCACTTTCTACAGATACTCTGATCACTGGACTTACATTACTCAGCGACTGATCTTTCTCATTGCCTTGGTCATATACCTGGAGGCGGGCTTCCTGGTAACGCGCGAAACTGTGGCTGAAATGTTGGGCTGTGAGTGGCAACAGCCTCCGTTTTAGATAAATTAAGTAAATGAATATTTATTACAATTGCAGTGAAAACCAATCAGGCCGACGGTTTCCACTTGGATGTTGAAGACTATCTACTGGGAATCCTGCAGTTGGCTTCGGAGCTCTCGCGCTTTGCCACCAACTCCGTGACCATGGGCGACTACGAGCGTCCTCTAAACATCTCGCACTTCATTGGGGACCTGAACACAGGCTTCCGCCTATTGAACCTCAAAAACGATGGCCTGCGCAAGCGCTTCGATGCTCTGAAGTATGATGTGAAGAAGATCGAGGAGGTTGTCTACGATGTCAGCATACGCGGTCTGTCTAACAAGGAGAAGGAGCAGCAGCCAGAGGAGTAGGCTACTCCCAAGCTAGAATAGAGCTACGAATCAGTTTACTTAAGACCTTAGTTACGATGTAAGAAGCAAATATTCCATTTGAAGTAGCCTTTTATATATTTCGTAAATATATTTCTCAGTCGATCAAGCGAAACAAATGTATTTGGTTTTAACACGCTGTTTGACTTGATTATGAAATTCGACATGCACTGGCAAGTTTGATTGTTTTCTTTAGCTATGTTAACTGGAACACAATTAAGAATGTACACAATTTTGCATACTGATCTAAGTTAATTATGTATGCTAAAGTTCAAGTTTGCACGAGAATAGTACCTTTTAATTAAATCGAAATTTACTATCCGTTTCAACAGTTACTTAAAAAGGCTCATAAAGCCTGGGAAAAAATGCTTAACTTTGCTTTAACTTTTTGTGATGATTTGTTATATTATATTGTTTAGCTACTGAGAGTACGAAAAAATGAAAGTGAAGTGTTAAATTTATTGTTTGTCGTTTCACGCATTCCACATTAACCTCCGGAGCTAATTGCACATTTTTTTGTTTGTTAATTATTCTGTTAACGTTTTTTCTTTCGCTTTGAGTTAAAAGGATTTTGAGGAAGCTAAACTAAAGCTTTTACTTCTTTTCTAAAGTTTAAAAAACACTTTTGATGGAAAACTAGTTGCATTTGTGTTGGGTTGTCTGGGTGAACGTTTCTGCTGTAACCACCACCACTGTTGTAGCTCCGATCATATGGTGGAACATTCGCGCTTGTTGCTGCTCTCTTGGCTGCATCTCCGTCCTCGTCGCAGTCGCCGCCGTCCACTTTAGCTTATGTTTTCGTTTCACTTCTCAGTCTCTCTTTTACCACCGGAAAGCTTACAACATTGCGCGCGTCTTTGCTTCTCACCGTTTTCGCTGCTGTCGTCGTCGTCCGTTGTACCTTCATTTTGTGTTATTGTTGTTTTCTTTGTGCGCCTTTTTCGTTTCGTTTAGCCTGTTTTGCATTTTTGGATTAAGGAGCTATTGCGTTTAGCAAGGATTGCATTTCATTGCTGGAAAGTAAGTAGTTTCCGATTACTGACGAGTTTTATTTATAATTTTCCGGGAAAACTAATGCTTCCGTTGCCCCAACGACCTACTCTCACTAGAGCACAACGCCGTCCCGCCCACTGTTTCCTTCCCCCAAAAGATAACCTGTTCGGCAATAATTGGGTCACAAATCTTGTAAAAAGAAACAAACTAGTTACCCGAAATAGGCACTAAAAACTTATAGCAAAGTATTTATTACAACACCCGTCCTTGTTGTTGTTTGTTTGTTTTAATTTTTTTGGTGCCAGCAAATAGTTGTAGTTTTCATGTGTGTTTTCAAAACACGCTTTAATCGAAGCGGTTCAAAGTCCGAGTCGCGTTTTCTGAGCGGCTTAACGGGGCTCTCTCCCTATCGCTTTGCTCTCTTCTGCTCAGCCAGAGTGGGCGGAGGAGAAGGTGGAGAAGCAGAGCAAAAGCTGAGAGAGAGCAGAGCTGAGAGCTTTGCTAGATGGTAAACATCTGTAAAACAAACACACCCACACACACATGCAGGCAGGTGCAGGTCTGTCACTCTCTCTATATCTCTCTCGTTCCCTTTCTGGCCTACGTGTCTGCCACTCAAAAGAAAATGCCAAAGAAAAGCTTAATCTGACCCAGCAACAACAACCACAAAGGACACATACACACACATAGGCCCAGAATCCCAAAAACGCTAATTGATATGGAAAACAACGAAACTATTAGGTATTGACCTCCTCCATTGAGAGTTTTGTTTGTTTTCATACCCAGTAATCGTGCAGTTAACGGGTATACTAAATGTGTTCAAGCGATTTGTAACAAGCGTGCAAGAAGCGATTAAATGCATTTAAAAACAATTTTTGAAAACGTGAAAATGGCATGCGAGCGACACTTTCTTAGTTTTAAGGTAAAAATCTTATCTAATCTAGAGAAGTATTTTATTGATATTTCTCATTAATATCACATTAATACCCATCTTTAGTCTCAAAGAAAATAAATATTTACTGTTTTAAAATAAATTATATAAATTTCACTGAATTGAGGCTTCCCTAAACATAAAACAGTTCGATTTAGACAATACATTTTCGATCAATATTGTGATCACTATTAAGCCCGGTGTCCCCTGTGCCTATTAAACTATTGATCACATTTTGTCGTGTCACAATAATATCTTCTGTTTAGCGAAGTACTTTCCCAGTATCTTAAACTCAAGTATTACTTTTCCATAGAGTGCTGTTTATTTTTGTTTTTCGGTTTCTTATCAATATATTTATGACAAATAAATAATATTTTTACTTAACATTGATGTGAAAGGTACTTCTGTGAGACTCAAGATTAGTAGGATAATAAGATAGTGTATTTCTAAGATTATACATATTTTTTTTAGCAAAATAAACTAAATTTTTAAGTTTACCTATCTTATAATATAAACACTACTTTATATTTAATCAAATTTAACTTACAGATTTTTAATTCAATTAATGTCAATTCCGTTCAAATATAGGTAATAATTCAGTCAGCTGGATCGCTACAAAGTTGTAGTTTCGTAAACCAGACAGTGTAGAAACCGGGTATTTCACAGTCGAGTATCTTTCAGGTAGCTCTCGCGTTTTTATTAACTTTGTTTTGCTGCTGCAGCAGCTGTGAATGATCTGCGACGGGGTCGTCGCGGCACAACTGGTTCCCAGCGCCTAAATATCACTTCTCCTTTCGTCTCGCCCTCGTTAGACATGCGTCGCTACCTCTGGCGCTGCCGCTGCCGCTGCCACTGTCGCTGCCTTGGTCGGTATTTCAAGTTTGCTGCGGTCCAAAGTCCAACGTGGAGATACAGATACACCCGATACGAGCGCTCCCGGCATATTGCGCTGGCATTCAAACCCCTAATGAGCCCCCAAATTCGGTCAGACTTTCTTCGGGAGAACCAAGATCTCTGGTGCGCGATAAGCAAGGTGTTATTTTCGCCAGGTAGACACTTTCAAAGCGTCACCGATTGCACTAGGTTATTCTGGCAGAGGGACTCACTCGTCTCTTATCGCTGCCGCGTGCTCCAGTCGCTATCGGTTCAATTTCGCCGAAATTGCGTACTACTTACTAGAGTTCTCACAGGCCCCCCGCCGCCACAGCGATAGATATTGGACTTTCAACTATAAATAGTGAGCGATAAGCACACTCTCAATTGTTACTTATCTGAGCATTTTCATTGGTCAGTTCTCTGGTTATAAAATCAAATCTTTTAAGACTTGTTTTTCAGCTCCGTTTATCATGTGTGGCAAACAAATAAACAGGCTTTTTAACTAACTAGTGTAACTTCGATAAGAGGCGATGTGGAGAGCCGATCTTGACTTTAAAGAACCTTGCATAAAGCGTACTAAAGTATACACTAGAAGCAATCTGCATAAAGACCAAAGTCCTTTTTGCCGAATTTAAAGTTCATTCATGTTCTTATCTTTTTATGATACCGCATTTTGATGTTACGTGAGCGACACGGCTATAATCTCTACTATATTTCATTTATACTATTTTTATAGCCGAGCGAACGATATATCGGATAAGCACATGGTATCATGGTTTTGGGAAGCTCAAAGAAATGAGTATTCGGGGGGATTTCCTATTCCTAATTGTTATTAATCAGGTTTCTTGCAGGTAATTCAGCTAACAAAGTCCATTCATATTTAATTTTAGATTTAACCAGGTGGACTTATTAGCTTGCAAAGACCTTTTACTATTAAAAAGGTAATTTTGTGTTTACACTGCAAATAGTACTATACAAAGGATAGATATAAAATGAATAAATAAACTTTTAAAGACATTAGTTAAGAAGTACTTGTTTATTTGTTTATTCATGATTTTCTTGTGTAACTATTAGGAAATGGTGCTATTGACACAGTGATTACAGACTCAGTAGTTACCAAGAAATCCGGCTAGACAAGTTCGAAAGCACTTTTTCAAGAGGTGAATGAAAAGCCTAAACTCTTCACCTGGGAAGTACATCCATCCAACTATGTAGTATACGATTATGAGTATATATTGGCCCAATCGGATATCAATTTCGCCAGCGAAATGCCAGTTTATGATAAGGCTCTATCGATCTGAGACGGACTGAGGCAGAGGCGGCGACAGGGGCGAATATCGCCGGTCAACACACTCCACACGATGTGCACCCCTTCCACTTGTGCGGACTCTCGCAGCAACGAGCCCCTCGACTCGTGACGCACCCACTCACTGGCCACCAGTCCGACCCTCACCCATACAAGAAAAGCACATCGACGGCGTCTCTGCGGCGCTCCGTGTGCTCCGAGTGCTTTTAAGACCCAAGTGAGCTCGTTCCGCTCACAGTCGATTCAGTCAACGCTCGGCGTTCAACCGATCAAGTCGCCTATAAAACAGGGGATCCCGACAAATCCCTCAGAAGCTATATTCCCGTTCGTGTGTGCATCTCGCCTAGGATTTCGAAATTGTCATCGGAAAAAGGCAAAGTTTATAAATACCACCGCCACACACAGCGAAGTGCAATTAATTCTCAGCGTCGTTCTCGAGAAAATCGTTAAACGAATTAAAATTTATTCGCTGTGAAGAAGGTTTGTTTGTGTTTTACCTCGTTTTTGCTTTTCCACCTCCGCTGAAGGTCGGAAAAGCGTAAACAACAATTGATTGACTGGGAAAAGGTTGCATTTTAGCGGCTTATGGCGCTGCCCTGATCTTTCCCTTCTTCCCGTTTTTATCTCTCTGACGCTGTGTTTGTGACCTAGATTCTGGCACATGTTTTTTGATAGTTTAAAATTGTACATACATATGTATGTATTATTTGCCGAGATAGCTGCCGCTGTCGCTGTTATCAGTTGCGCGGCACAGGGGAATTTTTTTAGTTGTTACATAAAACCGGCGTTCCCGCCCCCTCTCACAAATAAACGCAAGGTCAGGGGGGCCGCTGCACGAGTATCTAGAAACACATCAATTTAGATTTTCTGCAATATAATTAACAACGCTCGAGTAGGAAGAGATCACACGGCCAATGGTCGACCGACGACAGTGGAAAAAATAATTCGTGGACTTTGCACCAGTCGTGCTCAGCGGAAAAAAAGATCTTGTAGAAAAAAAGGCAACAAATCGCGCATATATTTGCTATTTCTTGTTTTTTTTTGTCGTTTTCCTATGCTGCCAGTAGTGAGTGAGTGAGGTTATTGTAGTATATAGTTATTGTTGCTTCTTCTCTCGCTGATACGCAAACAAATAAAATAATAATAAATGCCGGCAGTGGCGGTGTGTGTTCGGTGCTCAAATTATTAAGCATACGCCGCATAGTCGTCGCCTCGAACTGGGTCAAACGAAAATGAAAACGAATTTGTATCGTATCTTTTCGTTGTGGCTATTTCGAGTTGGAGCTTGTGACGGTCTTACTGGTTTATTGATATGCATGGACAATAGAAGGTATATTCGAGCCGATGCACTGACCTTCGCCAAGGTGTCTGTCTGCGACGAATCAAGGTTTACATATGTGGTCTAGAGCAGCAGTTCCGTCTCACTTTTGGGCATGTCTATATGTCCCAACAACTTCTATTTGTGCTTTAAATGTTCAGATATATAAATAAACTCGTTCCAAGCCTGAGTATATCCGCAGTTTAGAGGCGCACAAACAAATCACAATAATGTGCAATTGCGACATTCAATCCCAGCTGAGATATTCAATTGCAGCTCACCCCAGCTTGGGGAAGCCCAGAACCTATTAAGCGAAAACAATAATAATTATATTCCCAATGCGGTATTGATACATAGCTAGACGAGAGCGAACTTTGATTCTCTTTCACGCCGAAGTCCATTCTAGAAGTGACCGCCACATGCTAGTCTGTGAGTGCTGCCTAGACCTAGAATCCAATGATTCCATTCAAACTCTATCTGCAGCCTCTGTGTTGGGGTTATCATCATCGCTGAACGAAAGCGCTTTCAGTGACGTCAATCATGGGTTGCATGCGGAATGTTATGACATCGAATGCTATACTAATTAATTAAAATAAAGCAAAGCCGAGCAATATGCCTCGCTGAACTTTGTACTGACTATAAACCTATTGAAGATTTGATCTGAGACGCATTTAAACGCGATCGCAACGGGCTAACACAACTGGCCAAGTTGTGAGTCACATGCTTCAGATGTCTGGCACTTTCCAAGATAACTTATCAGCCATTCATTTTTGACTTGTTACGACTTGGAGCATCTAGACCACAAAGGGTTTAAGTGTCACAATTTAAATTTAGTGGGCTTCAACCTTTCGTGGAAAAATTATGGGTAAAACATCTTCACTTTGATTAACTTATACTTGTGAAGTTTTAATATTCATTCACTTGGCAGAAACAGCGAACGCTAAGGGGCTTAGCCTAGAATTGTTTGAAATGAAATTGGTTTTTAAACATTTGTAATCTCTTTACAGCATTTTTCTTTCACGTCGGATATCAATAGAAGCCGACAGCTATGGCTGAAGCCCATTCTGCCGTGGCATTCTCGTTTGCCATCACCCACGAGGGCTTCGACATCAACTATGACCACGAAGTGCTCAATTTGGTGTGGAATTCTGGCGTTCGATCCTGGAAAAAGCGTCTAGCCCGTGCCAGGGTAAGTCTATGAAGCAGAATAAATAAAATTAATGTATTCTAAACAGCTTTTCATAATTTTCGCAGAACGGTGTACGCAATGGCGTCTATCCGGCGCACATCCAGAGCCTCTGGCTGATCTCGGCCATAGCGCTGGGCCTGCACTTTGCCGGCTACCAGGCTCCATTTAATCTAACCAACCGAATTCTGGTCCATCTGCCCTCCAACACGATCAACTGGCAAGTGGCCGCCTGCTTCGCGGCCGCCCTAGTGGTCTGGCTCTCGATCTGTTTCACCATGAGATATACCCTCAAGCTGCTGCTTATGTACAAGGGCTGGATGTACGAGTCGAGAGCTCCTGGTAGTCGCGTCTCTCTGCCTACCATGCTCTGGGTGGCCGTGGTGCGAGTGCTCTCCAGCTGGAATAAGCCTGGACTATACAGTTTCCAAGGATCACTGCCCCGTCTGCCGTTGCCCTCCGTCAGCGACACGATGACCCGGTACCTGCGCAGTGTTCGTCCCCTGCTGGACGATGACAACTACACGCGCATGGAGCGACTGGCCAAGGAATTCGAACAGACCATCGGCAAGAAGCTCCAGTGGTATCTCATCCTTAAGAGCTGGTGGTCCACCAACTATGTGTCCGATTGGTGGGAGGAGTATGTCTATCTGCGCGGTCGCAGTCCCCTGTGTGTGAACAGCAACTTCTATGGAACAGACGCCATCTTCATGAACCTCACCGATAAGCAGGCGGCGCGAGCGGCCAATGTGATCTCCCTGTTGCTGAACTTCCGCCGGCTGATCGAGCACCAGGAACTGCAGCCTGTAAGTTGTAAATAGTACTATTCTGGTTTATTTTCGATTAATATTATGATTCTGTTCAACTATTAGATCATGGTCCAGGGCATGATTCCCCTGTGCTCTTGGCAGTATGAACGTACCTTTAACACGGCTCGTATTCCCGGCCTGGAAACTGATCGCATTATCCACTATCGAGACTCCAACCACATTGTGGTGTTGCACAAGGGCTGCTACTACAAAATGCCCATCTACTACAAGGGCCGCATCCTGCGTCCTTGCGAGCTTCAAGTGTAAGTGACTGACTCCATATACAAACTACTATTAAATTTATAATTTATTAACATCTTTCCACAGTCAAATTGAGGAAATTCTAAAGGCGAAGGCAACTCCTGTGGATGGTGAGGAACATCTGGCTGCCTTGACCGCCTGGAATCGCTCCAAGTGGGCGGAGGCCCGCAACACCTTTTTCTCAAGAGGCGCCAATCATGTCTCCCTGCGTACCATTGAGTCTGCTGCCTTCGTCCTTTCCTTAGATGATGAACCCTTCGAGTTCGATCTGGCCCGTCCCGAGTTGTTGGACAACTTTGGCAAGAAGCTGCTCCATGGCAATGGCTACAACCGCTGGTTCGACAAGTGCTTCACCGTCTGCGTGGGCACCAACGGACGTGTTGGCTTCAATGCCGAGCACACGTGGTAAGTGGAAAACGAGTCGTGCTCTCAAGAACACATCTTTCTTCATTCAAATGAGAAAACCTTGATTATCGCTATAAACTTAAATTTCTGAAACGATTTGCCAAATTGAAAATCCAAAAGGTCCGACGCCGCCATCGCCTCACACATGTGGGAGAACCTGATCGTCGACGATCTTGTGTCGGAGGGGTAATGATGATTTTCGATTCACCTATGACCCCAGCTTTGTCGGTTATCAGTTATCAGTTTTCAGTTTACACCCAATATCGTCCCATTCCACAGACAAATAATTATTTTAACTCTGGTTGTGGCCTAACAAATGATCTTACACCATTATTTACACCTTCTTTATAGGGCCGATGCACCGGTTTTGGGACATCTGTGGGAGTATATATTTGGTGATGATATTTATGGGTAAACACTTAATTCCAAAGCACAACAAGCACACACATAAGCACAAAGCAAAGTTAATTGCAATTGAAGTCGTTTTGGGTCGAGTACGATCGAGAGGTTTAAGGAGAGTATAGCTTTCAAATGAATACATGTGTATATATTTCACTCGGTAACGTAAATATTAGTTAAACTTTTAACAATGTATAGAGCAATATAAATGTAAATTTCAAACGAATGTATTCTCAAGTCTTAGACGCCGGTCTACCTCTCTCAGCTCAACCCAAAAAGGCAACAAAAACACAAATTTGAATGTTAATTTTTATTTCGTGACTAACCACAACCTTTTTATTTTACTACAAAATTAACTAAAATATTATCTTTGGTTTACGTGGCTTGCCTTCTACTGACATCTAAACTAAGTGTTTTCTTTAAAGTAAACTAACATTTTGGTGATCCTTCAGATACGATGAGACTGGCAACACCAAGGGAACCCCCGAGTTCCAGCCACCCACACCCACCCGCCTCAGCTGGGATCTGACGCCCTGCCTGACGCAGATCGAGGAGGCCACCATCGATGTGACCAAACTGATTAATGAGGTGAATCTGCGCATCCTGGTGCACCAGGAGTACGGTAAGGGCTTCATGAAGAAGTGTCGCATCTCGCCGGATGCCTACATTCAAATGGCCCTTCAGCTGGCATACTTCCGTGATGCGGGACGCTTCTCGTTGACCTATGAGGCCTCGATGACGCGCCTGTTCCGCGAAGGCAGAACCGAGACAGTGCGTCCTTGCACCATCGAATCGGCTGCTTGGGTGAAGGCAATGCAGAATCCCAATACAACGGTAAGATGCAACTGTTACAATTTTCTAAAGGTCACAATGTAACTAACATTTTCTAAAAATAGAACGATGAGCGCGTGAAGATGATGCAAGCGGCAGCCGATCGGCATCAGCTGGGCTACCAGGATGCCATGTGCGGTCGTGGCATTGACAGGCATCTGTTCTGCCTGTATGTCGTCTCCAAGTACCTGGAGGTGGACTCACCCTTCCTAAACGAGGTGCTCAGCGAGCCCTGGCGCCTGTCCACTAGTCAGACCCCGCACGGCCAAACGCCGAAGATGGACCTGAAGAAGCATCCGAACTGCATCAGTGCCGGCGGCGGCTTCGGTCCCGTGGCTGATGATGGCTATGGTGTGTCCTACATTATTGCCGGCGAGAATCTGATATTCTTCCATATCTCTGCGAAAACCACGTGCCAGCAAACGGTAAGGAGTAGCTATTGATCCAGTATTCATCAAAAGACTCATTTTATCTCTTATATATGCAGGATGTGCATCGCTTCGCGGCAAACATCTCGCAGGCCCTGGTCGACATGCGCAGCATGTTTGAGAAGCATATGAAGGACCACCCGAAGCCCGCCAAATCACTCACAAACGGCACCGCCTCCACATAATCCACTTGCGTAGTCCATGTAGTCGAGAGATTCTTGTTAGCATTTGTTTTATCCTCTCTAGTTGATCGTTTTAAAGTTAAACACATCTATACATCCGTCTAATGTAAGTCCAAATTAAGTGCAAAAGTCGTTGAGAGAGTTACATATACAGAGAAAACAATGCAATTTTTTATAAACAATTGTGACACTTGGCTGATTTTAAGATTTAGTCGTTAGATACATACTTTTGCACAATATTTGATGTTTCTCAATCAGTTAGTTTGTAATCAAAGAAATCGTCTAAGTTTTAAGTGCTATAAATATATATTTCCTTGTAAGCAATACGTTCTAGTTTTTGTACTTTGCGTTGTCACGTAGCAAGGGGATTGGCGTGTATGGTGACGCCGTTTATCTTCTTGTCCACATGGGGCCGATAGTTCTTTGGATTCACGGGCAGCTTCTCCAGCTCATCCAGGGCATCGAAGCCATCTATGACGCGTCCAAAGAGTGTGTACTTCAGGTCCAAATTTGGCTGAGCGGCATACGTGATAAAGAACTGGCTGGCATTGGCATTGGGACCATTGTTGGCCATGGAAACCATTCCGCGATCCGTGTGCTGGAGAAATGTAACATAATATTGAATATTCGGAGTGTTTCGGAGTCAGGTTTTTTAGTTAAAAAATACATTACAATTCTTTTTTTTATAAGGTCTTGACCAAATGCAATCTTTTCTGCGACATCAATTATTAGTATTAGTATTTAATGAAATAAATGTTTTTGAGACACAACAAAACATAAACGAGGCCCAGAATCAAGATATCTTCAAGGCCCCCAAAGGCCATCAAACTGTGTTTGATTGTATCTAAAGGTTTTACCGCTCACCTTGATAGTTTCTTTGAACTCATCGTCAAACTTCTGGCCCCAAATGGACTGTCCATTCTTGCCCGTGTTCGTGGGATCGCCAGTTTGGACAATAAACCCCTTTATATTCCGGATGAAGACGCAGCCGCTGTAATAGTCGCTGGCGCAGAGAGCAAGGAAGTTCTCGCAGGCCTTGGGACAAGCATCACAGAAGAGCTCTATCTTAAGGTCGCCCACGTCAGTGTGCAGCGTTACAGACTAAAAAATAAACAGTGAAATAAGTTAAAACCGGCAAGAACAGAACTACCAACTTTTGTTTACCATTTTCGGAGTATATTAGGGATGACCAGACAACGATAATATTGACGAACCTTCGGTCATCGATACGGTATCGCACTGCTTATCGATAACTGAACATTGGTATTTCTGTGACCTGCGGTCACATCACGTCTTTTAGGCGCGAATTCTGCCGCATAATTTTTTTCGCACTTAATTATTGTCAGTAAAAACGTAGCTAAGTTAGTTAATAATATGAAGTGCAAGATACCGGAGATCTCGTGGCACAACCGCGACCCCGTGCTCAGTGTGGACATCCAGCCGAATGGGCAAGGACTCCGATCGCCGACGATCTGTCGCCTGGCCTCGGGTGGCACCGATGCCCATGTCCTCATTTGGTATGTGAACCGCAGCAGCGAAGACGGCGAGGGTGTGGATCTGGAGCTGGCCACCGATCTGTCGCGGCACCAGCGTGCCGTCAACACGGTTCGGTGGTCACCTAATGGCGAGCTGCTCGCCTCGGGCGACGACGAGAGTGTTGTGTTTATCTGGAAGCAGAAGGCCGACCACGAAGTAATCAACATTGTGGACGCCGCCGATGGAAACTGCGAGCAGGACAAAGAGGTCTGGATGACGCTGAAGGTGCTGCGCGGCCATCGCGAAGATATCTACGACCTGAGTTGGGCTCCCAATTCGATGTTCCTGGTCACGGGCTCAGTAGACAACACGGCGATGTTATGGGACGTGCACAAAGGCAAGTCTCTGGCAATTCTAGACGATCACAAGGGCTATGTGCAAGGCGTGGCCTGGGATCCGTGCAATCAGTACATAGCCACTATGAGCACAGATAGGTAAGCGTTATCACTTTCGTTTCCGAGTTGAAGAAGATCCTCTCAATCCCCTGCTATTCTCCTCCAGGCAAATGCGCATCTTCGACACGACCACCAAGCGAGTGCTCCATCGGGTGAGCAAGTGTGAGTTTCCCGTGAAGGAGGGCCACGAGTTGCATGAGAAGAGCATCCGGCTATACCACGATGGGACCTTGCAGACCTTCTTCCGCCGCTTGTGCTTTACTCCTGACGGCAAGTTGCTCCTAACACCCGCTGGAATTACCGACTACGACGGCGTAATGAAGCCGATGAACACCACTTACGGATTTAGTCGTTATGACCTTTCGCGACCTGCTTTTGTGCTGCCCTTTCCCAACGAGTACACGGTGGCCGTTCGTTGCTCTCCGGTGCTGTACCGTCTCAGACCGTACAATGTGGAAAAGAATCCGCCGATCATTGCGCTGCCCTACCGCATGATCTACGCCGTGGCCACTAAGAATTCGGTGCTTCTTTACGACACACAGCAGGCGGTGCCCTTTGCAATTGTCTCCAACATCCACTACACCAGGCTAACGGATCTGGCGTGGTCCAGTGACGGCACCGTGCTGATCGTGTCCAGCACGGATGGCTTCTGTTCGCTGCTTACCTTCGAGCCGGAAGAGCTGGGCGAGCGCTACGAGGATATGGATGCAGTGCTGAGCGCTGCTCTCAAATCGTCGGAAAATGTGCCGCCACCACCAAGGAAAAAGAAGCAGAAAACTCGAAAGGCCTCGTCAGACGAGTTGGAAGTCACGAGAAAGCCTTTGCAGGAAAAGACCAAGTCAAATAAAATGAAGAAGACGGACGTTTCGGACCTCAAAGAGGAGGGCGGCGAGACAGATGTGGATGCTGACAACGATTCCTCGATGCAGAGCGCCAGTTCGTCCAGTTCGAGCAGCCCAAAAATTAAGGAGAAATCCGCCGACAATAAGCCCACACCTATTGCCTTCAGGCGATCGCCACGCAAGGTGACGCCTGCGCCGACGCCGATCACCATACGACGATCTCCGCGAAAACCAGAAGATCTAGCCGCCACGCCGAAATGTGGCACAGAAGACGTCGCTGCACAGGCTCCAGCGCCCATATCCAATCGCAAGAAGGAGGAAGCTGTGGCGAGCGCATCTCCTGTGCCCGTCAAGCGCAAGATCAGCTCGGATGTCGAGCTCCTATCTAAAACAGAGCTCTCCCAGCCAGCAATTGGCGTAATTGCCGTGCTCGACAAGGAGATCATCAGCTCCGAAGAGAAGTTCGAGTCGCCCGAGAAGAAAAGTCGTCGGCCAGCGACGCCCATTCAAGTGCGTCGGCAGCCGCGTACTCCGAGCAGCGCCAGCACTTCCTTCAACCTTACTCCCAAGAGCCAACCCGCCACCAAACATGCTACGCCCATTGCCGTAAGGCGAACTCCCCGCGTTCTCGTCGAAATGCCTGTCAACTCCCCGATTGGACCCGTGGAGGAAGCTATGGATGCCTGGCCCCTTGATGAGGGCATCAGTCCCCTGCCGGACACAAAGAAAGATTCCCAAGAGCCGTTGTCAGAGGCCAAGGCGGAACCCCACACAAACACATCAGCTGTCCTTGCGGTCAGTGAGGCGACCTGCGAACGGACAGAGGACATCCGGTTGGTCTATGAGGACACACAGGAGGAGGCCGGAACTCCGGCGAAGGCGACTGAGTCCAAGCCGTCCACGCCCAATAATAAGACGCCGCGACGGGTGTCTTTGCGAACCATATCCACGCCCAAATCGAAAAAGAAACTGTTAGAATAGCAGAGCAATAGGTTTTAGTCGTAAAGGATTTTAAACAAGAAAATTATTCAAATATACACAAGCCCCAAGACAAGGTATAGAAGAAAGTTAACATCTCTTTTTAGTTTTAAATCAAAGTTGTAAAATAGATCACTGTCCGAACAGCTTCAAAGGAATGGTAATTATGATTACAAGTTTCGCATCATTAGTAGTATTTTTACTCCCAAAGCAATTATTTTCCTATGAAGTCTGAAATCGAGATGGCCTGAAAAGACCTTGTTTATGCAAATAACAAATCCTTGTGGTTTATCTGGATCGATTAATGCACGATGGAATACGTAAAAGATGTTCTGCATTGATGACCGCGGAAAAACTTTCCTTAAGTATCACCGAATACCAGCCAAAAAGTACAGTCTGCGATCAAGTACAGTCAAGCGACGCTTGTAAATTTGGTCCCTTTGCTTCATGGTCAGTACTGGATTCTTACCTGATAAAATTCACTTTTATGGGTGACGAAATGTGTTGCGCTGACTGAAGACTTTGGATTCGAGCTACTTCATGTTTTTTTCTCTACCTGGACTTTAATTTTCTAGGGAAGTTATAGTTGTACACTTTCCTACATATTTATGAGTATATGTTGATAAACAGCAAAGCAATGTCAACCTTCATTATATATTTAAAGTATTTCAGTCACAGTGTTAAAATGTTGGATACATTTACAAAGATTTTTTTTATAAATTGAATAATAATTTTCTAATATATAATATAATATTCTTGATTAGCATCAACACCAGAGTTATGAAAGCTAAAATCGAAATTAATTTTTGCAGGTTGACTTTTCTCTACTCTCATTATATATTATATCATTAGTATATATGTAAGTCTTAACGGGGTAGATTGGCTCACTATATCGTGTAGCAATTATAAAGAAAGGAAAAATGTAAATGTTGAACTGTGACTGTAAAACTGTTAATATAATATTGATAGGTAAATGTATTACAAATTAAAATTTTCAACATATATACATATTTATATTGTATTAGATATTTCAAGCTTAAGATATATTCATTATATTTCATAAGATTTAAAAATAATGTTATAAATTCAATCAAAGTTATATTATATATATAGATCTACTGTTAGTTTTTATTTTCATTTGACCAAAGGATCTAGATGTACCAAGTATTAACAGATAGCCCAAAAACTGTACGGGTGTACAAACGGATATGGCTAGATCATCTCGGCTATTGATGCTGATCATGACGGCATGCAAATACTTTATGTGAAGTCTTTTTTGGAAATCTGAGGGCCAAAATCTGTAAAATTGCCAAAAAGGGTCCTCTAGGGTATCACAGTTCTAGAGACGAAAAGACCACTTTGTATTGGCTCCACAATTTAAGAGAAGAGTCCTTCGATTCCTTCATTTGCTAGAGAAAGTGCCTCCAGGGGTATAATAAATTCGATCCCAGATCAGATTCTCCTCTTGACGTTGGGAATAAAACACTTGAGGCATTGTATTGTTTTTATTTATATTTATTTAAATTGTAGATGATCTCTAACGTTTTGAGTTTCTTTTACATACAAACATTTTGGTTTTGTTTTGTTCCTTTGTTATGCCTTATGCCTTTCTTTTTTTTCTTTGTTATAGTATTATTCTTGCTTTTTTGTTAATATTATTTTAAATTTTCAATTCAACGATTCAAATTCTGTCATCAGTATCATATCATTATCGAGCTTAGTAAGAAGATGCTGTGGCTCGCTTCGTTCTTCGTTTGCATTATTTAAAACTCTTCCATTTGGGCCATTAGCTACACATTATCCACTTGTGGGGGTCATTACAGAGAGAGAAAAGGAGCTCAAGACTTTAGGAGAATTGTATTTCCACGTATGTACGTACGTTATAATAATAAGTATATAAATATTTCTTCTGTTTGTCATATACAAGTTAAACAAATCTGATCAGCTGCATCTCTGGGACAACCAAAGCAATTTTAATTAGGCTAACAAATTAGATTAGATACAATGTCTAAACTTTGTCTAACCTATAATCTTGGTTCCACATTCCACGATTCCATCATCCATCCCATCCTCCGGTGGCTCCTGGCCTCGTTCCTCGCATCCTTTGGATTTTACAAAAGGTCGTGTGAGTGTGAGTCGGAGGAATGCCCCCCTTTGCTGACATTTGATTACATCCCCTCTGTTTTTACTCTTTATGAATTTCACTTATAAATGTTTTAACTGCTATTAAAGTAATTTTAGTTAGTAGTGGTGTGCGACTTGCTTCTGTGTGCGGTGTGAGTTTGGGGCGTGTGTGTGAGGTGTGAATGTGTGTGTGGAGCAAAGAGGTGTATATGAGTTTTAGAAAAATATGAATTATGTGTGATTCCATTCCGTCTGTTACATTATTCCACGCTATCATCCGTTTAGTATTGTGAAAATATGCAAAAAGTTTAGTATACTGCGGTTATGAATGCTATTAATGTTCTATTATCTGAATGCTGACTTTACTTATGGTATTTAGTGTGTTCTTTTTGTTTGCCATCTCTCTTGATGCGAAAGTTGAGCTAAGTTCGAGGAGGAGGATTGGAAATTATAGTCGCTTTCGTATATATATGAGTACTTCGATTAATTATAATTTACGAGAAAAATATAGTACATATGTATGGGTATGTATGTAGCAATTTGTTGATTCTCCATTTACTAAATATATATATATGCCTATATATCTGTGTATATATAGAGCGACTTTGTTTACTTTTCGTCTCGAAGGTAAATGAATAACTTTGTTGTGGTTGCTGCTGTGGCTTAATTAAATTGTCAATAAATATATATATCGTTTGTTGTCGTTAATTGTTATATCTATAATTACATACAATTATTGAACTCTTTGGTTCTTGATCTGCCGCATTGCAGGATCTGCGGATCCTGCTATTACCCCGAAAATCCAGCAACATTGTAATCTCTATAGCATGCAACATGGCCAAATAATCGGGTAACTTAAGATAAATAATAACAAAATGGCTGGTTTTATTTTTGAATAAATAGTTTTATTTGAAAATGGTTTTTGCATTTGTTTTTGTTTTGTTCATTTTTTTGTTCTTTTTGGTAGAATTTTACAAGTTGAATGGAAAATACAGACGTACTAAATATTACAGTATTTGGTTGGTGGTTGTGGTTTTTGGGCCGGGATATAGAAGGGATATTCATAAATGTGTAAAATAAATTACGAGTTCGCTGATCGGTGTTTTAATCTCTAAAATCAAAATTTTACGGACAACATAACTTTTGAAAAGCTTCACTGGATAATCTGCTACTGGGATGGGGGATTACCCAATTAAAATCAAAAAGATGACTTTGTTAAACTATACTTTATGCTGTTTTGACTGTCAAATAATATATTTATTTCGCTAATAAACTTACTTAGTTGATGTTTAAGTGGTGTTGTGTGTGTGTTTGTGTTTTGTATGTGCGTTTACATAAATTAGACTTAAAAACTATAAAACATAAATATTGGATTGGATGGCCGTCCAACTCTAGAGCAGGAGCACAAGTTAGGGGGAAGAGGACTTTGGGAGTATAGGAGGAGAAGAAGACTGAGCTGAGATACAAAACAAAAGATACTCTATATAAAATAACAATATATAAATTCTCATTGCAGCTAAAATCAAGAAATGCACAAAAGACCACGTTCAAAGCATATACACAAACATATACACGTAATCGGTAATCGGTAATATATAATTAGAATAATAATAATAATAAGTCTAATTGAAACAATTCAACATACTCGCGGGATTAAATGCCATTCGCTAAATACAGTTTACAGTTTGACATACATCAGATACATGTATGACGACGATTGTTGTGTTACCATTAAAAGTAGAGTTTTTCTTTATAAATATTATTACATACAATCCTTAGTTTCATTGTTTTGGGAGATTTGAGTTCTGCGTTCCATTTCACTTTCACATTACATTCTCTTTACTTTTGATTCGTATTGTGTGTGTGTGCGTGTGTTTTGTGTGGTGTTGTGCGCGTATTTGTGCGTAGAGATATGGCAAAAATAAATAGCATGCTTCTGTGCGCCGCCAAAAGTTGAATTATTTTGATCTTCGCTGATTTGTAGTTTCCCTCTTCGCTTAAATGCAACAAAATCATTATGAATTACAAAGAAATCAGCTCGTTAAGTGAATTAAATTAAATATGTATGTAAGTAGTTAGTGTGTGTGTGTCCATTGTCCGGTGTCCAGTGTTTGTGTTTCCAGCAAAACGTCTTTCTATACACGTAAATTCAACAAATTACAATTTACATTGAAATGTGATCAATCGCTAATGTCGCTCTTCTTTACATAATTTTGTTAAGTGGCCACATACATATGCGTTTACTTTACTTTTCTCTGGGTTTTAGTTTTTAGCTTTCTGCTTTGTTTTTTGTTTTGTTTTTTTTTTCCTTGTTTGTTTGTAAATACAATAGATAGAGTTTTATATCCGCCTCTCAATTATCTTTAAATCCTTTTAAATTAGACTTAAACCTTAAAGATTTGCTCGTTATCTTCCCTTCTTTTGGTTTTGTTCATGTGTGTTTATGTTTATGTTTAGGTAATATTATTATTTACTTTTAGCCCACACGCTGACACGCAATTCAAATGAATTAGTTATTATTATTATTATTTCTTAGCTCCGCTGCCTTTGTTGCCGTCTGCTGTTTGGATTTGGTTGAAACTCTTTCGAACTTAGGTCTAAACAAGCATGATGCAAATGCAGAGCGTTGATGGCATGAATAATTCCAAAGAGAGATTGCAACAGGAAACATTTAATATATAATATTTATATATATATATATTTTTTTAATATATATGTATGTATATGTATAGAAGTGTATCGCTTTGTCCTTCTGACTTTCTTTTGGTTTAATAAATACATGAGGAAACTAAGGGCTACCCAATAAATTATGAAGTTCTATAAAAATTATTCAGACCAAACAACAACTATATATATGCAATGCTTGCGCTTGTGTTTCGAGAGTGTGCGTGTCCGGTGTTGGTGTCATGTCGTACATGTGGCCTTGCATAATGCATATGTATGTGTGTTTTGTATATATGTATGTATGTATGTTTAATAGGAAATGCCTTTCAATCAAACTGCTGCTTCTGCTGCTACCAATCATTCAAATCAATCCTCAGTGATCCTCTGATCTGACATTGCATCTATGTATCTGCACCAAATATTATCGATATTATGTAATGTACTTGTCGCTTATTTCCTTATATTTTTCATCATCCATCCGGGATCTCCGTCATTGCGCGTTTTTTGTTAAACAAATAAAAGTTCTTTGGGCTTCGCTTGTTCAGTGTTCAGAGTCCTGTGGTGTCCAGTGTTTAATGTTCAGTTGAGAGTGTCCAGTGTAGAGTGTCCCGTGTCCTGTGTCCTTTGTGTTATAGTTGCGGTTGGTTCCTATCATCGTTTTGTTGCTCTCTTAAATTTGTTTGGTTTTTTGATCAATGCTGGTGGGTTGTTGTTGTTGTGCTCCCGCGCTGCTCTTTAATACCGTTACGGTGTTCCCTGCTAACGCCCCCCATTTCTGCTCCACATCATCTCGTTCTCGATCTCGATCTCGATCTTGATCTTGATCTCGATCGGATCCTTAGTACAGACCGCAGCCGCGCAGATTGTTTGCTATGATGACATCGGTGACAGCATCGAATACAAACTGAATGTTATTGGTATCTGTGGCGCACGTCATGTGGCAGTAGATTTCTTTTGAGGTTGATTTGTTTTTCGCTTCAAATTGAGCCTGAATGTAAGCAGCCGCCTCGCCATACTCCTGTCCACCTGGAATAGTCGGATATCGAGGAACATTAATTACCTGGGAATAGGGATATTATATAGGCAACTCACCTGTGTATTCGGGGAAGCAAATTGTCAGGGGACTCTTGCGGATCTTCTCCTCGAACAGATCCTTCTTGTTCAGGAACAGAATGATCGAGGTGTCCGTGAACCATTTGTTGTTACAGATCGAATCGAACAGTTTCAGCGACTCTTGCATGCGGTTCTTGAATAGAAAATAGAGAATATTGTTTATTAATCATGTTAATTTGATTTATTGAATAGTTAAGTTAAATACATGTATGGTAGATATATTAGTATAAACATGCTTCAAATTCTCACCGTGGTTTCATCCTCATGCAAGACCTGATCGTACTCTGACATGGCCACGCAGAAAATGATCGCTGTGACATCCTCGAAGCAATGTATCCATTTCTTTCGCTCAGACCGCTGGCCGCCCACGTCGAACAATCTGTAAAATGAAACAAATCAAGTAAAAATTCAATCCCTTGTAGGAGACTCTTAGGTGACACTCACTTAAAGTTGAGGTTTTTGAAGGAGAAGTGTACCTCCACGATGCCAGTGGTCTTGACGCGAGTACGCAAGATGTCCTGTTCGGTCGGCTGGTAATCCTTGGCGCCTAACCGATCCAAATCGTCCAGGAAACTGCAAGGAAATAGAGCAAAGGCAGAATGTGTTACAGTTGCTGGGGCGAAAAAGCATTTAATTTTCCCACCCACATCGCTTGACCAGACAAATGTTTGCCCAGCCATCCTCCTACATCCTCCCATCCCTCGAATTTCCGGCCGTAGCCTCCCGCCAAGTCTTGAGCAAACAATTAAGGCGCAGACCGAAGCGCTGGGCAAACAATTAAAAACAAAAAAACTGCGCGCGTGTCCTGCACAACAGCAGTGGGGGAAGGAACACACGATGCCAGCACTAGCCACACATGCCGAAGGGGACCGAGACCGGGACCGGGACCGGGATCCTTACTTGGTTATGCAAACGGCCTGGCCCATCATCATCTCCATATAGGTACACAGGACACAGGACTGCATAAACTACATGGCTATTCAGAGCCATGATTCCCATTTCCGTGACTTGTTTTCTGCTTCTAATTTCCGTGCTTACAAGCCGTATTTGCAATTAGTTTTATTTGCCGGTTGTGTAACCATTGCCCATCTCCCAGATACAGACACAGACACAGACACAGATACAGATACAGATACGGATACAGATACGGATACAACTGCTGTCGGAGATGGAGAGTCTGCGTGCGAGTAAGAGCGTCAACAAGTAGGTCATTGAAGCGGAGAAGGAAACCGTGGAGGAGCAACAGTAGCTCCAAAGTGTCCAGTTGGCTTACTTCATGTGGCCGTAATTAACTCGGGGCACGCAATGCCTCAAGAAACAAAGGGCTGAGGTGGAGGAGAAGCGGCTAATTTTATTTGTTGGCCAGGTTTTGGACAGGTCGTAAATAGTTTTTTATTTTTTCCGGGGGGGAATGAATCTACGCTGGTTATCGCATCAATCTCCGGTTGACTTGCTCTCTTGCCCAAAATCAGATTCATTCATTGGTCAACTGGTTTTCGCTTTAATTACACGCACAATTGCCCAACAACAAGGGCCAGGAATGGCCAAGATAGGGCCAAGATAGGGCCTGGACCTGCACCTAACCGCGGAAATCGAGCCCAGTCATGCTCGTCCGGCAGCGGCCACTTTTCATGCGGAAAAGTTTAGCGCAGCTTTATAATCAAAGCAAATACATAATGCCCACAATATCTGTTACAATTTCTTGGACAAACGTTAATTGAACTCCGCCTGCAAACGGATGCAAACAGTTTGGGGATTGGGCAACCAACTTAGCACTTTGCATGCCAAGATCTTATTTAACATGTCCATCACAAAAGTTTTTCCCTCTGTTTACTGATCCAAAACCGCAGACCCACATGCATTCGTAATTTGTGAGCCCCGGAAAATGTGTTGCAATCTGCGTGTGTGTGGCAAGTGGCGCTAAGTTGTGGTAGCAACGCGTGTGTGTAACTAGATCATAAAAGTTGACGATGGGGTGGAAATATTAGCTAACATTAAAATAATTTCTACTACTGTTTAAAGAACTTCTTCATATGTGGGTCACCTATTTCGTAATTATAAATTTTAGGTCCTGATTAAGCGTAGCTTTAAATACATTTAAACATTTGAAGCCAACTTATTCCCGCTGAGTTTTGTCATTAGTTTACCTTTTTGGCTCTTATGGGCCTTTCAATTGAGCGATTTGTGCGCAATTTTGCCTAGGAAATGCCTCGTTAGTCTCAGCTGCGTTTAATAATAATTTATTTATTTTACATAACCCGCAATTTCACACTAAAGACCTAAAAAACAAAACCTCCAATCACGACCATTCCCCCCTATTAATGTCAATCAATGTTGCTGTAAACCGTTATGTATTAACACAAACTTTTGCTTTTTGATTAGCATTATTTAGGTACTTTCAATTTCATTTCATTTCCAAAAATTATGCTATTCACGCCAGAAGACCACTATTTTCTGCCTAGATAAAACCGGAGAGCGAAAAGAAACAAAAACAGAGAGCAAGATACGGCAGCAATTAGCAGAAATATCATAAATGACAAAGCCAACAAGAGCGCGCCAAAAAGCTGATGAAAAGTCAACTCGAAATACACAGTAAAAAAAATGCGAGCAGAAGGTTGGAAAGTATTTTTAAAGATTTTACAATATATTTGATATAAGAAATAATTTCTAGAAATTTCATACAATTAATTGCTTATTGTATGTTACAGAAGATTGTGTTGAACTTAAGCTATACATTGATATGTAAATGACATCATATTAGAGTTCAAAAATATATATTCTCAATTAAAGATCTAGCTTTTCTTCTACTATATTTCCAATCAGTTTCAACCATTTTAAAGGCCTATATTTTTGTCTCAGTGTATCTTAAAGCGCCTAGCGTAGACAGTATAAGTAGACTAAGAAGCCCGGCGATCGCGTTTAGTGCGTCGCGGTTGGTCTACGAGGCAACAACAGCTCCAACAGCTCAAAAACCCGGAGCTCCATAGCTTTCGTATTTGGTTTGGATTTCTGTTTGGTGGAATTCGGTTTCGGTTTCCGACTCGGATTCGCTTGGAGCCAGGCAAAGGCATCACAGATCGGTGCAACATAACAACTCCGCGTTGCGTGACAAAAGACTTGGCGAATCTCCGCATTTTAAGTGCCGCCGCTTGCTCTTCAAGTCTTCAAATCTTCCGAGACTTCGAGTGACTGAGTGTGTGTGTGTGTGTGTGTGTGGGAAATTGGCCAAACAACAATAGAAATCCGCAACAAAAGGCATCCAAAGCGGTTTTAATTGTGCACAAACAGCCGGGGCCTGAAGTTCGTGGAAAAATCGGCACAGCTAAATCGGTAACAAATTGATTGAAACTCAATCTGGAAACTCGATCGAACGAGAAATACGAATCGGAGGAAAATTAACAAGAAACAAAACGAAGTGAGTGTTTTCCCAAATAGTGGGGTTTCCCCCCAACAATTTGGGGCGTGTCGGGTAAACTAGTTGCACCTTGACAAGCTGTCAAAGAAATCAACTGTTAACCGCCGTGAAAGGCCAATTCAATTATAAAGACAATGGGAAAAGCCAAGGAAATTGTGTATTTCAAGGAGAGAAAGGTGTTTCAGGACAATAATAATCAACACATTGTGTATTGTTTTCTAGTTTCACTTATTTTCTAAACAATTTCTTCCGCTAATGTGGACAATAAACCATTTAAAGCCAACTAGTTTGTTGTTGCAAAAAGTGTTGCAAGCTGAACAGGTCTAAGTTAGCAGCTCGAAAGACATCTCTTTTTATGGGTTCTAAGCATAAGCAAATATTTCGCCTTACTTTACTTGATTGTATTAAGAGAGAATCATGAAAGGTGTCATGTTAAAGAAACTTTAGTTAAAAGCTGGAAAACATAAATATATCAAAAGGTACTGTCTTCTAGTGACATATTGCTATAAAAACTGTGTGAAAACTGAGCAAACTGTGCTGGAAATGCAGTTTAAACTGACAAGTAGCTCCTCAAAAGTCACTCATTCGGCTGAAATATCTGTCAAAATGAGAGGCAGCTGGTGGCTGGTGACGTGAAAGCCAATTCAAATATGACTTTAATACCATCGATTCCCATGCCAGGCAACAGCCACACCTGTTCGACGGCTACACACACACCTGTGTGTGCCTCTGAGGGCAAGTCAAAAGGTATTAAGGCAAAGATTTGCCAAGCAAGCTGCTGTTGTGACATAACCGGGCAAGATTTTTCGGAGCACCTTTTGCCAGCATTTAGCAGCTGACTGCTAATAGAATTCATTTTCAATTTCGCATTCATTCGAGTGTGAAGGAAACCCGAGGAGAAGGCGAAGGCGGAGGCGGAGGCAGTGGCAGGGGCAGAAGCAGTGGCATTATGGTAGCAGGGTTGTTGCCTGTGGTGGCCTCTGTCGTGGCGTTGGCTTCCATTTCAAACAAAGGCCATAAAAGCCAACGACAAGTGGCTACTTGACATTTCTCCACACATTACTCGCAGGCGCTAGGATTATCACTCAAGTTCATTATAACCGCCGCTGCGATAAAGCCCACCAGCGGCTGGAGGCTGAGTCTGGTCCTGGGACTGAGATAGTTGCGTTGTTTCGCTACGTTACGCTACGCTTTGCGAGGACTCAAGGACTCAAGGTCGCCGCTTGTGCGACAAGGGCAAGGATAAGCCCAGGCTCTCCGCTGCTGCCATTGTGCCCAAGACCAACTGAGTGTACATAAAAAGAAATAAAACGAAAGAAAAATGGCAGCAAGTCAGCAGTGTGTGTGTGTGGTGTGTGTGCGCAGAATTCTGTTCCATCAAATTTTCGGCATTTAAATTATATTGCCCTTGGGGAGCAGGCGCACAAGTCGTTGCCAGAATCTCCGTCTCCGTCTCCATCCCAATCCCAATCCCAATCCCAGTTCCATCTCCAATGGCTTCTTCTTCTGCTTTCATTGTTTGCCGCTGGCTTACGCGGCGTATGAGCAATCTTTCTCCATTGACTTTTCGCCGTTTTGGCAGTTTTCCTGCCCGCAGGAGCAGCATCATGAATGCTCATATTAAATTCGTGTTTTGCGGCTTGTTTTCTCAAGGGAATATGTTAGTTTCTGTATTGACAGTGAAGGAACTTTAAGGCCAAACACCAAATATTGTTAAATCATTTGAATTTCGGATGCGCCCCAAAAGCAAATACCAATTCTTGACAGCTTTTTGGGTTCTGACGTAAGTTGGGAACGAACAAGGGGGCTTATTGTGCTTAAAAACTAGCTTCGTGAGTTAAATTAAATGAACAAGATTTAAAAAATTAATATCAAAATGTTTTAGTAATAGTTCAAGATATTTCTCTATTTTTCATGGCATGTCATAACATGTGCTATCTCCTATAAATTATATTGCAGTTATAAAGAAATATTAAGTTTCGGAAATTTAACAGCAGCCTTGCTTTATGAGGCCATTAGAAATATATATTTTGAACACTCGTTTCAGATATACTACATGAACATAAACTATAAAACTTGATTCAAAGCACAGCGCCTTGGTTGTTGTTTAAAACTTAAAACAGACCTTACTTTGTGAAAACTTGGCCAGGGTTGATGGAGCCCACTTGAATTTAGCGTTCGCTTTGTTTGAATTCACTTTTTACAAGTACTATTCGACCGTAGATATGTACTCAATTTTACGCTGGCTAGCTCCGACTTGATTATTGACTGATTGTGAGGGACCATTAAATGGAACGCACAAAACCAGAGGCAAGTCCCACTCTCACCCAAGTGCTCCCCAGAGATCCGAGGGACAATCGCTGACTGTTTGCCATCGCTTGTTTTGCAACTAGCTTGAACTAAGTGCTGTCAGAGCTACGGCGACCGATTGGGGCCCAATAAATGTATACGAATATGCGAGTGTGCCATAATATTTGCACTTCAAAGAACACCTTTCAGCACCGTCGATTCTATGGGGAATAATCGCTTGGAATAATAATAAACCCATAGTCGAGTGCCCGGCCTCTGCCTTGGTCCTTTTATATTGATTGATTTGCCCCGGGAAAACACTGGCCAGTCGGTCACAACTTGTGAATGCATTAAAAGTTTTTCCCCGGAACTGCGGTGAGGGGGAAGCAGCACTCTGGGAATCATAAATACACAATTTAGTTGCCGAGCAGGAGCAGGAGCAGGAGCAGGAGCAGGAGCAGATTGTGCTGCTCAACTTATGCTCAACTTTTTACATAACACTCTTCTGCTTCTCTACTGCCAGGACTCCCAGGACTCAGCTCGGTTCAGGATGTCGTCGAGCTTACGCAAAACCTCCTTGGCGCTGATGAGGCGCTCCACTTCCAGCACCACCGTCAGCACCACCTTGCCACATCCTGCGGCAGTGTCGCCGCCCAGCAGCGGTGTGGGCCTGGCGACGGAAATTGAAAAATCAATTGCAATGCAGCGACTGCGACAAGGAGAGGCGGCGAATCTCAAGAAATTAAATGCCAGGTTAGTGGTTTTTCTTAAAACACTGAAAAGAATTCAGACTAAACTGTTGATAAATATTAAAACTTTTTTAAAGATATTTCTCTTTAGTAAAGCATTACAAAATATAAGCACAAGTTTTGCAAAGAATATTTTCCGAGTTCTAATTTCTTTCTCTATTTGTAATGCCTCACTAATTGGCAGCCACCAGGTCGTGGCAGCAGCAGCAACCACTCATCCAAAAGCCACGACAGCAGTTCATGCCACAGCCACTTCCTCGACTGCGGCTCCTGCCGTCCGTCCCTACTCGGAGGTGCCGGGTCCATATCCCCTGCCACTGATTGGCAACTCCTGGCGCTTTGCTCCCCTAATTGGTAAGTCTCACAGTGGTAGCTCCTCTCAAGGGGTACTCGGGCCTCGTTAACCGATATCCGCTTGCAGGAACCTACAAAATTAGCGACCTGGACAAGGTTATGAACCAGCTGCATGTCGACTACGGAAAGATGGCCAAAGTTGGCGGTCTGATTGGTCATCCGGATCTGCTGTTCGTCTTCGATGGCGATGAGATTCGGAATATATTCAAGAAGGAGGAGGCGATGCCCCATCGGTGAGTGATTGAACCCAGCAGGCAAGCTGTCATGCTGATGCATGATGCAGTAGAAAAGTTGCGTATACGCCACGTGTGGCACATTGAACTATGAGTTTCCCGATGATGATGATGCAGTGTGCCAAGAGACAAGTTATGTGATTGATAATCCTGGCATCCTTAGGTTAGATTTCAGTTAGTTTATCTTGCGGATTGGAATTTTTAAAGCACCATCCTTTACTGAAACAGAATTTCCTAGTTCCGCTAGATTTTTACCTTAAACAAGTCTATTAAATTTGTTTTTAAATCAAACATTACTGCCGTGCTGCACTCGGTCTCAATTGCGAGTAATCCCACGCACATATGCACACTCACCCGCACACACATAGCACACGTATGTGGCATATATAGCATATATATCCGCGGCAAATCATTCATGCATGGACGCACCCAACCCTCCCCCTCCGGGGTGGAAGTGCATTTTCCTGTTTATTTATGCGCATATTGAACGCTGCCTGTAATTAAATTATTAACTAACGAAGGCAAAAACGGGGCGATTCCGATTGCGATGCATACGACGTACATAGGAAGGATTAAGTTGGATGTGTGAAAATATTGTGGCAGGATCGAAATTGAAGCGACAGATGGAAAACATACTACGCATTTTCCGCGTGTGTGGCAAGTGAAAATTACATTGATTCAGGTTCTAATTAAAAATCGGAATAAATACAGCAAAAAACTTGGCCTTAGAGGGATAAAATTCTTTTAATATTGTTTAATTAAAATTATGTGGTATGTTTCCAGTTGCAAAAACATTTAAGCTGAACCAAATGTATATTCATAAAGGGAAATAAATGAAGTATTTTACGACATCTTTGACGCTTTAAAAAGTCATAAATTACAGGAGAATGAATCAACTTACTAAGGACCTATGACATTTCCTCCTTTTATTTTATTTATTCAGTATGAAAACCAAATTCCCCATCCGTAAAGATGTCATAAAGATTGAATATAATTATTTTTTCAAGCGCGTGATAAAAATAAAACCATTAAATTGAAATTAGTTGAAAACTTTCACTCTGCTCTTATCCAAACTGTAGATCTGTAGGCCTAGCAACACCACAGATCCAGCCCCGAAATAAAGAAAATAATAAAACCGCAGAGCAAACAAAACAAACTATTCACAATTCGGACGGACAGGCGTTAAGCATTTTTGGTTTTTTATTTTGCATCACAGAAATAAATAATGAAGGTAAAAAAAGCAAACAAAACGAAAGTAAAGCCAACTTCGTGTTCATATCTTTTATAAGCTTTCTTTTCTCAACGCCTTTCCCCATCATTCCCACTCGGACTCGGACTCGGATTTGGATTTGGATTCGGACATATAGCCATGGCCATGAACCAAATTTAACATGTTACGTTTCTCATAGTTTATGTAGTTTATTATAGGCAACGCCAACAACATTTGCACGGATCGATGGCGAATCGGGAATCGCAGACACTGTTGTTTGCCGTTTGTTTTTTGGCCAACACATTTGGCAAGTCATCATTAAAATGAGTGAAAAGAATCGCTAATAGATGGGACATGAGACAACATTAACGTAATGTTGGCAGACAGATTGATGAATGAACCACGCACAAGTGTGAATTTGCCTCCAACTAACTGGCTAACTGACTGACTGACTGACTGACCAACTGACCAGCTGATTGATGAAGTTATTTTGGCCAAGACATGCGCCAGAGGCGTCGGCATTGTTGACTCTTTTACGAGGCCCATAAAACTCGAAGAGAAATATGTACATGTCTTTTTATGGTGGGAAAAGTGTGGCTAGATGAGTTCCGATCGTGACTTTCAGAGGGGTCAACATGGAGTTTACTTGGGATTCCCTGCAAAACTTTAGCGACTTTAACCATTTTTGTGCCTGTGCATAAATTAATTATACAAACAGCGCTGACATAGCCATGTAAACGATTTAATCTTAAACTTAAACATCATCTTTAAACCGGTTTTAAGCTATCTTATTCAATCGATGAGGAGTATGAAACTATATCAACCGTACTAATTTCTAAATTATGCCAAATTAAATGCTTGAAAAGACTGTCTCTCACAGTTGAAATAAATATTAATGAATCCTTCCCTTCTTTATCCTTATTTTTCTCCCTTCTGGAAACTATTACGACGCCAGGGCATCAATTTGCATAATTCAAATGCAGAACATACTTATTTTATAGACATCTTTGGCTTGAATTTCCTTGGCATTTTATAAAAAAAAATGAATTTACATATTTACACTTAGATCTCTGGCATTTAATTGGGCATTTCGTTGCCAGAGGCAACACGCACTCGACTAAGTGAAGGGAAATTTGGAAAAGGGCATAAAACAAAAGCCAATAAATACGTATGTGTATATTTGTTCAGTGACATGCGAGTAGACAAATATAATGCAAATAATAGGAGCTTCCAGCTTGTACAAATGTCTATAGCAGGTCAGGGCACGGGGGAGAGAAATCGCTTCATTTTGTGTGTGTGCGAGGAGTGTGTGTGCTTTAGTGGGAATTTGTGTTTGATGTTGTCGTCGCCGGTCTGTCTGCACGCAAGGGCAGAGGCGACCTCAAACAGGGGATCCGGCCGGGGTTTTGGCCAACTCCAGCTGCTGCTCCCCATAGAAATTCACAAAGCAAAAAAATCAACTACAAAGTCAGCCATTATTTGAGGATTGCTTAACATAAAATACCTGAGATGTGCAAAGGTTTCTTTAGCAAGATATTTTTATTAATACAAAATTCCCAATGCATATTTTATATTTCAATTTAAAAAGCATATTAAGCATCATAAAAGTATAATAAAATAAGCACGACTGTTACAAGAAAATAATTAAAAATAAATCAAAGAACACTATATCATAAATAAATAAATACATTTTAAACTATAGAAATTCCTAATCTATTTCATGTGCAACTCTAAATCAAATTTTAAACTAAGAATTTGCAAAGTTTTTCTTTAATTGTTGTTTATTACTTACAGAAAGTTTCGAAAGGCTAAAAAAATGTTTAAATATCATTTCCGCACTAATTTCATCAATAAATCGTTAATAGTTTTCAACAATTTTTCATTGTGAATACAACAGGCTTCAACAGGCTTCACTTAATTTATTTAAATATTAAGCCACTGTTAAATGACCTTTTCGGGCCTCTATTATTTTTTCCTGTGCACTCATTTCCTTTTATTTATATTTCATTTTCCATAACCGCTCTTTGTTTGCGCTGAAACCCATACAAAAAATAACCCGAAACCGAAACGCAGACCTTCGATGCCCTCACTGCGCCATTACAAGGGCGACCTGCGACGCGATTTCTTTGGCGATGTGGCCGGCCTAATTGGCGTGTAAGTAATGTGCTTATATAACGGACATTATGGCGGGCATTTTGAAGTGCATCCACTCGTTTCCAACCCCCAACCCCCCAATGCCCCATTCCTTCTCTGCAGGCACGGACCCAAGTGGGAGGCCTTCAGGCAGGAGGTGCAGCACATCCTGCTGCAGCCGCAGACGGCCAAGAAGTACATACCGCCGCTGAATGACATTGCCAGCGAGTTTATGGGCCGGTAAGTCCAACATCTGGGCATTCCCAGCTGTTATGCAATCCAAACACACCCACATTCTGCATCCCCCATCTGCAGGATTGAGGCGATGCGCGACGAAAAGGACGAGTTGCCAGCCAATTTCCTGCACGAGCTGTACAAATGGGCCTTGGAATGTAAGTTCTGTTGCCAATATTCTCTGCATTTCCCTTGATTATGACACAATTTAATGCAATATGTGCAGCTGCAGCTCAATCAAAATGGCCTAATGGCATTTTTCTTATTTAATATATAAATCTTTCCCTTAACTTCCTTGGGGTTATTTGAATTTAAACATCTTTCCACAAACATAGACACAAGCCTCTATTAATGAAGTCGAACCGTATGCGTTTTACCTGCCTGGCAAAGCGATTAGTTTAGAGATTAATTGCCCTGAAATGTTTTTAATTTAATTAAAACTCAACTCTAACTCTCTCTCTATCCGCCGTGTAAACATTTTGGTTAACTTTTAATTGGCACTTTAAGCGCTCAACAAAAAACCCCAATAAAAGTTTACTGTGGAACGGGGAAAATTGCTGGAAACATTGGTTTCCAAAGCAACCACATATTTGTGGTTTTAATTATTATTATAATTGCGTTTTAAGGGGGAAAAAAACTCTGCAACTAGACAAGTGTTTGCTGAAAATTAGTCATTAATTTTAATGTAGCTGTGGGTCGCGTTTCCCTGGACACGAGACTGGGATGCCTGTCGCCCGAGGGCAGCGAGGAGGCCCAACAGATCATCGATGCTATCAACACGTTCTTCTGGGCCGTTCCAGAACTGGAGCTAAGGATGCCCCTGTGGCGTCTATATCCCACCAAGGCCTATCGCAGCTTTGTCAAGGCCTTGGACCAGTTCACAGCGTGAGTGATCATTCACACTTCATAATCGTAATCATAATGCTGTCATAACTTGTGTAGAATCTGCATGAAGAACATTGGAAAGACCATGGACAAGGCCGATGCGGATGAGGCCCAGGGACTGCCCAAATCGGAGGCCGCAATCTCCATTGTGGAAAGGATTGTGCGAAAGACAGGCAATCGCAAGCTGGCTGCTGTTCTGGCCCTGGATCTGTTCTTAGTTGGTGTGGATACAGTAAGATTAATCGAATTTGAATGCTTCCATAGCTTAAATCTTAATTTCCATATCACAGACCTCAGTGGCAGCCTCTTCTACCATCTATCAGCTGGCCAAGAATCCAGAGAAGCAGCACCGTCTCTTTGAGGAACTGCAGAAGGTGTTTCCCCATCGCGAGGCTGAGATCAACCAGAATGTCCTGGAGCAGATGCCCTATCTGCGTGCCTGTGTGAAGGAGACTCTGCGGTAAGTCCAAGGGCACTCTCCTTGATTGAGACTCGGAGGTCTTAACCCTTTTTTCCATTTACAGAATGCGACCCGTGGTGATTGCCAATGGAAGGAGCCTCCAGTCGGATGCTGTCATCAACGGCTACCACGTGCCCAAGGGCGTAAGTTTGCGGAAAGAAGTGACCATTAGGACAAGACTCTTTAGTAACCACTACACTTTTCCCTTCTTTTTCTTCCTTTTTCCCTTTTTCCCTTTCAGACGCACGTCATCTTCCCCCATTTGGTGGTGTCAAACGATCCCGCATATTTCCCGGAACCCAAACGCTTTCTGCCCGAACGCTGGCTGAAACAGTCCACGGCGAGTGCAGATGCAGGTGAGGGAATAGTCAGGTGTTCACTCTGAGAAAGTCATGTTAATTGAACTTTCAAGGAATTGAATTGAGTTGCAGACAAAACTAGATAAGGGTCTGTTCCAAGAAATGCAATCTAATTATGTATTTTTCAATCCCATTTTAACTTAGAACTAAATGAAGATGTCTTAGGGTGACATAAAATAGACCTTGAACCTCTCTTGATGCATTAAATATTGTATTTCTTAAAGGAATCACTTTCTATACCCGGTATCCATTAGGTACAAGGGTATAAAAAAGTAAAATCGGATAATGCAAAATGTTTTTCTGTATATTGAACTTCTGTGTTAGCAACACCAACATGTTCTTAGCAACATCAATATGTTCCTTGCAATTGTCAACACTTCATTTTACCTTCTGCTGTGTTTTATTCAAGTTTTTCATCATTTTGAGCACAATTCTAGCCAGCGAGTAGTCTTTTATTTCCTTACTACTCTAAATTTCACCCACAAATAACCGATTTCGAACTGTCGGTTACATTCGACTATACCTCTTTGCTTTGTTTAAGGCCGTATTATTTTTCCCAGTGCTTGTAATCACTTTTGTTTCCCTTTTTTTTAGGTGGATGTCCCCATGCCAACCAGAAGATTCACCCGTTTGTAAGTTTGCCCTTTGGCTTTGGACGTCGCATGTGCGTGGGTCGCCGCTTCGCCGAAATTGAGTTGCACACGCTTCTGGCCAAGGTAGGAATTTGCAGGCACCTCTACTCTGCTCTCACCTCCTAAACCCTTCTAATTTGCCACGTTTAATTCCGGGAAACAGATCTTCCGCAAATACAAGGTCTCGTACAACTCGGGGGAGTTTGTGTACCGTGTGAACTCCACGTACATTCCGCAGTCGCCGTTGAATTTCAAGCTGACGCTGAGGGAGGAGTGAGCAGCTCTCCGAAGGGACACACGGACCCAGAGCTGTTTTCTGCTCATTTCTAAGCTGCAGCCAGACACACGGCGGATGTGTGATATTTATAGTCAAAGCCCAGCTGCTGCTGCTGCTGCGATGTTTCTTTTTAATTAAGCAAATGTACATAATAACGCAGTGCGGACAGTTACAGAGCAACGCGCATCCATGGACAGATATTTATGTGGGTGCGTGTTGCTGAATAAACGTCGTGTATTAATGTGGATACATGTGTATATAGAACCCATTATATTCGCTCCCCCATATTTCTAGTTCTAGTGTTTCCTTTTGTCGCCGAATAATTGTACCTAATAGAGCGTCGAAAAGTATGCAATAAAACGCGTTCCTTCTGCTGGCTTTTCTTGTCTCGGTCGGACGTTGGTATGTATTATCATTAATCAAAATGCGAGCGGGCTCAGCCAGTCTGGGGCTCAAAGTGTGATGGCTAAGGTCAAGCAAACGCCAATCTATGCGCATGATTAATTGCTTTCAAATTAAGGCTCTATCATTAGTTGTATGGGTTAAGAAGGAGCGGTCTAGTTGGGTTAATCGCACAACTGATTTTCCTTTGGGTGTAGTTTTAAACACGTTTCAAACAACTCTCAAAGGGAACCACCTTAAAGATGAAGCACATCACATTTTATTTTTAGAAAATAACAAAATAAGCGCATGTATCGAATTACACGTTCAATTAGAATGCCAAGAAGTCACGTAGGGAGAAGACCCACTAATAGGGAGAGCTTTAAATAAATTTTCAAAGGAAGGTCAAACGTGATAAGGCGAAAGTTATTTTTAGCTAACAGAATGGCTCCTATCCTATAATTTAATATTGCTAAAAGGACCTGCAAGCTAAACAAAAGTTCAACAGTTTAATCTTTTTCTTTGATAGAGTTTAAAGTTATTTTTCCTACTAAATAGCAAACGTTGCTTCTTTCCGAATTTAGACATTTGTTTACTGATTTAAAATATATATACAATTAAGTACATATACATATGTTTGCGCAGTTTGCCAAGTGATTCGATAAACCGCATTTAAAATAATATTCCGCCCATCTGCCGCCATCACTTGGCACCTCTCTCGCAGACCATGATATTTGTTGATATAGGAATAAATATATACATTTACTTATACTATTTGTTGTACTCACTATTTAGCGGAATCGTTCAGTTGGTATTCGTTGCTGCGCGAGAAGCACTCCTGGACGCCGGCGTCCTGCCAGAGTCGTTTCATGGCGGCCAGCAGCTCCTCCGAGAAGGGCTCGGTGTCGTGCATCCGCTGGCACACGTCGAACACCATCTTGGCATCGCTCTAAAAAAAGGAAACGCAAGGAAAGTGGCCAGAATAGGGGTTGCTCTTGTGACACTGCACAGGACCACTGAATAGGTCCGGGATTGGGGCTTACCTCCCGCTCGTTATTGCTGTACTGAATACTTAGGTTTGGCATCGCGCGCAATATTGCAACTAATGATTGTATTGTGTTGCTGTAGACAACCGGTCGATATTGTTTAAAGTCCTCCGCAGTGAAGCCGCTCTCGTGAATGATTTTCATCTGTTTGACTATTGTGCTCTTGCCCGACTCACCGGCACCTAGAAGTGAAAATGGAATGGAATCAAGAGTTAGTGATGCGTGGGGACCGTACGAATGTATTTACATATGGATGTACATAAATGCCGTCACAAGAGTTGAGTGTGTGTCTGGTGGCCGAAGCCGACAAAAGAGCTTAGGGGTCGTCGCAAATATTTATGCTGCATTTAGTTTTCTAGCACTAAATGTCTGGGCTTTGTATTTCTCAAGTAGAGCTTAATGGCCTTTGAACGACGGACAACCAACCAACCAACCACCCACCCATCCAGGCCACGCAATCCCACATCACGATAATCATCAGCATCAGAATCATCATCATCAGCATCATCATTAATGTACTATATCATCTTGAGATGCCGTCGGCCAAAAGAAAAATGAGAAAAACGTAAAGAGGGGGCAGCAGCAACTATGTATAAATGGCAAACAAAGGATTAATTGTTTGGCCCTGGTCATCTGTCTTTGATAACAGGCCACAGCCTCAGTCTCCTTCCTCATCTTACTTTTGCATCTTCTGTCCGTCTTCTCCTCTTCATCATCCTGATCTTTGAAGGATTTGCAAGCTGCAATTTTAGCAGAATTTCCATCCAGTTGAATGCAATTTGTTAATTGAGCGACTTCTGAAGGGGTTTTCTTGTGATAAACAAGATAATCGCCGACAGCTGGCCGATGAGAGCTTGGCTGGAAAATTGCATAGCTAAGCTTTCCCGGGGAAAATGACATAACCTGATAAATGGTAATTCCATTTGAATGTACGCTACATATTCTGGGCTTAATCAAGTGAAAGAAAATATAAATAATAAAATTTTAAAGAGCCAACTGCTAAATACAGGAACTAATTACATTTTTAAGTTTCTACAAACACTTTACGAGATAAAATTAGTCCAAACAAATAGTTAATAGCAAAAAAAAAAAAAAGGAAACGCACTCAAGGAAGTACATTTAATGTTATGATAAATTTCTGTATTATTTAACTTCACTTCACAGTTCACAGTTCATTGTTCTTTATTTTTAATATAAATTCTATTTAAGGAAAGTCTGTAAAAGATTAATGAAATGCTTATTTCCCTGCAAAGTTCCTAATTACAATTTCCTGAAAACCATAAAACAATTCGAGAAACAGAGTGAGTTCATTGTCCAGCACTTGAAAAAGTCGACACACGCAGCTTTACAGAAAATATTAAAATCTTCTTTGGAAGGAGTTATCTCTCCGTCCATAAATAAAGCACCGAAAACTAAGAAAAATGTTTAGATTTTTCTCAAACTCAAGAGCAGTGAACAGAGCATTTTCCGAGTATTGTTTATAGAGAGGCGAGAGGTCGGGGTAGTGAGCTGGTACCTGAGATTAATGCTTTGTTTGTGTGGAAATCGAAGGCAAAGTGCTTAAATTTAATGCCTCTGGAGATTGCAGGAAAACAAAAGATTTGGCCAGTGGCAGAGCTACATATATAGTGGGGCTTACTTACGTATTGCCCCCGATTATTATTATGAATTCTTGCGCACGGCAAGAGAAGGAACCATTTTTTTAAATAAACATTTCCAGTACACTCGAGGCACATACAACACACTGCACACACTCACACGCAGCAGTGGGTGTTGCCCGAAAATTAACATTTTCATACTGAAACACACGCAAAACTGTCAGAAATTGAAATCTTTTTCCCCCCCTTGGCCAAACATTTTTCGGCTGAGTCCGGGCAAAAGAGGAAATTAAATGAAATACACGAAATGTAAACAGCAGCAGCCAATGATTCGTGGGGGATTTGGGGGGAAAGGCCGGGCGGTGTAGAGTAGGTGGAGATGGGTTGGACATGCAGCCGGAGATGAGAGATGAGAGGCACTGCCCAAGTGTATGAGAAAATGTACGAAAATTACTCATTTTCGGGTGGCAGAATGAAGCACAAGTCGAGTAAATGCAATTTTCCTTCATTTTCCTCCCAAATTTGGTCAATTTGCACACATTTACTATACTATACTATACTGTGAGCTAACTAGAGTGCTGGAAAAGCCACTGAGCCCCCACCCCGCCCGCAATGCATTTGCAATTTTTCATTTGTTAATGTCTCCCGGCGGACATGTTTATTATGTCTCCTTATCACAAATCGGAATCCAATTGCAATTACAATCAGCCCGCTATATACATATATACACTCGTACAGAGATACATACATGAGCACACTTTTCCATCGACTGAGTGACCTTGAACTCTCTGCCTGATATATGCACATACCGTATGAAAATATTATTGTGATTATTAAATTTATGGCAATCCCCATTCGAACTGTGCCAAGAAAAGGAAAGCAGAACCTGCGGGTTTTTACTCAGGAATCGATATATAAAGTGTGTCGAGGAGGTCTGCAAATGTAATAATAAAGTATAATTAAACCTTGTACACACATCTCCCGTGCCGGATAAATTAATGGTCTGTAATTGATAAGTTGTTGGCAATAAGTTGCTGCTTTTTCTTTATTCAGACCAAGCACTTGTGTACACGTGCATTTGATATTTGAATAAATTATGAAGACGAGGGAGCCTAATTTAATTTAACCCAAGATACTCCCAGGGGTGCAATTGTATAAATTTCTCCTTAAGAATATGTTCCGTTTCATGAGAAATAGGTTTTCATATAGTAAGACTTAAATGTGTTCTATTTGGATATAAAAACAAAGGTCTATAAGATCATTTTGAATGTAAATAAGTGAAATATATTCATTATAAAACAGGAATTGTCTTAACACTATTTTCTAAAATGAGTGTATAGGAAATATAACCACTTTATAGTAAATAGAAAAAATTGTTTTATATTTTACACTCGTTAAAAATTTTAGTTTGTCAAATTCAATTTCTATCTAACTTGAGGTCTTAATCTTAATCTTCTATTCAAAGAAATCTCTAGATCCCTAAGTTTTAGCCAAAAGCCTTTTGTTTATGTTAGCCGAAAGAGTTTACAGCTAGATATTTTTATAAGAAAATTCTCAGAAGATATTAAGGATTTTATAGATTCCCTCAAAGAGATATAGACCAACAAGTGCATTTCGTTGGGTTTCCCTCAACATTTTTAAAGATCAAGCTAAAATAGAAGCGAGTTATAGTACTCTTAGTTAAAATTCGTTTTTACTGAGATCATTTTCAAATATGTATACGGACCTTAAATGTTTATTTTTTAAGCCAATTTTACCAAACTGTATACATTTATAAAAATAAACTATTTAAGGAAATTAGTGGTATCATTTCCGAAAGGATAATCCTTTGACACTCTCTTTTATGAGCTTTAACATACACCCCAGTGTGTATTATTCAACCGATGGCAAAGTTTATCGTGCTGCGAATGGAATTTCCAAAAATAGCTTGGGTCAAAGGGCAAGGCTGCACCATGACTGACAGAGGAGGGAAAGCAATTCCCAACCTAAAACGGGGAAAACATGGATGTGTCCCTGGGCCTCTCCTTTTAATGAGTCGCCTGGGCAGCAGCCGGCCGCCGCCCGCCCCCAAGTATGCTACACTAATTTTAGCAGAGCCGCGAATTAAATATTGATGCGCCTGGTTTATGGCGACCATTCAGAGCCCGGAACACTCACCCAGCAGCAGGAGTTTGATGTCCTTTGCCGCCTGTATGCCATCCTCCTTGAGATTGCGCTCGATGAGGCGACTCCTGGCGGCTGCGGCTCGCTCCTCGGCAGACTGTGCGCAGCCCATGGTGCGTATTGCCTCGACGCAAAACGTTTTGAAGGTCGTTTGGTATCGGCCAACTCAATGGCCGACTACGTTGCCAGCGAAGAAAACCAAGGTGTACGACGACGGCGGCGGTTCACTTTTTCCGGAGGGACAAATATACACGATGACGGGGGTCTTAACTAAATCGGGTATCCGAGGGGATCGATCCTGGAGCACTTTACTTTAACTTCAGTTTTTATTATTCTTTCTTATATATTTTTCTTTTGTAGTGATGGCACTTATTAAGCACTTTCTATTGAGTTTCCTCTTGGGGTCTTTTCTGCATTTAATTTACAATTTCTCACATTAGCGAAATACTCAACACATTATGTCACCAACATCAGTTTTGTTTTTATCTGCGCATTTTGTTTTGATCAACGGGAAAAAAGGATGCTTGGCTCAAGGATTCGCAATTTGTCCGCCAAGGGGAGAGCCCAGTTGTAAACTGAAAAATTCGCGTGTCCGAATGAGCGAAAGGAAATTCGTTACTCGCTTGCAAGTGCGGGAAATTTTGTTGTCTTTGCCTAGAAAAACTTGAAAACTAGAAGATAGAGCAAAGAGCGAAGAGCGCGAGAGTAGCGAGTGGAAAAGCTCTAACTGGGGGGGCTTTCGGAGTGTGTAATTAAGGAGCTTGTCCAAGACTCTTTATTTTTCATTAACCAAAATTCGTAATCTCCAACGCGAATGAACATGTGTGGCGACAAAAATCAATAAGTTATCACCAAAAATTCTGCACTTTTTGTCGCCTTTTGTTCTGCGGGAACATCAGCAGTTGTTTCCTGCGGTGTATGACATGTACAATATTTGCTATATGGATTTATATCTATATACGATTAAGAGCTCCGTTGTTTGCAACTCTCCACCATATTATTTTTCCTTCTCCATTCTACAAGTCTTACAAGTGGCCATAAACAAGCGAGAGCGACGAGACGGGGTGGAGAGTGGAGAGCTTGGGCTGGAAAATGGGCACATGCTGACGCAAAGGCAGCGAAAAGGAGGCGAGTTTTTTCGTTGTTGTTTCAGCCAAATAAAAAAAGCACAAACAAAACTTTTCTCTTGTACACTTCGCAGCTATTTGTTTTTGTATTCCAGCACGCTAAATGATTCATGCTTTATCCAAAAAATACAACAAAAAAATAAGAAAAACGGAAAAATTTAAGAAAGCAGGGAAGATCTTTCGCCAGTTGTTTTTTTTAAGGTTGATCATATTATGCGGAAAACTAAACTGTAATTGGTAACACGATTTGCACAATTATTTTAGAATTTTTTACACTAATTTTTCGCAGTTTGTAATATGTTAAAAACACTAATTAAACGGATATTTGCATTTTGCAAAGCTCTCTTTTGTGCGAGTTGGCTGGAGAGCTGGCAGAATTCAACTGAAGCAATGGAACTAACGGAACCGTGCGTGCCTGGATGCGAGAATCTTCTTGCTCTCTCTTTCTCTGGCCACGGTGCCGCCCAAAGAGGCGAGCTTTCACAGTGTGTACATTCTTCAATGGTGAGGCAAAAGCTCTCCTTTGTGGGAGAGACACGGAGAGATAGAAAGCGCACCTGCGCCGGCGTCACTGGAAAGTTTAAAAGTCAGAGAGGGACATGGAGCCTGCGCAGTCCAGGCAGCAGCGAGTAGCTGAAAGACAAGGACAACCAAAGCAGCGAGTGCGCCCACGCGAGTTGGTTTTTTGGTCCTTTTTCCCATATTTCCATTATATTTGGTTTTTTTTTTTGTGGGAGCAACTTAAAGTGGCTTTGCAGTTTAAACGGAGAATGCTCCTCCCTCTCACACGCAATTAAGTCGACGGCTTTAGAACTTTGCCACGTTTATGGGCCAAGCCAAAGCGCATTAACACAAACAGCAGTTGGCCAGAAGCAGGATCCTCTGGCTCCCTCTCTCGCTATCTCTCTCTCTCTCTCGGCCGCAAATTTAAGCAATGCCAATCGTTAGATAAAACAATCGCATTGATTCTATTGATAGGATTCCGATTGCGATTCCATTGCTGGAACTTTGATTGAGTGTCTCCTCGATATGCTGCAATGTAAATCGCGATGGCTGCAGGACCGGTTTGATTATGACCAAATCAATTAACGGTCCAATAAAAGCAGTCATTGAGCCCCAATTAGAGAGCTGCCTCGGTCCATCAACGGGCGAAATGGCGGCAATTATTTATACCTAAGTGTACAGTAGGGCCAGCCTGCCATGAATTGATTGCCCGGCCCTAATGGATCACTTCCTCGGGATGGAGAACTTAATTTGGGTTGGGAAATGTTCTGCGAATTACTTTGTCAAGGTTTAAAAAAGCAGAAAGTGGATTTAGTATATGTTCAAAATTAATTTGTGCATTTCTTAGACTTCATATTTTTCATTTCTGATTTAAAACGTGTTTTATTGTTTAACTTTATTACACTTTAAAACTAGGAAAAAGCTTAACAAATCACGTCCTGGTTTCCTTGGAATTAATTTGATATCCTGAATCTCAATTCAAGGAATACTCTCGTTTCCAAGAAGACGTTGCAATTCCACAATGCTCTTGTGAAGTCGGAGTAAGTAATAAATTAGGTACTGACATACTGATTCTTGAACAACGCAACATGGCAATCAAGCAGGATGTTTTCCTGGTACAGCCTGATTTTCTAAGAAATTATAATAGCAACGCCATTGCCCTCACAGCCAATGCAAAGCTAGGGCGACGATAGTTACCCAAAAGGGTTGAAGGAAAACAAGGCAATTTTATGTTCCATGAGCGAATGGCGTGACAAAAACAAAATGTCAAAAAAGGACATTGCCAATGGGCGAAGTTCCACTGAGAACGACTTTATTTTCTCGTTCTTAAATCACATAAAATATTTTATATGTAGGTACAGGAACAATTCCATAAATTATAGGAGAAAACTGCAAAAAAGTATGCAAGGATATTAAATATTTCAATGTTTCAATTAAATATTTTATGCCTTTCTTTAGGGACACTTTTAAGAGATTTCAAATAAGATGTGCACATCAATAAATAGAATATAAATACTTATGATTTTGATATAATACTTGTATGTCTATGGAAATTTAATAATAATAATAATGGCTCTCCCCAGTGTATGGCATTTGAAATTCAAAGGGAAACCCCTTAATTTCGTTGCCCCTCGACCACCGTAACGAGCTTAATTAAATTATCACTGTGCGAATATGGACCAAAGCTACAGAGGCACAGGGAAAAAAATTGAAAACAATGAATGGGCAAATGAAATTATTGAATGAATTGGGAACCAGCAAAGACCACGGACCCAGAGGACCGAAGGGAGAACGAGCGAAAAACCGCAAAACCGCAGTCAACGACAAACGGCAAACAAATTGACAGCGTTTTTTTTTTTTAATTTTTTGTTTATCACGCGATCTCTTCGCTCTTCGCTCCAATGACAGGCAGCGGCAAAGTGGAGCACTTGTGCACTTGTCGCCTCCATCCGTGCCCCGGTAGCTTCTCCTCCATGCCATCCGTCCGTCCATTGCCATTTGGCGTGCCGTTTTACGGCCTGCAACTAGCTCGGCGGAGGTCGGAGGTCGCGGGCTTTTGGCACTCGGGCGACATTTGACTCTGCTCAATTAAGTTCGATTTGTGTTGTACTTGGCATCTTTTATAGTTTACTTAACGAGCCTGTTTATTTGCATTGCCCTGGGTTTTGCGTTTGCAAGCGAGAGATTCGATTCCGGGAGTCGTGGGTCCAAGAACTTAATTGCTTTGCTACATTGAATTGTTTAGTAATCTAGATTGGATCTGACCATCGATAGCTTCGTTTGATGACCCCAAAAATAATTATTGCTTGATAGAGTAAATTGAAAGAAATGTTCAGAGGAAAGTTAAATAATCAAGGGGTGTGAAAGTGAATTATTTGTAGAAGATGCAAATCAAGAGATTTATCTCGTACTTTGTTACTTTGAGAATTGAACACTTTCAATTATTTGAATTATTTGTAGAAGAATCAAGAGATATATCTCGTACTCTGTTACTTTGAGAATTGAACACTTTCAAAACATATATATAATTAAAATTGCGTTATCAGAGCATTTTTTAATAGAAAACTTTCATGTCTGAAAGCCACATTTGTTATCATAAACTTATCAGTATCAATTACTAAGTCTTAGGGACTTTTACTTTCCGATAATATTATCTCTATCTTTAGTGTTTATAAAATGTAGCCAAAATCTTATGAAGCTAGCTTTATCAATTATTATTTACTCAAATTCCATAACAAATAAAATACTCTTTGTTATTTTAGTGCCATAAATAAAGAAATATTTCATTAAAACTTTGGCCCTAAAAATTCATAACTGAGCCAAAAAAGCATTCATTAAAATTCCGAAAGCTTTTTTTTGTTATTTTTTACTACATTATTTAATCTGCATACTTCATTTAAAATATACAAAATTAAACATTTTGGACATCCTTTTCTGCGTTACAAGCTTCTTACTAAAATTATAACACCCTGCACGGGTATAGAACCTCTAGTATATTTATCTAGATCTAAATATAAGCAAACGCCTTAAGATAGCCCCCAGAAGTTAACGTATATATTTGTCTATCCCGCCACAATTTCAAATTGTTCAGGAATGCAACATTCTTCCTCTGCTGCCGTATCACTCAACACACAAGAGTTGGAAAAGAGGCAAACAATGTGAAAAACTGGCATCGAGAACGTTTCCTCAATAACCTTTGGCTTGAGAATTATGCTTCAAGTGGCAGTTTTCTTCAAAACTTCCGCTTGTATCGCCGCTTCCAGCCACACCCACTCGCCTTCTGCATGTCGCACACCCCTATAAAGTACCACCCACCCACCGTTCACTCTCTTTCCTTCCGTCCTGTGCCGTCCATTGTTTCGTTAGTGTTTCCTGGCCGCCATTCGATGCTTCCGCCTGCCATTTATTGCCCCTTCTCGGCCCACAAGCTACCCGCAACCAGCAACCCGCTTCCCGGTAGCCACACCACCGCCTGAGAGCCATGTTGCAACATGAGCTGCAATCCACAGGAGCTGCTGCTGCACGCCACTTCACTCCACTTGTGCTCCTTGTTGCTTGTTAGGGCGTTTAAAAGTTTTGCCTGATTGCACAGAACAACAGCGAGTTACTGTGGCAGGATTAATACGTCTACACTTGGGGAAAATCTTTGCGAAATACAAAATTATTTAAGCAACTCTATTCTACTTGGGGATTTTAAAATGAAAGTACACAGACCATAGAATATCCGTCTTTAACAATGTGAATCCTGAATATGTTCTGGTTCGAGAGTAAGCTTCCTTTTTCAGTGTAGTGCATCTCTGCTTCTTATGTTCGAATATCCAGGAACAAGCTTGTGTGTAGGATGTTACAGTGAAAGAGAACCACAAGGGTATGTTGCAGCTTTGTCCTTTCGCTGCCTTCCACTGCATCCTTTCCTTTCCTTTTTTGGCGAGTCAAAGTCAATAGTATTAACTGACATTTCAATGTCACTGTCCCAACCTGGTTTTAGGCAACACAAACACACCCATGCTTCACCATCCCCTCCCACACCCAGTCCCAGCTGGCGTACACACGTGCGCTTGTTTCAATGTCAAGTGGCGTCGATTGCCTTCACTCGCTGGCGGATGCAGACGCACTTCTGGCTAAATCTCAGCCTAAGGCTAAGGCTAAGGCTGCACCCACTTGCGGATTGCGGTTGATGTCAAACAGTGGGATGGCGATAGCACTTTAAGCTTGTGTTCCGGGTATTGTGTTTAAAATTAAACCATGTCGAAGTATCCTTTTCAATATTTATCAGAAAAGCCAGTGTCTTGGACACATAAGCTAGATCCTGTTTCGTAGTCTTTACTATTTTTCTTAAGTTTGTAAATTTCCCAAAAAATGTACAACTTATCGTAAAATATGAAGCAGGAATCAGTACCCCTTTACGAGCAAGTTCTAAGAAGATCTTTGTAATTTTCACCTGTATTTACAATTTTCCATTTCCCGAAAATATCATGAATTTTATTCCCAGCGGCAATGAATCAGTATTCATCCAAGCACAGAGTGCCATTGCACCACTTGAGAAGAGGTGAGGTGAGGAAGCTCCAGAAAGCCACATGGCTCCTCCTCGACAATGTTTAGTTTTCACACTCGACCGGCAGAGGCAGATGCAACTGTTGCTGCTGCCATTGTTCTTGATGTAGCTCCTTCATTGCACAGTGGGACAAGGACTTGATAATAGAACTTCAAAGGCTAAAGGATAACCGTAACCCGTTAATTATAATTTTGAGTCTTAGAGTTGACGAAAGACTCTCTGTCGTAATATAACTTTATATTTATATTAATAAATACAAAGAATCAATAAAATAAAGTTTATTTTCCGTATCTGAGTGAATCATACGAATATCCTTGATAACCCTAAGGTAACTACAAGTCCGAGAAAAACGAAAGATACCTTATAGACCTGTAAACAATACCGGATATATGAAAAGGAAGAAGCAAGTCCAAGTGCTCTGATAATAATTTCAGGGATATGTGAAGGCCGGCATTTCCGCCACTGTGCGGTGAAAGTGTGTGCAATAAATTTTCCCCTATCTATCGGCACCGAAAAACCGAAATTACAATTTTCCAACGCACTTAGTCAAGTGGCCCGTTTCCGATAAATGCTCGTCTATATCCCCCGTGGAAAAATATCTACATAAAACAAGTGAACGCTGACGCAGCGATGAATTTTCACTTCCGGTGAAAAGTGCTCACTTACCCAGAAGCAGGAGCTTGATGTCCTTGGCCGCCTGAATGCCATCCTCCTTGAGATTCTTCTCGATCTGTTTGGATCGCTGTATGGCGGCGCGTTCCTCGGCGGATGTGGTGCAGCCCATTGTGTTGTTTTTTTTTCTTTAGTTTTGGGATTTGGGATTTGCGGAGGTGCGTCGGAGTCTGGATTTGGATCTGGATGAACGCGGGGACTTTTGCCAATACGCCTTTCGCTTTCTCTTGTCTCTTGCGCTCTCTTTCTCTCTCTATATATGTATATATCTCTTTGTTGTTGCCTTATTTGTTTATGTACAGTTTAACGGTCTCCGTCTCCACTGAAAACAATAACAAATGCACACGGGTCAGGCGGGTGACTCACGGGGGAATTGGTGTAATGGGCCAAACAAGGACAACCGTATGGCTGCTGCCACTGACTGTAACTGGGCCTACTTTTATGGTCGCCACTGTGTGTCCAATAGGGCGCGCACTGTGCTTTAACTATATGTTATTGTTGTTGCTGTTGTTGTTATCAGACAGACGCAAAGCAAAAGCCAAAAGCAAAGACAATGGCAAACGCAATGATAGCAAGCTAATTTGCATATGGAGAGTATGTTTTCTGATATCGAAAAAAAACAACATAAAAAAACAAAAAATTCATCAATCGCCCTGATAAGATAAGACATCGGGCCAGATCTCGATAAGAGCGAGCTAATTTATCATGTAAGTGAATTAGTTTTTGGGGAAAATGTATCCTTGCTTTTGCTTCTACTTTTTGCGTATGTTTAGTTTATTTATTTAATTGATTTGTAATTTGATTTTTAACCGTTTTGTGTTCTTTTTTTGTGTATGTATTTAGCAGAGGGCGTAGGCGCAATGTGCCGGCTATTTGGGAAAACGCGAGCGGGGTTTGTGCTGTTCCGGGGGCTTTTCCCCTTTTCAGGGAAATTAAATGTTGCCAAAAATGTTAGCTCCGTTTTTATGCGCTTTTTATGCAAAAAGAATAGTGCGTGGGCTTCCCGAATTCGATTGTATAAATTTTCATTTAGTTTTCGTTTCACTCACTCGCACACACTCACTCACAGATACTCACGCACACACTACGCACTCTCGCGCGCCACACCCCCCGCCCACTGGGCCGCGCCACCCACCACCACCCATTTGAGTTTTCCTTTCCTTTTTTTTGTTCACATTTCAGCTTTCAGCTTCACATTTACCACCGCCTAGTTTTCCAGCCAGCCGTATACACACCAGCACAGTGTGCCTGTGTCTGTTTCTGCTGCTGCCTTCGCGTGACTGTGTGTGTGTATATGCGTGCTGCAGGAGAAGGCTTTTCGCTTCCTCTCAGCTTTCGGCCCTTTTCCCAGCGCTTTTCGTATCGTGTTCCGCTTGCACCCGCACTGATCGTGTTCAGCATTTACCGTTGCACTTGCCGAGCACTTGCACTTGTACTTTTTGGCCGCAGTGATATTGGTAAATTACACTTTTTAGTGTGCGAAAATTTTGGCTGCTCTCTCGCTTCCTTCTCTCTTTCAAACTGCAGAGGGCGGCCAGCTGTTTGGCGCAGCTCTTGCGCAGCACTGGTCGCGGCGGGGGAGGGTGTTACCCAACACTGGTCGCAACAGCTGCGCGATCTATTTAAAAATCAAATTATAACAGAAAAAGGGATTTAAATTAAAAAATATTATTTTTCAGATAAAAACCTTTAGAGAATTAGTCATTTAATTAAAATTACATTTTTTCTACAACTAGTAGAGTAAAACAATCGGGGATCTAATTAAAAATGCAAGTAATGGCAAATGCACATTTAATTTTAAAAATATATTTCAGATAAAGACTTGCTTACGTATTAAAGTCATTTGACTAGTTTTACAAATATAAGTGCACAGTCAGACACATAACCTTCAGAAAAAAGTTGCTAACAAAAAAAATTTGGTGTTTAAAAGCTTAAAATGAATTAAAGCTTTGATCTACCTAAGAGAGAGAACAAGAAAACTATACAATATAATTTTATTTATTAATTTTTATTTAATCCTAATTTTAATGTCACAAATGTTTTTAAACAAAGCATATTTGTTTAGTAAACATATGTAGAAAGCACTTTTAAGGAGTAGATACTATACTATAAGTTTGGGACACTATTCTAAGCCGTTTTTGAGGGTTTAATTTGAAATATAATGAATTAATCGGTTTTTTTATTCGCTGGAGATGTTACCTTGGGCCTGAGGGAATGTGTGAGAAAAAAGAGCTTCGCCCGCCGGTTCCGCCACTTTCAGTGTGCTCTTGATGATCTTGTGCGTGCGTCGCATATGAACGCCCAAGCTGACGCGCTCCGAGAAGCGTGTTGTGCACAAAGAGCACTGCAGCGTCTTTTCCTTGTGGATGTGCCGATGCTTGACCAGGGCATTGGCATTCGTGAATGTCTTCTGGCAGATTTCGCACACCTTGTCGCGGATGTTCAGGTGCGCCTTCACGTGATCCTTGAGATCGCGCTTGGTGAGAAAGTCCTTGGTACACATGGTGCACTTAAAGGCGCGGATTTTTGTATGCACCGCCGTCACGTGGGTGGTCATTTGGATTTTCTGCTTGAACGACTTGCCGCAGAACTCGCAGACGAACGGCTTCGCGACGTGCTTTTCGTCGTGCGTACGCTTATGAGCCGCCAGTTGGTTGTTGAAGGCGAAGCTCCGGTCACACAGGTCGCAGGCGAACGCCTTGCTCATGTGCACCCGCTGTATGTGCTGATGCAGGTGGCATCGCCGATCAAAGTTAAGCTCGCACACCGTGCACCTGAACCAGCCGCCGTCGCCCATTTTGTGGTCCCGGAACTGGTGCGCCTGCAGAGCGTGATCCGTGCTAAAGGCCTGCTCACACGCCTCGCACTTGAGCTTCTGGCGAAACGTCTTCGTGGGCATAAAGGCCTTGCAGCGTTCAATGTACCGCTTTTCGGCCACGGAGAGGCCCACAGACTGCACATCGGTAAGGGTTTTAATCCGGCGGGAATACCATTGCCGAAGGCTCTGAATACTGTCGTATACCTCGTAGTGCGTGTGAAGGCCCAATCCCGAAATCTCAGAGCTCAGCAAATCAGTCATCTCCAAGATAGCCGACTTACGTTCGCTCAGATTAGAGAAGTGTTTGTGCGTCGGATCGTAGAGATGCGGGAACTTTGCGTACAGATCGATGAACAGGCTGGTCAGTCGGTTCTCCTCAGTAAACACCAGCTGTCGGGGAATATAAATATTCAGTTAGCTCTGATCTAAATGTTGTGTCTCCAATCAATCCACCTTGATCTTGGCACAGCCCTCATCCTCATCGGTCTCAGCCTCCGCGGGATTCCCACATTCGGCCAAGAAGGTATACTTGGCGTGGTAGTACAGTGGTACCTGGGTCAGCTTTTGGGTCTTTTTCTGGCGCGTAATGGACGCATATTGGGAGTGCAAGCTCGAGATGCACTTCTTCAGCTTGTACGCAGTGAGATGGAGGTTGACGGAGTTCTTTAGCTGCTCCAGTAACTCATCGTAAGCAGCGCTACGCTTCTCCTTGTCCTTGTATGCATCATCCGCTGGATCCCAGAGGCAGGGTTTTTGCTGGTACAATTCAATGAACTTTGTGATCCTTGGACTGCGCCGGTAAAACGTGGGATTGAACTGGACAGGTGGGAGTGAGACCAGAGATCTTGATTGAATGTATAGTCTTCTTGGCGGACCAATAGAAGTAGCTTACTTTCGACAAGGGGCTGAAATCTGTAACTCCCGGCTCGCAGCCTAGCGCCATTCTAACATCGTCCACATCTCCGTCTCTCGCTTCACTGCCAGACTCTGGCTCCGAGGACACGGGCAGGTCCACGAACATGTCCTCGGCCAGACAATCTTCCTCCTCTGCCTCCAACTTCAGCCCGCTGTTCTCGCTATCACAGTGCCTGTCCTTCTCCTCGACTTCCACTTCCGTGTCCGTTCGCTGGTGGCCTCTTATGTGCTGGATAAACTCCCGCCACCGCTCCAACTCCATCTCCACAGGGCAGGGGCTCTCATCGTCTTGGCCAGAAGCACCTGTACATGTTAGCATAAAGTGCTCGTAGTTGTTCCACGCCAAAAGATTCGCGCAAATCATAATACGGATTACAAACAAATGCAATAGAGGTGGGCAATCCGACACCAATAGCTCTGTGTATCGGAATGTGTCATCCTATATCGATATCGATAAAGGTGACAATGAAATCGATAATTCAATAGTTTGAATTTTTCTAAACCTGTCACCCATGTCATTACGCGTCAGTTCTTTCTTTTTTCTACTTTTAGTAACTATACACAAACATAACACATTTATACATAAAATTTTAAAAGTCATTCGTTTGAACAACCATCTGGTTCTTCAGCTCCGTCCGCGTATCGTGCACATGGGCTACCACATTTCTCATGTGCGCCTGATAGATGCAGTAGTCCTGGATATTCAGCCGGACCCTGTTCTTCTCAATGGATCCGTAAAGGTACGAGTAAACGATCTGATCCACGGGCACATAATACTTTAGCCAATTGCGCCTGCGAGCTCTTTAAAGAGAAGATATATAAGTTAAATAAATCCAATTTAAAAAGAATTGAATGCAATCAAAATTCAATAACATTTCCTTATGGTGATCACTACTTACACCAACTCTGATCTGTTGTGCATGAAATTGACAAACTTTGCCAAGTTATCTACGTCCTTACGCAGGCTGTGAGTATAAAATGAAAATTAGTTAATATCAAGTATACGAGACACTTTTGGCACAGGTTAACCCACTTCTCCTCCGTTTCGGCGATGGTGGCACCGTCGCGTATAAGGCGAACCTCAAAGTAAAAGCCGTGACTGTACTTGTATCGCAGATACTGCAGACTGCCAATGGCCAGCATCTCGCCATGTATGAAAAGGATAATGAAATCAGCCAAAATTTTGCACTCCAGCTCATCATTGGTAGCAAAGATCATAGTCTTGCCGCAGTATCGCATATATCTCAATATATTCCAGATCTCACGCCTTGTCGTCGCCGGCATTCCGGCCGTCGGCTCGTCCAGGACCAAAATCTTATTGTATGCGACCAAGGCTAGGGCAACCTTAAGCTTGGCCAGCTTCTCTGCCGTAAGGAGTCCGCACCGACGGTGCATCCAACCGGTCATGTTGAGCATCAGGCACAGATCGTGTATCTTCTCGCTGATTTTCCTTTGCGGGACGCCGCGGATCATGCACAGCAGCCGGATGTGCTCCCTTGGTGTCAAATTGGGCAGCAGGCCTCGGTACTGCGGATTGTAGCCCATATAGGTGTGGATGCTCTCCAGGTCATACTTGAAGTCCAAGCCCCGCACATAGATCTCGCCGTAGGCAAATCCCTTCTCACCCACCAGCTGCTGGATCAGGTGGCTTTTTCCGGCATGGCGAGGTCCATAGATGCCCATGCTCATGTATCTAAAAATAATTTTAGTAAATGGATGGTTACTTTGGATACTTCAATAAACAAGTTAATTTCTCTATCCTCAATCAACTGTGTACAATTCTTAATTTCATCCCATTGACTCACTTGTTCAGGGCAAAGGATATGGTGTGAATTCTGTTACCCGTTTGTGGGATCTTAGCTTCCACCTGGTCCACTAAAAACACAGACTGCTTTGCCTTGGTATTATCCGCCTCGGCAATCTTTTGCTTCACATCAGCCACATCGCCGTCGTCGAAGGGATATGTGGCGGTACGCATTTTATGCAGGCTGCATGAGATGCACAAATTATTATTAACACATATTTCATTTATGATCTTACTCTCTGGAAGAGTGGAATTTCCTCTCCCGACGTTGGAGCTCGATCCAGAAAATAAGCACCAGGGCTATAATGGCGCATACGGACATACAGACAATAGCGGGCAAAATTCCCGGGGAAGACCATTTAAAGTAGGTGTCAACTGTGGGTAATGTAAGGTAGAATGTTCAAAAGAAAAATAAATAACAATTTAAACTAAACTCACATTTGCAGTTCGGCACTATCTCATGCATGTTCTTTGGTGTACAACCACGGTAATTCAAGCACTTGGCCCTACAGAGCCTGTGCTCTACGGACTGCGTATATATGTTGCTGATCCCGTCCAGCAGCGAGAAGCCCGGTGACATGCAAGCGCTGTGGTAGAACAACGAGTTGCTATTGGCCACATCCCAGTAGATAATGTACAGTACAAAACCGGACATGCCCTGCAGGATCATTGAGACGAGATAGGCCCGTAATATGCTAGAGTTAACAAACATGGTCACCAGATAGGTGATCGGAATTGCTGCCAGTCCAAAAAAGGCCAGCAGCATAACGATGATCAAGTTCTCAAACATCCCGAATCCTCCAATCCCGAATACAGCCATGATAAGCACAATGATGATCGAGTATATTAGGAAGTTAAACCAGTCCCAGAAAAGGTTGATGGTCCAGTAGACCGATAGACTCATACCGGCAAGATGTTCCATAAACCGGAAGTTATAGATTTTCTCCTCCATCATTGAGATGACGAACACGGATACGGTCATTGGGATGATGCATCCGATCGCTAAGGGGACGTGAATGTGAGCAATCTTGTTGTCCAACAGGTTGATCTTCTTGGATATTCGCGTGGGCATGGGATGGTTGGTCACCATAGTCGCTAGGTCGGTTCGTCCTGGATACGTAAGTCTAACAAAACAAAACAAATATTAAGCACAATCAAGAAGCATTGAATTAATGGATGTGAAGTTGAGTAAAAGCAGAGTTTTAAAGTATTTCAAATATGTTTCTATGGCAGCTAAATTATATAGTACACCGATCTGGGTCATTCCACATGTATTCGGCAACAGAAATAAGTCCTTTCGATGGCTCAACACATGAGCATAGTATCGGACAGACAGACAGCTAGACATGGCTAGATCGAATCGGCTGGTGATATTGAAACATACTTGAGGATAATGTTGTGGACCAGATTGAGCACCATGGGGGCCGAGTGGAAGATATCCGTGGTGATGAAGCCATTAATTTGGCTGCCATCTTCCAACAACTCCACGGCTCCCTTGCTCTTAAGCTCGTGCATCCGTATTAAATCATCGCGATACGATCCCTTCTCGCAAGTAAACGAGTTCGTTGTAAAAATCCTTGCCACCGCAACCCGATTCTCTTCTTCCGATGCGGTGCTATATGTCGTTGTCGATTTGATGTCAATGTAACCGCAACCTTTGACATCCGGTATGGACGAAATAACAGATGGATCCTGGAACCCGATGCGGATCGAGTTGGCGCGACTCTTCCCAGTACCGATCAGCACCGTGATGCGTGCAATCATTGCGATCAGTACAAATGTGGCGATGATCATGATGACGGGCCAAACATTCGGCGCCGAATTGATCATTCTCTTGTAGAACATGGCCCGAATTCGCTGTCTTTTTAGCTGTTTCTTGGACACCACCTGGTACTTAAAGGTTTGAGCTACACAGTGATGGGAAAACATTCCCATTATCCACTATCCATTATTTTATAAAACTAAAAGTCTCGAACTCACTGACATCCGGAATTATCTGCTGCTGCAGTCGATATGAGGTGACCAACTGCATATAAATATCGGATAGCTCCGCACCCACAACCTTGAAGTTCTCGATGCCCAGCTTCTTGCGATCGCTCTCCAGGTGAATGAGTAGCTTCTGCAGACGTGGACGGAACTCAGAAGGCAATCGGTAGGTAAGTGTATCTCCAATCTCGTTTTCGGGCTCCACAAATGGTTGAAACTTGTTAATAAATTCAGTGATTGGTACATCAGGGACGTGGGGTTTCTTTATGATAACCTAAAAAAATTGGTGCATTTAAATACAACATTTGTTAAATTTAGATCGATATTTCATAAGGGGAAGAGTATATAAAGTTGATCAAAATAAATACCAGTTCCACGGAGCTATTGAACTTGGCTCGCAGGAAAAACGGCGTGCCACTAGCCTCCAGTACGCCCATGCTAAGGATTCCGATCCTATCGGCCACATGCTCCGCGTCTCCAAAATTATGGGTGGCGAAAATGAACGCCCGATTTTCCTTTTCCGAGTTGACAATCGACCAAAAGACCTGCGCCTCCCGGTCCGACAGTCTTTCCGTGGGCTCTTCCATAATGATGATCTTTGTGTCCCCGGCCAGGCAGCAGCACAATGCCACCATTTGCATAGCGCCCGAATTAAGCTTCCCAATTTTTGTATTCCGACTCTCGATGAGAGGATCGAGTATTGCCAGCCACTTGCGTTTCTCGATCTGATATCGATCCGAGTCATTGGCCGTCAGCTTGAGGCGCACATGAAAGTCGATGGTCTGCTCCACTGTTAGCTTCTCATTTAGTCCATGCTCTGCGAATCGGAAGTCAACCAGGTGACGTTGCCCACCTAAAAGTACACGGTATCAACTTTAAATTTATGAACCAAATGGGAAATATTGCAACAGTTTGTACAGTCACTTATTTAAATAAATAATTAAAGAACCCTCCCCACCTACCGGTGTTTAGAAAGGGCTTGTCCGTTAGCAATACAGTGCCGCGTATTGGGTATTTCAAGCCAGCCATGACCCTAAGGAGGGTTAGCTTCCCTGATCCGATATGGCCGAGAATCACGTACACCTCACCCTGGTATATGCGGAGAGATATATTCTTAAGAATCTTTCGCTCCGAGTCTCGGTGTGTGGTACTTATGTGGCGCAGTCGCATTAACTCTATGATGCCAGCGTCTCCGAACTCAAAGTTACTGATGCTTGGCACCTTGCTCATGTGCATCATGACCTTATCCGAATCCTTTGCCTTTCGCGCCCGATTGTTTACTACTCGCCGGCTAAGATACCTACCCGGAATTCGCCACTGCAATGCCAACAGGAGGAAGTAGTAAATCAAGCCCGATCCTATGACCGAGACGAAGAGCACGACGAAGTCGTTGGTTCTTATAAAATCGGGGTTTTCGTGAGAATACCTAAAAAGGTCCATGGCAAAAAGCATCTGGCAATTGAAGAAGCTAACTAGGATAAAGAAGACATAGTATTTGTGGGTGTCCCAGTAGCGCTCCAAAACAATGGCGAAGGCGGCATATGTAAAGAGCCACACGCCCAGAGCAAATAGAACCGCGTTGGTGGGATTACCGAATAGCTTGGCCACCACCAAAGCAGTTATTATAAGCTCCACAGTGAACAACACCACGAAGCAGACGAAGGCCAGAATAGCGAAGCCGGATAATTGTTTGTTATCATCTCCAAACACCCAGAAGCACTAAAATGGATAGAAACATTTTATTATCGATTATTTCTTTATACTGTACTTTTAGATAAATTCCTATAGGATGTTACTTACCACAATAATCAAAATGAAAATGGCACCAAGTATAATCAATCTAAAAAATAACACACAAAATTTTATAGCCCATTGCGTTCCGAAAGAATAACCATAATACCACTGATGGACCATGACACCATCCTGAACCTGGGACGCCACGTTCTAAGGGAGTTTAGTTTCACTATAAGTTATCAGAGTTATCAGAATAAACTTTTAAATACATAAATATACTATAAAGGTTATGTTACAACTTAGAAATAATGATATTTTTAAGCTCAACTGGCTTATTAGGTATATGTATATTATATATTGGAATATGTTAGATATTATGATTAGACTCACTCGGATAATGTTCAGGAAGGGGAGCAGGTATATAAAATAATACAAGAACGTGGGCAGCCGGGCAAGACTCATTGCGACGCAGGGCTCATCGGCAGCCTTAAGAAGGATGTTGTACATCAAGACATTGGGTTCCGAATATTCGCTGTTGAATTTTTCAAGCAATCGATGGTACCACTCTAAGAAGACCTGATGCTGAAGCTGCAGGAATCCCTCGCGTATGTATATATCCTGCTTAATATTTTTGTCCACTTGCTCCCGGTCGCTATTGATGAGTCCCGAGCAGCGAGTTATCCAAAGACGGTCCTCAGTTTGGTAAGATTTTACCGTACGGAACTCACTGGGGAAACGGATCAACATATTGAGTTTATTGGGCACATCATTGAGATCATCTCCTCTGAAAACCAGACCCGCTAAAGTGGTCCGTTCATCTAACTGATTCTCTAACTCGTCCTCGCTCTCGAAGGGAATCGTGTCATTAAGCTCCAGTGTCATCATCACCTTTCCGGCCAGTTGAGAAACAAAGGGCGTATTGGGTGTATAGCCCAGGTTCAACCGGGTCTTTTCCCGCCTTGAGTCCGTCACACTCCTAAGATATTGAGGTAGGTGAAGGTCAATAAAAAACGCTTATGTTAGGTTAATAATAATAAGCTTACTGTAATATGGAGAGGTCGGTCAGCGTGTGCGACTCGATGCTCTTCCCCTTCTCGGTTCCGGTACGCTTGTACAGCAGGCGCTTGGAGTGGGCGATGGGATTAAGCAGGATCACCAGGACCATGATTATCAGTGCGACTGCCTCGAAGAGCGTGTGCCGCCACATATTCAACTCGATGCCGATGTAGCGCCTAAAAAGCAGACCCTTGGTGGCCGGCATTGTGAAAATATCCCGGTGCCGGTGTATTTGAAAATTATGTATATATTCACAATAAAAATAACATGTAAAAGGGAGCCAAATTTGTTATTGGACCCAGGATGTGGAATATGTCAAGTTTGTTATATATTGAATTCAAAGCACATTGTGATGATTTTCTATGTTATGGCTTTATGGCGGTAGGAATAATTTGAAATGAAAATGTTCAATATCGTAAATTTTTAAGTTCAATTCAATATATCGATAAGATATACATATACATATATAATTTTAGTCGATTTTTCTACCTATCGATAAATATACGAAATCGAATAACCGCAGTTGATCTACAACAAATTAAAAACAAGCATAATTACATTTCCTCTTAAAGCAATACACTAAAGATCTTCGATGCAGGAAGACTTTGAACAGGACCAGTGGTCAATCGGGGACGACTCACTGTTCCAGGCTTGCGGACTGATTGTGGCTGCGGCGCACGCCGGCAAGTCGATATTCATAACCTGGAATCAGTACTATTTGCTTAACTTTCGTTTTAAGAAGCCGAAAGCGGACAGCAGTCGCGTCAAAATGACCAAGGTGCGAATACCACTGCCCTCGAGGACGAGTGGCAAGTACCTGAGGAGCGTGCACACGCTGAAGTTCAACACGATGCTCCTAATGTCCGACGGCGGGATCTACTGCTTTGGCTCCTTCAAGGCTCTGCATGCCATCCAATGGCTTAGTGGTGTACGATGCTTTGCCATAGTAGGCAATGGATTCAGCGTTATAAGGGAGCAGGAGCACCGTCTACTGCTGCAAACCTATCTCGACCTTCCCGGATTGGAGAAGGGCGAAAGCACGCTACAGCACACGTTCGACATTACGTACGACGAGCAGAACATATTCCAATGCGATTGGCAGCATGACGAGTACACACTGACCACTCTAATGGTATCCAGCGAGAAGGAGGAACAGTTCACGCAGCGCCTGTTTGGGGTCACAGCTGCCCAGCAGGAGTACGTCCACATTTTCAGCATAGGCGGGCATGTGTTTGCCCTGTGCAAAACCGAGCCTCGTGAAGATGGAGCAGAGAGCTCATACCACATCGAGCTGCTTTGCGTGTACGCTGCAATAGTAAAGTTCATTCGCATCCTGCCCGACCAGAACCTTTGTTTGGTGTTCCTCAGTAATGGCAGCGTAGACATGTGGTACGTTTCCTGTTTGCTTGACATCAAGCAGCGTCAGATGCATCACACCGGCGCCGAGTGGCTGGACTATGATGCAACCAGTCAGAAAGGCGACTTCTACTACACCGACGGCCTGCAGCTGGTGCGACTAAGATTCAAGTACAACGACCAGCTGGACGAGTGCTATGTCCACACCATGGTCAAGCCAGTGCCCGGCATACAGTGCTGCACTTTTCTGGAGCACAGCGAGCAATTGGTTTGCCTCAGCGACAATAATATATTCTATCGCATAGGCTTCGAGGCAACCGATCATAACAATGACTCCCCAATGGTCGACTTCACAGCCGAGTCCATTGAACGGATACAGCACAATGCCCAAGCCCTAGAAGCGTATAAACGACAGCCAGCTATTCTCCAGGAGGCACTACAGAAGGAGTACGAGAATCAGCAACTGATTGCTGTGGGTAGAAATCGTTTCGACGACAGCCTTCAGGCATCCCTCGAATTCCATCGTCGAATTCCCAGCTACGAGGACGACAATGTGCTGTTATTGGAAGCTCAACCTGAGGAGGCGACTCTTAAGGCAGGCAGCCTTTATGCCGTGCTGAACCTCACGGTCATCAATAGCCAACCTCTACAGCATAGTAATAACTGGCAGCTTTTGATTTGTTTTGACCGCAAGATACATGGCTTTCTGTTGCCCACGAACACGCTCTTGAACAGAAGATGTCGCATTGTGGTGCCGCTGAGGAAGCTAAAGAACGAGTTTTTACCTAGATTTAACATCAAATTGGTGGCTTTTATTGAGATCAGTAACATGATAAGTGCGGTGCTTCTTCCTGTAGCGGTGACCAAGAGTGCAGCCACCTATCGTTCTCTTTTCAGTTCCAATCGATCGTTTGTGGATTTTCGCTCGTATGATCTGCAAAAATTCACGGCCAAGGTATCACCAAGTGTAATTCAGCATACAATTCATTTCGGCAACAGCTTAACTCTACCTCAAATGGCTTGTCTCTTTAATGCCTCTGAAAAGAAACCCGACAGTTTATTAGAGTTGTACTTTCTGGATGACGCCAAGTTGCGACTCCAAGGGACTTCAAATGATTCAATGGGAACTTTAGAAAGCGAAGACGCGTCCGCAATTTATTATTTTAAGCAGCACTTAGTTCTTAATGGGGATACGCGGGACCCAGAACCCATATCCTTGGATCAAGTATTGAAATTCCATTGTGAAACACAGCGATTGAACAGCAGTAAGCAAAATGAAAATATAGTAGAGTCTGGGGAAAATGTCATTATGCGTTTAGAGTCCAAATATAGAGCATTAAGAAGTTTAATTTTTTAAAAGATTCCTTACATATAAAAAGATATATTCCTTAATACATTTTCTTCAATGGATCGTTAGAAGGTAACGTTATATTAAGGCATTATGAATAATTATAGAGCTTATACTTTATTAAGGTACAAGCATTCCTTAATACATTTTCTTCAATGGATCGTTAGAAGGTAACTTTATATTAAGGCAATCTGAATAATTATAGAGCTTATACTTTATTAAGGTACAAAGCATTTAACCTACATTAATAATTAATTTATTATTTTTCAGATATAAGCTTTTAAATTATACATAATTATAAACTAATTTTTTTAACACCTCAGCGGGAATTTATTGTATGTCTTACAAAATAATAAAGATTTATTTTTATAAACAACTTCTATTGTACCTGGTATTCGATGGGAAACAATATTGATAAGCAATTATCGATGTGTCGAAGTTTTTATACTTTCGAAATTTTCAATTGAATATGTAGTGCATTGTATATATTATATATGGGCAATTCTCCAGAAACGTGCACCGCGGCCAAAAACTTAAAATTGCTTAAAAACGAGTATTTTTAACATGATTACATTAAAAATTGGTCAGGATGATCAAGACTAAGAGAATTTTTTATTTTCTAAAATAAGTTTCAAAAAAATCGATGTCAAACACGCGCAAACGCAAATAATGTTGTTTTTATCAAAAAAAGGCATAAAAAATGGCATGTTTTGTTTTGATGCCCATCTCTTAAACCGAACCATTTTGCTTTAACTTTTGGTTTCTAATATGACATAAAAAACCCAAAGATTCAATATTAAGTGCAAAAGGACATATCCGATCACCAATATTCGTACAGTTTCAGTTTGAATTAGCGCTTTCCAAACTGTCGCGTGCGACCGGGACTAAAATTGAATTTAAAAAATAACTACTTAATATTTTAAAATCAAACAAAATACGTTAGTAAGATAATTCATTGCGTAATTCATTAAAATTTATTGTACTACAATTTTTCATCACGTTTCGCTGAAATCAGAGCTTAAACTGGTTTTTTTCAAATGTAACTTCTATTTTTGTCGCGTGCGAACGCAGTACATTTTAGTGAATATCTTGAAAACAAACAAGGGTTCAAAATCGACCTTTGCACCAATTATAGTGCTAACCAAGAGCTATACGTTTCAATTTTTATAAAATTAAAATAAAGTCTTGGCACATGTGTTTTTTTAGTTTGAATGCGTACGAATGTCGCATTCGACACCAGAGAATTGCCCATATACATCATTTATACATATGTTATAATATTTTATGGTCATAAAATTAAATTTTAGTCTTAGAGTTGAAACATAAATTATACTATATAAATATATATGTAGAAAAAAAAAAACAGAAATACTGTCAACATTTTATTTCCTTATACATATATTGTTTACAAGTCCAGTTTTACAATTTTTCTCCATACTTATCGTTCCAATGGCAGCTTTATAATATAATAATCTGATTTGTATTAAATTAAAGAAAAAATTTCCCCTGCTATGCAAACTTTTAACTAAAAGGGTATACAAATTATAAACAAATATTTTAAATTATAAAATATTAGTATTAATAGTCTATAGAAGTTAAATTTTAATTTTAACATTTTTGTTCTCTATATAAAAAAAATAAACATATTTTCTGAGTGGAAATTTAAAATTCAAATTCAATCATATTTTCATGCCCGATATCAAAATAAGAGAATCGTTCACGTTAAAGCAACTAAGAGTATTTGATTATGTTTGTGGTCGTTTTCACTTTATTATTAAACTTTGTCAGCATGACTGGCACTTTACTATCAATTCCCTTAAATAATGGCATTTGCGAGGTAGTGTGGCAAACAATAACAATACAATGCAAAAGTAGGTGGGCTTATAATGTGTTATCTTTTTTTTTGCGAATGTTTTATTCATGTGTATGTATCTCCCCTTTTGGTTTAGAATATTCCATAAACTTTTGTTTTTGAAAAACGGTATTGGGATAGGTTCAACAACTTTATAATGACATATAATTTTTTCCTACTTCTATGTAGTATTAAAGAGATTAAAGAAAAAGAGAAAAGGTAAAAGCTCCAAAACTGATTGAAATATGTAGTTTCCTTTTTTAAATAAGTTAAGAATAAAGCCAAAATTGTAGTCTATCAATATCCTTACATATTGTAAGAGTGAACAATATAATCTCATAAGAGTCTGTACCAAATATACCTTAATGGCACGCCAGTCCTCTCTTAAATTTTCTCTTTCGATGACCCGCACAGCCCCAATAAACAAGCTGCTTCTCCTCCTCCAGCGATCAATTGTGACCGAGACCCCCCAGCGGCAACATGGTTAAATTGACTTTATATGGCTTGGATCTCAGTCCGCCAGTTCGCGCCGTCAAACTAACCCTGGCCGCTCTCAACCTGCCCTACGAATATGTGAACGTTAACATTGTGGGTCGGGAGCAACTGTCTGCAGCTTACGTGGAGAAGAATCCTCAACATACGGTGCCCACGTTGGAGGACGATGGCCAGTTCATTTGGGACTCGCATGCCATAATCGCGTATCTGGTGTCCAAGTACGCGCCAACGGATGACCTCTATCCGAAAGATCTTCTCCAGCGTGCGATTGTAGATCAGCGACTGCACTTTGATACGGGCGTGGTCTTCGCCAATGGCATTAGAAGCATTTCCAAGCCAGTGATTTTCTTTGGCCAGACCACAGTTCCCAAGGAGCGCTACGATGCCATTATCGAGATTTATGACTTTGTGGAGACATTCCTAGGTGGACACGATTATATTGCCGGCGATCACCTAACAATTGCCGACTTTAGTCTGGTCTCTTCGGTGTCTTCTCTCGTTGCCTTCGTTGACTTGGATCCGGTGAAGTATGGGAGAATTAATGCTTGGGTCAAGAGACTGGAACAACTGCCCTACTATGAGGAGGCCAATGCCAAAGGTGCTCGGCAATTGGTGGCAATTCTGAAGAAAACGAATTTCACGTTTGAAAATTGATATTTGAATATTTAGAAATATAAAAAGAAACAAAAAATATTATAAATGTTATAATAACCAAAACTACCGATTATGTTTTTAGTACAGGATTTTGTTTTTTGAAAATAAATTGAATTCTGGGATCTTTTTTTGAATATATGCCTACATAGCTTCTTCCAAAGTCTAGTCAGTTGTATTAAAAACCAATAAATCAAAGCTTGACTTTATAACAGAAATACACAAGATCATTGTCAAAAAGAGAACAGCAATATGACTATAAAGATAGTCATTGATTCTTATCTACATTCACTTGCTAAACAGAGCCAAAAGCTATTTCTAAAATTGGTATTATTAATTTTAAATATATATACATTTCACCCCAATTGGGAAATAAAAAAGTAAAGAAAATTCTAGACGTGAATATATTTTTCTAAGTGCACGAGTGGCGTTATTATGGTGAAATAGAAATAAACGAAAAGAGAGAGAGAGAAACGCCTACAACTATCTAAGTTGTGCTCTTTTTTTGTTTTTTAGGTTTGTGCTTCCATACTCTCTTTTGAAATAAATAAATAGCCGGAAGCCTATGAACCCGGCATTCAGTTATTGAAAATACCCCGACGAAGCAACACAACATGACCAAATTGATCCTCTATGGTTTGGAGGCGAGTCCACCCGTAAGGACTGCAAAACTTACGCTTGCTGCTTTGGGGATTCCATACGAGTTCGTTGAGGTGAATACTTTGGCCAAGGAGAACTTTTCGGAGGCGTTCCTGAAGAAGAACCCGCAACACACAGTGCCCACGCTGGAGGATGATGGTCACTTCATCTGGGATTCGCACGCGATCAGCTCTTATCTGGTGTCCAAATACGGCAAGGACGACAGTCTCTACCCGAAAGATCTCCTGCAGCGGGCTGTGGTGGATCAGCGATTACACTTCGAGTCGGGGGTGGTCTTTGCCAACGGTCTGAGAAGCATCACCATGCCCCTGTTCAAGGGTGGCTTGACCACGATTCCCAGGGAGCGCTACGATGCTATCATCGAGATATACGATTTTTTGGAGACCTTCCTCAAGGGTCAGGACTTCATTGCCGGCAGCCAGTTAACAATTGCCGACTTCAGCATTATATCTACCTTAACCTCGCTGGCGGCCTTTGTGGAGGTGGATCCGGCTAAGTACACCAGAGTCACTGCCTGGATTAAGCGCCTGGAGCAACTTCCTTACTACGAGGAGGCCAATGCCAAGGGAGCACGAACATTCGGAGAGATCATCAAGAAGACTAATTTTAAGTTTGCCTCTTAAGTACAGATCCTAATATATACAATATTGCTTACTAAATTTCACAATAAATTCTGCAACTATATTATTTCAACGGAATATTTTGCATTGAAAAAAATAAATATATAAGTGTGTATATACTTACATATGTATATTCTAAATATATTTGACTAATGCATTCTCCAGCACAGAGAGAGAGAGAGTAGTAGTTGTTATTGTTAATTTGTTTTGTTATTTCCTATTCTATAACTGCTTTTAGTTTCCAATTCTCTTTTCCAAACATTCAAACATTAGTCTCATTATTTCTCTCTATTTGTGCTCTTATCTTTAATACACATTCATCAGTCACCGTGGTTCAAGAACCTAGAATTTGTCAATAAAAACCAATAATATAACCAAATATAGATATACAAAATACATGTATACATTATTCTGTAAATTATTCGTTAAAACCAATATTTTAATTTTAAAATCGATATTTTCCGATATTTAAAAATTCATTATCGGTATTCATATTTTCGATATGAGCAAGACGTTTTGGTCGATATAATAAAAAATAACATTTCCTTCTGATATACAACACCTCCTTAACTGTCCCATTGTAAAGATACAATTTGTTTAAACACTTATCAAGATCACTAATTTTTCACTTCCACTCAGTTGAGAATAAAGTAGAAAAAGAGATATGATAAGGCACTGGGCTGCCTTATGAAACACCTGACCACCTTTCGAGGGACACCTTCAAACAATTTTGATTAAAACGAGTGCCTTATCACAGCTCGTATCAATTATCTAAGCACAGAACTCTGACAACAGATATAGCTTCAGATATGTATTATAAAATATATTGGAATAGTCATGTCAATCACGTAGAAACTTAATTACTGAAAGCATGAAAAGCTTTGAATTGCAAAGTGGAATTTGTTTAATATATGGAATCAATTGAAGCCAGCAGCGCACTGGTTGCTGCGATAGCCGGCAAATCTGTGTTCAGTTTCGAATAGTCAAGAGGAGACATCGGACGACAATGGGAAAACTAGTACTGTACGGCGTAGAGGCGAGTCCACCGGTGCGGGCCTGCAAGCTGACCTTGGACGCCCTGGGACTTCAGTATGAGTACAAGCTGGTCAACCTACTGGGCGGTGAGCACAAGAGCAAGGAATACACGCTTAAGAATCCTCAGCACACTGTGCCCATGCTGGAGGACGACGACGGGAAGTGTATCTGGGAAAGTCATGCCATTTGCGCCTATCTAGTGCGGCGTTATGCTAAGGACGACGCCCTGTATCCCAAGGACTACTTCAAGCGCGCTCTGGTAGATCAGCGACTGCACTTTGAGTCCGGTGTACTGTTCCAGGGGTGTATCCGGAACATTGCCGCACCGTTGTTTTACAAGAACGAGACGGAGGTGCCGCGCTTCAAAATCGATGCCATCTACGAAGCCTATGACTTCCTGGAAGTTTTCATCGGCAGCCAGCCGTATTTGTGCGGCTCAGGAATAACGATCGCAGACTTCAGTATAGTCTCCTCCGTGACAAGCCTGGTTGGATTGGCGCCCATCGATCCGAAGCGTTATCCCAAGTTGAACGGCTGGCTGGACAGGATGGCCAAACTGCCAAATTATCAGTCGCTCAACGGAAACGGAGCCCAGATGCTGATTGACATGTTCAGTTCGAAGATCACCAAGATTGTGTGACTTTGCTCCGTGTTATTTAAAGGTTAGAAACGAGATAGGCAACCGCTGTTGCAGGTGCCGGTGCTGATGATTACATAAAAATAAAGCTTTTATTTGTTATACACTCTACAAAAAATGCTTTCAAAATGCTAACTTCAAGTGCAAGGGTTTCCGTTTTCGACGCACAATATATCACATCTTAAAGATTAAAACTTGGTGTAAGAATACAGTTAATGCAAACCATCTAGGCACTTATTCGAAGGGTTTGTTGGATTAATAAACAAAATATATTGCACACATATCTTCGGCCACTGGCCTGGCCTCCCTCCCCTCTCTCCAAAGCTCGATGCCCGTTGATTGCTGCGAGACTTTTTCAGTTGGGGTAACACAACCTTTCTCTGCTCTCCGACAGGTTTTCGGCATCGAGATGACAGGCTGCTCCGAATGCATAGTTTTCGCTAATAGTCGAGGTTGTTAAATGTATTCCACAGACTCTGGCTAGCTGTTCGTCTTGCGCTTCTCCAGTGCCTTCCAAACCAGTTTCATTCTCTGCACGCAATCGCGATGCTGGGACTCCCACAGCACTGTGGTGAGTCGTCCAACAGTAGCCGAACCGTTCTCCGCGCTGCGCGTCCACTGCAACAGTAGCTGGTAGATCACCTGGGAGGGCATGGGAAGCGGTAATTAATCGGGATTAGTCATGATATCATATCATAGCAAAGTGTATAAACTTTGGGTTATATGTATTATATTTATACATAAGTTTTTGAAGCAAACAACTTTACATTCCAGATAGAATTGCGCAACCAGTAATCTAATCTTATATTTTATGTAATCTTAAATCTAATAGACCTTTCGCCAAAAAGTCATTCTCTTTTTTTCCAAGTAAGTACATCTTTGGAAATACTTAGTTTGTGCGTTAAGGGTCAAGCTGTAATGGATTTACTGAAATAAATCACATTTTAAAGACCTTTTTAAAAAGTATATAAATATTAACATTGTTTTGTTCATTTTCTTACTGAAAGATTGTTTCTGAATGTTGTGCGCACATTGTATCATTTGAAACAAGGGAAAGTGAGATATCAAACTTGAGTCATGATGGTATTTCCGAGCTATGGCCCAGAAATCTGCCCAGATAGCCTATTTTTAAAAATGTTGAAAATATTTTAAAAATATATTCGAAAATAGCAGATTCCCCTTAACAAGAGATCTAACGTAGAGTTTTAACCGTGTATAAGCACTATCCCTTACCTCTCTGATATTTCCATGCATTTGATGATCTATTATCGCCTGATCGATCTGTCCTTCCGACTGTCCAAGCTCCCGCATCACCTGCTTCCAGCCCTCGCCCAGATGGGTGGCTACCACGTCTAGCAGGCGAATATCCGGCTCTTCCTGCGACTGCATCATGGCCACTATGCTAACCGTTTTGCGGGTGGCCATAGATCGCTTGCCGCCTTCCGGTGAAGCCATTACTGCTCCTTCCTCGTTGGCACTTGTGCTGCCCTTGCGCGAACTGCTAGCGCTCAGGTTCTGGTTTATGTTGTAGACGGAGCCAAAGTGCAGGCCGCTGGCATTCGAGAAGTTCATGACCACCTGTTGCTGAGCGCTGTGCACGTTCATCGTGTTGTTTGTTTGCGAATTGTTGGTCAGCGCAGTACCCGGAAAACTGGCGGACTGCACCACGTCCATGGAGTTGTAGTTGGGGTCGCTGAGCTCGCGCAGCACGGACTCGGTGAGATCGGCCGATGCAGTCGGCGTGCTGATGGAGGGCAGCGCCAGAGCTCCGCTGTTATTGTTATCTCCCTCGCTGTCGTCTACGGGCGCTGCATCCGCTTCAAGGCGTCCTTCGGAAGGATTTTGGGCCTCCTTGCCGCCAAAAATGGTGGGCAACAGGTTCCTGAGTTTCGGCATGCTGTTTGCTGATAACTTCCCGCGATGAATGTGCTCTCTTGTCTCCGGAAATTCCACAGTTTGGGGTTTTTGCCTTTGTGTTTCTTTGCGTCAGTGGTGGCAGGCCATCGATGGGGATGGGACTTATCGATAGCACCTTTATGTCAATCGAATTAAGGAATTTGTGCCACCACTAGGCACCCTAATAATAAAATATGTTAGGAAAATACAAATATAAAATGTGTAGGTGCTTTCAGAGCAAACAACAATTAAACTAATATCAGAGTTAAAATATTAATCAAATTATTTTTACTATTAGTATTTTTAATCTTATTTAATAAGATCATTAATAAAAATCTTTAGGTGATACTAAAACTTAACTTACCTGTTTATAATGAAAATACGTTTTTTAACGTTCTATCGGTCATTTCCAGTTCAGCCCAAAGGCCGGCCACTGTTCTTGCAGCCACAGCCGATAGACCGTTTGACAGTTCCGCAATGGCCTATCGCCCATCTCTATTTGCCACGTTCGCTCATGTTCATTCACATTTTACTTGGAGTCGGTGAGTTCCGCGTCCGTGTGTGCTGCCTTCCAATAGAAAGTCTGGGTGTGATTTTAACTGATTCAAGTGCTAGTGGCGGCCTGAATTGGCCAGTGATCCTTGCAGTAGCGAGCGGGCGGCCGCAGTTGCATAATTTACGGCGAGAGAGTGCACGGATATACAGTTATGAAGGGCCGGATGGTGCAGGCGGTGGCGGGGCGGTGGTCGGGTGGCCGAACAAGAAGAAGCAGCAACGGCTGTAGAAAATTCAGGCCGCCTTGAATGCAAGAACATTTTCCCTAAATTCGGTCGCTCGGCGAAAAACAACGTGTTTTCCAATGGTTGATAATACACGGTCGGCGCACTCACACAAACACAAAGGCGGCGGCGGCTGCCGACGACGTCGTCGTCCACGCATACACGGTCATAAAATCACATGCATCTGTGTGTGTACGTGTGCGCATATAAGAGCATATTTGTCCGATTGGAAGGCGCGCGTGTTGTTTTTTTGTCTTTAAACTTTCCGAATTCCTAGGAGCGAGTAGTGAAGAGGTACCGAACCCCGCCCAGTGACCGAAAAGAGGATCCCTCCATAACCTTTCACCTGGCTGAAACATACGGCACTGATTTCCGCATTCCATACAAACGTTCTCACACACACACACACACACACACAGAGCACGCACACCCACGCTCTGCTCCACTTTGACAAAAACAATTGTCCAATAAGCAGCGGCCCGCATATGTTGCCGCTGCCGCTGCTATTGCCCTACAAAAACGCATACATCGCCGCTCGCCGCAGACTTTCTATTGGATTGGGGGAATATGTGCAGCATGCCCGACGAACTGCAGTGTAGGGCATCCATCCTGTGGATGCCACGACGATCTGCATCCGCTAATTGCATTAATATTGTACCAATTGTCTTGCAGCCGACACGCCAAGTTATCAAACTGGATTTGGTCAAAGGAGAGTAAACTAGGCCGGATTTTTTGGATTTTACAGTACCGTAAGTTGAACAACCTTTGCTTCGCCAGTGATAATTTGCATAGTTTACCATTTGCCCAAAAAACAAAAACAGAAAATCAGAAATACGACTCAGAAGGTAACGGTTCCCTGCTTAAAACTGGCTACGTCAGACTTTTTCTTGGGTTGGAAATTTACAAAAACAAAAATCAATCCGATATGTGCATACCAATCTGTATTTATGTATTTATTTATTTAGTTTTTGGTTCAAACTGAACTTTAGCGCATTGTATTTGTGCTTTGTCTTCATTTGTCGACGTCAGCGTCGCTGCAGGCGTCACATATGAACGTTTATGCGCTGGTATTTGCTATGTAGGTATGTTGCTTGTTTTCGTTTTTTTTACCTGTGCCTTCTCGAAAGGTGCCAACACTCACACAGTCGCGCACGGGCAAAGAAAAAGAGCGACACAGAAATGTGCAGGCACACACACAAGCATAGGCGACAGGCACTCGATCGTTTTGTTGTAGTTGCCGGCTATCATCCGGTTTTATATGGAGCTCTGTGCTCCCCTGCTCCGTTAAGTTACTTCGTCAAGCTCTCGCTCTCGCGCTCTCTCTACCGCTCTAGTCTCTTCTTTTGACACATTTTTCATGCACACGCAAACAGAGGCTGCCTGCAGAGGGGCAATTTCAAAGGGGCTTTCAATAAATAAATTTCTTCTAACAGTAAAAATGTATCATATTAAGTATTCAAGTTTTTCATTGTTGATTTTTAAACCAATCTTATGTGCCATCTTAAAATTTTTGTGTTAATAAACCGTATATAATCATTTTAAGGGCATTATTAAGGTGGTATTAACATTTTATATTAAAATACTGATTGCCCCTAAAACAGCGTAACCCCTTGTTGAGTTAAAATTCATTTAAAAATACATTTAGAAATCTTTAAATAATTGCACATTTCTGAGTGGATAAATATATGTTGTAAAACAAAAAAGCAAACAATTTTGTTCTAAAAGTTTTCTGATACTTTTCTAGGACAGCCATAAAATAAAATTAACCAATAAGTAAAATCGGTCAAATAAATACACGTAAGACTATCGAAAAGTTTCATTTAGGTTACTCATATAAAAAAATATGGCTAGATCAACTCTACGCTTTATGCTGATCAAGAATTTATCGCCTTAACTGTGTTGTAAAAGTTTTTAATATACATGTCAAATGATCCCAGTTAGATTGAAAATCCTTGCGTACGCCACTGCCCTTGCACACTTATACACACACATAGAAACTGACGATAGTGGCAACTACAATATCTTTGTTGCTGTTCTTAAGGTGGAGAGTAAAATGTAGGCTACGAAACTCGTTGGGCATTGATTTAGAAAACAGCTTTTTTTGGTCGAACAAGTGCACGGTCTCTGCCAGAGATCTCTCCCACGTTCTCTGTTTCTCTCTCTCCGCAACCTTTCACCCAAGCGAAATCTGAATGATAGCAGCTTATTTCTGGACCTGCACTAATTCCCACTTTGTGTGTGTGTGTACCCAGATATTCTTTGGGGAGCGATCGGCCGACGACGACGCTTATCAGCCTGGAGCAGCCGATAGCTATCACTCGGCCCCGGAATCTGCCTGCGTGGCCCAGTGCCTTGGCGTCGTCGTCCACTTATCACCAGCAATAAGCGGAGCAGGCAGCGCCGAGTCAGGCAGGCACTTCATCTCACCGATCTCGCCAAGCACTACGTGGCCTTAGCTTTTACTCAGGGAACACTGAAAATATGTACATATTTCGGTTTATCAGCGCCACTTCGACGCTCCCCTTGTTGGTCACGCACTGTTTAAAATGACGATCAACTGAACTGGGCTTCGAAAGATCCACTTTTTCGGATGTGCAGCATTCCAAAATTTAATTTTAACTAAACTAAAATTATTCTTGCTCTCCCTACTTATTCAGAGAAGCAACTTTTAATTTCCGAGCTTGAATTTACCTTAAAGTCATTGCTTAACATCATGCAGAATTCAAGAAAATATTTACACACTATTAAGATAAAATAAATAAAAATAAATAAATAATAATAATGATAGTTTTGTTCTGATAATCCACCATCTAAGACCTAATAAAACACTCTATCTAAGTATGAAAACTAACAAGAAAGGAAGCTAACTTCGGCACGCCGAAGTTTATATACCCTTGCAGATAGAACTTCGATGACTAGGAATCCATAAAATATAAATGATATATATTTATGTTATAAACAATGAAGTAATACCTGCTTTCATTTCATTCACCTATACATATAATATTTGCAGTTTTACAGTCACAGATTTGCATTTTACATCTAACGATTGTTTGTATGGCACCTATATGATATAGTCATCCGATTTTCATAAAATTTGACACAAAATTTAAGATCGATATAAAATGGCTATTTCTCAAATTTAATGAAAATCTGCTGTAAACTGAAAACGTCATAATTTTTAATTGTATTAATTTCTCGATCGTTCCTTTCGGAGCTATATGATATAGTAGTCCGATTTTCATAAAATTTGACACAAAATTTAAGACTGATATAAAATGGCTATTTCTCAAATTTAATGAAAATCTGCTGTAAACTGAAAACGTTATAATTTTTAATTGTATTAATTTCTCGATCGTTCCTTTGGGAGCTATATGATATAGTAGTCCTATTTTCATAAAATTGTACACAAAATTGTAAAATAATATAAAATGGCTATATCTTAAATTTTATGAAAGTCTTTTGAAAACTGAAAATGTTATAATATTTTTTGTAAAAATTTTCCGATCATTCCTATGGCATATTCCAACATATATACGAGTGAGAGTATATAGAAGACTAACTAGAAAGTTTCATTTAGATAGCTTCAAACTGATAGACTAGTTTGCGTAGAAACGGACAGACGGACATGGCTAGATCAAGAATATATATACTTTATAGAGTCGGAGGTGCATCCTTCACTGCGTTGCATATACATATATATATATATACATATACATATACATATGTTCACATTGTGCGTATGCCGGTACTTCTTACGTATTTAGCTCTTATCAGCGGATGGCAGCCACATGCGGGCCTTCGGGTCACACTTATCAACCCAGAAAGTTGTTTTCGGTTCATCGAAAATAATGGAAGATGAAACCGAAGCTGGTAAAATATGTATTTACCAAATTTAAGTACTTTCCCTAGATCCTTCATTGATGGATTCGTCAATCAAATTGTTCGTTAATTCCGCCCCAAAAATAAAAAATAGACTTACAATGACTAATAATCACTAGTCTTATCAATCGCTGATAAACTCTGAGTTTCCGATAGGTCCCCCATGGTGTAATAGTTTTAAACACAGTTTGATAAGCCATTTTTAATTCTCAATTTTCAGTGTACTGTAAACGACTTGGAACGAAAAAGGACTCTTCTCTTTTTTTAAGTAATGCAAGCAGCAGCAGCAGCAGTGATGGAGGAATCTAACGGTGAGTTGTGGCATCTGTATATATAGAGGAAGTATAAAGTTTTAAATCGTACAGCAACTACCATCGAGCAACAACCCATCGCCCTCATCAATGGCCAAGAGCAGGTGTCCAACGAGCAGCAACCATCATCGCCCACCACTTCGGTGGCCACGCCCACCAGCACCACCAGCGGCGGCACTGGCAATGCCACACCCGCCTTTAGCTACGACGACCTGTTCCCGGCTCTGCCGGCCAACACCTCAGCGCCGTCGCAGTCCGGAGCTTCCAGCTCGACGATAGCCCGTGTGACTAGCTCGCAGAAGACGCAGGTAAGATTGGTGCTGGGACACACAAGGGCTATTCTCTGAAGAAATAACCGTTTTCCGTTAAAGGTTTTGCATGTTCCCTGCGAGGAGCGCAAGTCAACGGAGTCGGAGAAGTTTGGCGAGGGCGAGTCAAAGCGGATTTGCCAGCAGATCACGAAGGAGACGGGCGCCCAAATTGAGATTGTCAGCGGCAAGAACCAGTCGCTGACCTTCTTGATCAAGGGAAAGCAGAGCGAGCTGCTGGACGCTCGCCGCAAGATTCTGATGAGCTTCTCGACGCAGGCTAGCCGTCAGGTGACCGTTCCGCGGGAACACTACCGTGTCATCCTCGGCAAGGGTGGCCAGCGGCTGCGGGACCTAGAGCGCCTCACCTCCACGCGCATCAACATCCCTAGCCAAGGCGATGAGAGTGAGTTCATCACCATTGCCGGCACCAAGGAGGGCATTGAGAAGGCCGAACAGGAGATCCGTCAGCTGTCCGCCGAGCAGTACAAGAAGTCGTCGGACCGCACCACGGTGCCGAAGATCTACCATCCGTTTATTGTTGGACCCTACAGCGAGAACTTGAACAAGCTGCAGGAAGAGACGGGCGCCAAGATCAATGTGCCGCCGCAGCAGGTGCAGAAGGACGAGATCATCATCTCCGGCGAGAAGGATGCCGTTGCAGCGGCCAAGGCGAAGGTGGAGGCCATCTACAAGGAGATGGAGAAGAAATGCTCCACCGTCAGTGTGGAGGTGGCCAAGCCACAGCATCGTTATGTTATCGGTCCCAAGGGCTCCACTATTGCTGAGATCCTGCAGCGGACCGGTGTGTCCGTTGAGATGCCGCCCAATGACTCCACCTCAGAGACTATTACTCTGCGCGGACCCCAGGTGGCTTTGGGCAATGCCCTCACCGTGGTTTACCAGAAGGCCAACTCTGTGAAGTCGGTAGAGATCAATGCCCCGCACTGGATACACAAGTATGTGATTGGTCGCAAGGGCGCCAACATGAAGCAGCTGGAGGAGAACTGCCCCAACGTGAACGTCAACTGCCTGGAGGACAAGATCAAACTGGAGGGCGATCCCGAGAACGTGGACCGGGCTGTCTCCTTCCTGACCGAAATTATCCGCAATTACGAGGATAACTTCACCTTCGAGGTAATGACGGTCAATCCCTCGTACTACAAGCACATCATAGGCAAGGCTGGCGCCAATGTCAACCGGTTGAAGGATGAGCTAAAGGTGAATATCAACATTGAGGAGCGCGAGGGCCAGAACAACATCCGCATCGAGGGGCCCAAGGAGGGAGTGCGGCTGGCGCAGCTTGAGTTACAAGAAAAAATCGACAAACTGGAAAACGAAAAATCGAAGGATGTGATCATTGACCGCCGTCTGCACCGTTCCATTATTGGCGCCAAGGGCGAGAAGATTCGTGAAGTAAAAGACCGCTATCGGCAGGTGACGATCACGATACCCACGCCCCAGGAGAACACGGACATTGTAAAGCTGCGTGGACCCAAGGAAGATGTGGACAAGTGCCACAAGGATCTGCTCAAGCTCGTCAAGGAGATCCAAGAATCGTCGCACATCATTGAGGTGCCCATCTTTAAGCAGTTCCACAAGTTCGTCATCGGCAAGGGTGGCGCCAACATCAAGAAGATCCGTGACGAAACGCAAACCAAGATCGATTTGCCAGCTGAGGGAGACACCAACGAGGTGATCGTCATCACTGGAAAGAAGGAGAACGTCCTGGAGGCGAAGGAGCGCATCCAGAAGATCCAGAACGAGCTCTCCGACATTGTCACCGAGGAGGTGCAGATCCCTCCCAAGTACTACAACTCGATCATCGGCACTGGCGGCAAGCTCATCTCCTCTATCATGGAGGAATGCGGCGGTGTGTCCATCAAGTTCCCCAATAGCGACTCTAAGAGCGATAAGGTAAGCAATGCTCTTCAGTATTACCAAATTCTGTTTACTAACGATACGATTATTTACTTTAGGTTACCATTCGCGGTCCCAAGGATGATGTGGAGAAGGCCAAGGGACAGCTGTTGGAGTTGGCCAACGAACGGCAGTTGGCTTCCTTCACTGCCGAGGTGCGAGCCAAGCAGCAGCACCACAAGTTCCTCATCGGCAAGAACGGCGCCTCCATTCGCAAGATTCGTGACGCAACCGGAGCCCGGATTATCTTCCCCTCAAACGAGGACACCGATAAGGAAGTGATCACCATCATTGGCAAGGAGGATAGCGTGAAGAAGGCCCGTGAGCAGCTGGAGGCAATCATCAAGGAGTGCGACGAGGTTACTGAGGGCGAAGTTGCCGTCGACCCCAAGCACCATAAGCACTTTGTGGCTAAGCGCGGCACCATCTTGCACCGTATTGCCGAGGAGTGCGGCGGCGTGATGATCTCCTTCCCTCGCGCCGGCACCAATTCCGATAAGGTGACAATCAAGGGTGCCAAGGACTGCATCGAAGCGGCCCGCCAGCGCATCGAGGAGATCGTTGCCGAATTGGAGGCGCAGACCACCATCGAGGTGGTGATCCCGCAGCGCCAGCACCGCACTATAATGGGAGCTCGGGGCTTCAAGGTGCAGCAGGTGACCTCCGAGTTCGATGTGCAAATCAAGTTCCCCGATCGCGATGCCACCGAGCCCGTCGAGGGTCTTACCAATGGCGGCAGCGGTTTTAACGGCGCCGGCGATAGCCAGGACGGTGAGCAGGAAGCGGAGGCGGCGGAACCAGTGCGTCAGTGCGACGTTATCCGCATCACGGGCCGGATCGAGAAGTGTGAGGCCGCCAAGCAGGCCCTGCTCGATCTTATTCCTATCGAGGAAGAGTTGTCAGTGCCCTTCGATCTGCACCGCACCATCATTGGAAAGCGTGGAGCCAATGTCCGTCAGTTCATGGCCACGCACGATGTGCATGTGGAGCTGCCGCCCAGTGAGCTTAAGTCGGACGTGATCAAGGTCTCTGGAACGCCCGCCCGCGTAGCCGAAGCGCGCGAGGCCCTGGAGAAGATGATCGAGGAGTACGAGGCCGATCGGGCCGACCGTGAACTGCGCTCCTACGTCCTGCAAGTGGATGTGGACACTGAGTACCACTCAAAGCTCATTGGTCGCCATGGCGCTGTGATTAACAAGCTGCGTGCCGATCACGACGTAAACATTTCGCTGCCCAAGCGCGAAGATCCCAATCAGCGCATCATCTCCATCACCGGCTACCAGGCCAAGGCTGAGGCAGCGCGTGATGCCATCCTGGAGATTGTCGGCGACCTCCAGACCCTTCATCGCGAGGTTATTGAGATAGATACGCGTATCCACTCGCACATCATTGGCCATCGCGGACGCACCATTCGCAAGATCATCGAAGATCACAAGGTGAGTGGGTGTGTTGAGAAGTTTTCTCGAGTTATTTTATTCAGCTTTTATTATTTGTTCGTTTAGGTGGATATCAAGTTCCCCTCTTCCGACGAAGCTCAAACCAATCCCAATGCCGTGACCATCATTGGAAAGGAGGAAGACGTTGAGAACGCCAAGGATGTGCTGTTAAGCATGGCCGAGGACTACGAGCGTGACTACTTGGAGAACTTGCCGCCATCGCCGCAGCCACAGACGGTCGGTGCCTTCCTAACTGGGTCTGGATCTGGATCCGGTTCTGGCAGCGGCGCTGGCGGTGCTGCCAGCGAGAACGGTTTCGTCATCAAGGACGCGCCGTGGGAAAAGAAACAGCAGGCCAAGAATCTGACTGCGCCGAACACTCAGTCGCAGGAGGACTTCCCTCACTTCGCTGCTGGCGGGGCTCCGGCCACCACGCCTATCACCTCAGTGTGGGGGCCTAAGAACTAAGCTCGCCCAGCAGCAGCAACAGTAGCAGCAATAACTACGCGTCGGGGTGCGCCAGGGATCGGAGCGGGCGGCAGAGTAGCGGCGGCTGTCGTGCGAACGGATGTCTCCTTAGTCGAAAACTAGTGTCAAAAACAAACGGTATATAGGTTGTCTCCCAGGAGCTTTTGTACAACGCAATTTGTGCAGGTTAATTGAAAAAAAAGAAATCGTGAATGACAAAAAAAAAACCAAGCAGAACTATTTTTGTATATGATTTGATACAGAATCGAACCCCAAAACACACACGATCGCAAAGCATAACAAAAACAACGACACCCACACTCACACACGATGAAATTGCATTTATACAACATAGAATACAAGAACCGCGAAATGAGAAACAGACTCACACGCCCACCCCAACCCGTTCCTCGTCATCCTGATGTGTCACTTTATACATAAAACATCTTATTGCCAATTTCTTTTTTGATATAATAATCATTCTTCATTGCAATACAAAACAAACATAAAAATATTCTAATTAGTTGAAGAGAGCTCCCCCCTAAAAATTATGGTTTTGTTAATTGAATTTTGAAAGGAAAGAAAGAAAGTACATAATTGTAAGCATAAAATGTTAATTATTTACATTTACACAATCAATCTGTAACTTCGATCCTCTGTCTCTAACCTCTCCGCCTCTCTTTTATCTTAGCTTGATTATATTCCATACTCAGATGTTTTGTTTACGGAAGATTCCCCCTTCAAAAGTTAGTGATTATTATGATTTATGCGGCGGAATATAAAAGCCAACTAAATGTTAAATGAACGTTAATTGTATTTGTAAAAACGTTTCCTCGAGAGAAAGAGAGAGTGTATGGATGATGGAGGTGGCGAACTTTATTTGAACAGCAATTATATAATTATACAAAAACATTTACATTACAATTTACACTCTGTACTCATACTCCAACTCTCCCAGATGCTGCAAAAGCGAACCCGAACACACACACACACACACAACACAAACACACCCCTACTATTCACATTTCAAAATGAGTACCAACATTTTAATTTTGTGCAATCCCCTTGATTTATATTAAATTGTTTTCGACTTATGTTTTCCGCTCTAAACTTAACTTTGTATGTGCCGCGGTGTGCAAGGCCTTAAAAAAGGGAAAAATATAGAAAACATCCGAGTACCAGCAGTACTTTGTTGACTTTTCAGTTTTATTTTCCACCGCGCATTATATAATCAGACAGTTGAAACACAAAAGTATGAGAAAAATTTTTAATTTTTTACTATTACTATTCAATAAAATGATGAAAAACAAAAAACCATATAAAACTATAAATAAAAAACGTAAACAAATTGTATCTTTTTCGTTTTTCTTCCGTTCTTCGTTTCGTATTTTTGGATCGCTTTTGTTTTTTTCGTTAATAAAAATTTAAAATGATAACACCAAGAATATAACAGACCTGATATTGTAAATTTTTAAAAAATATACATACATATTTACAACTGCATTAGTAATTCTAAGAACGTAGAGAATACGACGAAATGATATAAAATGTATATATTTTCCTATATTAACGGACAAAATCAAATGTACGACGAGAAGAGACGGAAGGCGAAGGCAAATGGTGGCATTTTGCACAGGCTGCAAACCAAGATATTTTCACTTACGATTCAACGTTTTGTATTAATATTATTATTATCATTTTCAATGCAGATATGTGGCAGAAAGATTCATCCGTTTATATTTATTTCTTTTGAAATACAAAAGTTTTAAACTAAAATGTGTGTTTAAATAACGGTCAATTCATTTTGAATAGGCAACTCTAAGAAGTGGTGGGAATGCTTCGATTAATGTTCGATGAATTAATATTTAACGCATTCGACAATATAATTTTATTAAAAACAGCGCATAAAAATGTAAAATTAAAGTATTATCGAAACATATTAAGCAAAATGCTTTAAATGTTATTTATAAAAAAAAATCGATAAGTCGGTAGGTAAATTATAATCCGTTGGGCTTTTTGCTCGTGACTATTCTCAATTATTGAAATACGGCCACACTGCTAAGAAGCTCGGGCAACAAAAAGTAATTTTCAACTTAAAAATTTCGTGACAAGTGCGTTTTTTACGGAAGTAAATAAAGGAAATAGCAAAAGACCAGAGTTACCGTCGCTATGGAGGACCGTAAGTTTCCCGCTCAGGCGGAAAGTACAATCAATGCAATTTACAAGCCGCTGCACATGTTCCGGCAGAGGTGTATCTTCTTTGCCATTGCTGAGGGACACCTACCTTGCGTACCTTTGTTTGTGCGGTGCCGCCAATTAGGCATTCATTGTCGCAGGACGCTGATTCAGCGGACTAGTTACAGGTGTAGATGACCTAGAGTAAATAGGGTGTTGGGTCTGGCCTTGGAGCGGCGATGGAATCGGCAGATGAGTCATGTTTCTGATTTGCGTAGGGTGAAAGGCTTTCCAACAACCAAGCTCGCCAGCTCGTGGGAGTAGGTCGACATGTCGTGAATGTGAGAAGAGGAAGAATGTGAGAATGAGAATGTGGAAAATGTGAGGCGTAAACATTTCTTATTCTATACAGACGACGATGTAAACACTGCACGTTATTTGGACGCCGCTGCATACGTGGCTGCAACAGCCGAAGCGCAAATTCTGAAAAGCCAGTGATGGGGACAGGAACGCCTCCTCTGCTTTTGTAGTTTTTTATCAGTACATATTGATGCCCCGTTAATTGTCCGAGCTTTGCTCTTCATCCAATAACTCTGAAGCAGCCAATAATTGGCCATTGCCTCCACTTGTTGAACGTTCGATTGGCCCTGCCACAACAACAAAGACGTAAACACCAGCACTGGCAGCAGAGACTTCCATAAAACCAGACCCAAATATTCAAACATACATACATGCAAGTACATAAAGTAAGCCCTCACAAAGTGGCACAATTACATCATGTATTTGTGTGTTCAACAGTGGACAATGGTCGAAAAAAAGGGAAATTTCAGCATAAAAAATTAATTATGATAATTGCTATTTAGTCTCTAAAGTTTTCTTAAGGTACGGTAAATACATGTTGAACTGGACTTAAATTGTTATAAAAAATATTTTTGCTGTCGAGTAAAGAAGCAATTTCATGTGGTAATTATGTCCCATCAGACAGTAAAATACAAACCATTGATAAATATTTTCTGTTATTCCATGTTTTAAAAAGTGATAAGTCTTCAGTAATCATAAATGCATTGTTCTCCCGGACAGCGTATAGTGTGTACAGTACACAATCATTTCGAGGAACTTCAACACTTATTTATGTATAATTTTTTAAGTTGTTTAAATAAATATTACAACCTCAAAACCTATAACCATAAAATAATAACTTAGAATTCTTTAGAACTTTCAGAACTGGAAAAACAACCACCTTAAATGTTTCTTTTGTTACCAATAATTCCATAAAATTAGCATATCCCGCATCTGACTCATCATGATTTTGGCGTTTATCAAAGACATAATAGATAGTGACATTTAATTGGATATTTATCAACAGTTTGATTATCGACAATTGCCGCCAAATAGATTTATTCGTAACAAATTGATTGAGTAAAGCATTTCGTAAAAGCATTTTGTTTGAGCTGTTGTTTCTCTAAGCCCATCTTCACTGTACTTGGCAGTATTTACTGCTGCTGCTTGTTCCTCTTTTTGAAGTTGCCTCTTTCTGCTTTGCGCTCTTTTATTTTTTGTGGCATTTCTTTCGTCTTTCGTGCTGACACGAATCATGATGGCAAGCGGAGCCAGCCAAGCCAAGCCAAGCTAGCTACCACTTACCATTTACCTATTTCTAAGCCAAGATCGAGTCAGTTGGCTCTTGGCCGTAGGAGAGCGTGGAAGCAGAGGCCCAGAACCGGAACATAAACCGCTGGCCATACAGAAACTGAAACCGAAAACAAGCTCTGCGATCTCGTGTATTGGGGAGCAGGGGTATTTTTATGTGGAACTCGGCGGTGCACGAACTGAAAGCTCAGCAAAGACCCAGAGAGCGAGGAAAATGTGCGCCAGCGCTGACCGTGGAAACTTGATACGCGCCCAGGTGTAGGCCAAGAGAAGACCACATGCTCCTCCGCCAGCAGCTGCCTCTGCCACGTTCAAAATAGAAAGTGCTGTTCGGCGGCTGCCAAAGATGAAACGAGCCGCCGCAGTATGAGCGAATCGGAGCCGAATAGCCTGGAGTTCATTGAGGACTCCTATCTGCCGGGCATCGATGATCTCACCACCTTTACCCCTTCACTGGATCCGGATCCGGCGCTCAGCGATGCCGATGATACCTTAGATTGGTACGGCGATGCGCCCGAGGATAGTGAAGCGGAGCTATATCTGCGTAACCTAACGCTGGATCAAATCTTTTACGATGTGGACTCGGACTACACCAACAGCCTGGAGTTGCAGGCCGTGGAAACGGAGTTTATTGGCGCTAAGCTAGCCAACCAGGCACCCACCGCGTCGATGGCCAAGCGCTTCCGCCTGAAGTTCTTCGCCAAGCGAACCATGCGCGACCTTAAGGTCACGTTTATAGACTTCTCCAAGCCGTATCTGGCCAAAATATCAAACAGTGATAACTACAAGAGATTCCTCAATATAGCCCAACGTAGCAAAGGTACCAAGATTAGGTTTTAGGTCTAGCCTTGGGTTCTTTTGTAATATTTCCCCATTTAAGCCCATGACTAACCAAAGACTAACTTCTCTATGTCTTTCTGTCTCTCCCTCTTTCTTCTTGTGTGCCGCCGCCTTTCGGCTCGACAGTTTGTGAGTATTTTACCAAAAACTAAACCCGAAAACTAACCTAATTAACCAAACTCATGTCTTTGCAAATTGTACAAAACTAAAACGAACTAACCGAATTCGGTGTACTCACAGCCTATGACAAAGTCTTTGAGGAAGTTGCTTTTAAAGGAGGTACATACGAAAACCCAGCCCTCCCCCTCAGACAACATTCAAATTAAGCTACAGACAGTTATCCCCCTCACAGCACTCGATTTTTACCTTGTCCCCCACGGATTTATGCATATTTAATGGCCTTTGATTTTTTCTGGTACAGATAATACAGCCAACCTGTCGGAGCCCACATCTCCAGCCGCTTCTGTGGCCTCCGCGGAAATTGCCGCCGAGTTTGCTGCGCTGTCCGTAGAGGAGAAGGAACAGCGGCGTGCCGAGTGGAGTCAGGTGAGAAGTTATGGAGAATCCATTCAGAATTAAAACGAAACTGACCATTTCACTTCCGTAGGAGCTGGCCCGCGTTGAGGAAGAGATCAACACGCTGCGCACAGTTCTCGCCTCGAAGACGCGCCATGCGTCCGATCTCAAGCGCAAGCTGGGCATCACCGTCTGGAAGGAGGTGACGGATGACATGAATCAGGGACTGAAGAACATAAAAGAGAGTACCGTGTAAGTTACTAGTTTTACTTCGAATCCTTACTAGCAGCCGCCGCAGCCAATAATCATTAATCTCCTTATTTTTAACCAAGCTTTTGTTTTTAAACCCATGTAAAACTCTAAAAACGAACATGTATTTATATTTAGTTACCAATCGGTGGAGCAGAGCGTGGAGAGTTTTACTAAAGCCGTGCACGAGGCACCCCTGTAAGTAACTTGGGTTGTGGATCGATCGCCTCTCGGTTCTAACGCCGTGTTTCACGCATATTCCTCCTCTAACACAATAAAATAACTCTCCTCCCGCCTGTTTTGTGACTAAAAGCACTTGCGTTTGCCCACTTTATGTTGACTGGATGATCTTTTCCCGATGAGTTACTAATGCTTGGATGTTATTGTTGTTCTTCCGCAGGTACCAGCGCACTGAGTCGGTGCTGAAGTCGACGGGAGAGAAGACCGCCTCGGTGTTTGGCAGCATCACCAGTGGCATTTCGTCGAAATTGTCGCAAATGAAAAACTCCGAATCGATGCGTTCTATTGAGGCTTCGGTGGGCTCTGCCTACGAGAACGTTAAAGTAAGCTATGAACACAACAATTTTATGTGCCAATCTCATGCGGTAACTACTATTTTATTATATATCTCTCTGTCTCTACACACATCTCTCTCATACTGTTGCAATTCGTTTTGGTTCCAACTAACCCATGTCCATTGCATCCTTCACACACTTGCTCACGCCCACTCTTAAACTCACATTCTAAATTGGGACTCTTCTTCGGTTGTTTTTGCCTGCTTACACAACGACTCCTTGGGACACTGGCTCCACTTGAAACTACTACAAACTGTGTCCGCTTTTCTGTTCTATCTATTGTAGACCAAGGTGACATCGCGTTCGGGTTCGGTATCCAGTTTCCCGGACGCTCTGGACGAGAACAACACATCTTCGGGCCTGAACTCACCCACAGACTCACTCACTAAGTAGAGGTTCCTGCAGATGGGAATCCTATAACTAAGCGTCGAAGAGTTGAAAATCGAAAAAAAATTATTCTACACAGTACACTAAAGACCCCAAAACCACACACAAAACACACACTCTACTAACTTATTAAGCTAACTGCGAATTGTCGTGTATGCACACTAACACCAGGATCAGAATTAATTCTAAAGATCATCATGTACGTGTGTGGTATATACATACATATATCTGGAAATAAGTATAAACCTGTGCAACATATATTGGCATGATGGGAGCACATAATAGGTTCGAACTGCATGGATTGTTTTCTGAACTTCAAGCCAAATTCATATATTTATATATCAGCCTAATGTGTATTTGTAAAAACTAAATAATTATATTTGGATGCCGTCATTCCCAGGGTCTTTTTTTCCAATACTTTAGTTAAAGTTTTTAGCGGATAAAATATATGTATATTTTATTTCTTCTCTAGGCTTTGAGTCACGTGGTTAGATGGCGATCCCATTGAGAAGCAAATTTCCAAAATTTCAAATGATCCTATATATATTCGAAATGCGATTCAGAGCTTGTGAGCAAAAATAACAAATTAACGAAAATCCATTGGTATTTTTAAGAAAAGCGGGTACAACCCGTACTGCTAAAGAAATGGAAAACATGTAAATCGCACCCAATTTGTTGCTATATAATGCTGATCTAAGATTTGCTATATGTGTATATGAAAAACTTTGAATAAATGCAATTTTTTGCCCCTGTAAAAGAGAACGTTGGTCTGGTGTTTTTGTTCATGTTACTTTGGATAAATATATGGGGGAATCTTGTACAATCAAAGTGAATTTATAGCATTTCAATTAGGAGCTTTTTGTTATTTCTTTATACAAGCAATGCTGAAGTACAACTACTATTTTTTTTTTTTGTTAGTGAAAGCCCAATTAACACATTAATTCATTTAATGGTAGTTTGTAAAAACAAAATTTTCGTAGTTGTCATTTTCTGATTTATTGTGCAAATTCGAAAGAAGTAAACATTTTTTAATAAAGTTGGATTTTTTATTAATATGGTTATGATATGATTCTTAATATGAATAAATACAAAATGAAATCTTAGTTTACAAAAAAAGAGCAGATTCTTATTATTTCTTTTCTTTGTAATTTTGTAAAAATATTAAAAAAAAACAGCCTTAAAAACAAACACAATTTAAGTTCTTTTAAAATCCTCTGCTAATTTTATTCAAATATTATCATTTATAAAATTTTAATTTCGAATTATAATTTCAATAAAATTATTGGGACTTTACGTTACGTTACGTTACATTAATTAAATACATTTTTTTAAAAACCCCGCCAACAAGAAACGCTTGACAACCCTACGAGAAACCAGGGATGCACAGCCTTAGCAGCTGTTTTGACCTTACGGCTGCTGTCATTCGTATTCCTCCAACTTTTTTTTTCCACCCGCCAGCAAATCTTCGGAAAAATGATGAATTTTAAATGAAAAGAACGTCTTAGAAGAGCGCATCGTGATGCCGGAGAGTTAATAAGCAGCTCCAAAGTAAAGTGCAATTAAATAATATAGTTTTAGATAACGGAAACGGCGGTGCTGACCGGAAGAAGGCGCAGCAGGGGGAGGAGCATTGTTCTAAATGCCGATTTATTACTCATTTTTACCAAAACGTATTTGTGTGTGCCTAGTTAGCTAAGTTAATTAATAAATTAACGCCAGACGATGAACTTCACGTACTTGTTCGTGCTCATTTGGCTGGCGCTGCTCATTAGCGGCGGAGTGCTGTTGTTCTCGCGTGGTTTCCTGCTGGCCCGCGTCTCGAAAACGGAGACGAGTTCATGCCGGAGATTGTCCACGAATCCCAATGATGTGAGCAATCTTTCTTTGCTAAAATCAATCAAACTTAATTTATTTCCATTTGCAGGAGTATTTCCTCACTCCCGAGGTTGTGAACGAGATCTTCAAGGATGTCAATGCCTCCGCCCATCTGTGTCTTCCGCAAAAGACAAAGGTTATTGTACTGGTAGTGGATGCCTTGAAGTACGAATTTGGCCTGTACAAAGAGAACGTAAAGGAGCCTTTGCCCTATGAGAACAAACTGGTGGTGCTGCAGGAGCTGCTCGATCGGAGCCCAGATCATGCCAGGCTGATGAGATTCCGGGCGGATCCGCCCACCACAACGATGCAGCGCCTGAAAGGTCTGACCACTGGTAGCCTGCCCACCTTTATAGACATCGGGTCGAACTTTGCCTCGCCGGAGATTAACGAGGATAATGTCATTGACCAGATTGTAAAGAGCGATCTGCCGCTGGTCTTTCTGGGCGACAGCACCTGGACGGATTTGTATCCGCGACGCTTTAAACGCGCCTACTCCTATCCCAGTTTCGATATCTTTGATTTGGATAGTGTGGACAATCAGATAATGAAGCATTTGCCCAAGGAGCTGGCTAGCGATGATTGGCAAGTGCTGGTGGCCCACTTTCTGGGCGTCGATCACTGCGGACACAAGCATGGACCCTTGCACGAGGAAATGGCGCGCAAACTGGGCGAAATGAACGAGGTGATAAGGTAGGGGAACTTATGATGAGGTCAAGAGCAGCTCCAGGAAGTACAATTTCTTCATATTCAGATCCGTGGTGGACGCCATGGACAACGAGACCACTCTGCTGGTGATGGGTGACCACGGAATGACGGCATCTGGAGACCACGGAGGCGACACCGATGACGAAACCAATGCCCTACTGTTTGCCTACTCCAAGCAGCACAGATTCTACGGCAATGATACGGGTTCAGATAGCGAAATGCTGCAGCAGGTGAGATAAGATAGGACAAGCGGTAATCTCTTGGCACGTCACTGTGATATCTCTTTACCAGATTGATCTAGTGCCCACATTGGCCACCATTCTCGGCGTCCCCATACCCTACTCGAATCTGGGCCTGATCAACTTCAACATTATTCCGGAGATCCCGGTGCCGCACTTGAACAGGTTTCAGACCCTGCTCCTTCATGTCTGGCAGAATGCCCAGCAGATCTATCGCTACTTCTTCCAGTACGCCCTGGAGAACAAGCGTACCTTCAATGTGGATGAGATGGACCGTCTGGAGACCGAGTTTATACTGTTAACCCATCGAGTGCAGACCATATACAATGAGGCAGCCTTTAAATCGTTTGTGCGAGATCTGAACATACATCTACGCGACATACTGAGTACTTGCCGCGAGATCTGGGTAAGGTTTGAGCCCACGCAAATGATGCACGGGCTGCTCTTCAGCTTCCTGCCCGTATTCTTCATTTTTCTACTGGTCAACAACTCGCGCCCAGCGGACTATGTACGCATCTTCAAGGCCAAGGAAGTGTTCTACACGTACCTGATAAACCTGGCAGCTGGAGTGTTTGGTTACCGCTACTACAAGAACTTTTCGTTCAAGACGGAGGAGCACGGCGTAATCTTCTTCACGGCGCTTGCCAGTGCTGTTATCCTTGCCTTCCATACGCTGCGTCACTGGGCCAGCCTTGTCGAGAACTGGGCTGCTGTCAAGCGATTTGGAAACATGCCCACTCGTCTGCTTCTCTTCGGCTCCATGGCTGTGTTCTTTTCGAATAGCTTCGTCATCCAGGAGGCCAAGATGCTGTCGTATTTGCTGGCGGGATCCATTCTTGTGCTTAGCCATGAACTCCTGCGATTGAGCACGCGGTTCGAGTTTAGGAGCAAAATAAAGGTCTCCCAGTTGCTGCGCTCGACTGCCTTCAGGCTGATCCTGGCCAGCGTCTTGGCGATATGCTTCATTCGCTTCGCATACACATTGTTCCGTTGCCGCGAGGAGCAGGGCAACTGCACGGATTTTGCCACCAGCGGCGGACCTGGATTCTCGCTCAAAAAGCCCGGCACCGGCAAGTCCTACATCCTGGCCGTATTCATGATTGTGGTGTATACAACACTCACGCGGTTGTACCTCCGATCCTGCGGAAATCTTACGGGGAACTCAGCTAATGTCCTATTGGCTCGCTACGGACCTACGGTAGCCTCCATCTGCGCCGGCGGTCACGTGCTGCTTGCCCAGAGCTCCATCAAAAATATCCAGCGTTCCCATATTGATGCTATGGCTCTAGTGATCTACGGTCTGCTCCTGCTGCAGATCATAGTGGTCTCAGTGGCTCCGCTGATGACCTTTGTGCTGCCCCCAAGGACTGGCAATACGGTGACGATCAACGGAAACGAGAGCATTGTACCGGAGATCTTCAGGAAGATGAAGCGCATGTACGAAGGCGACGACGTTGACTTGGAGCGTCGAAATGCCATCCCAGTGGTGTACGGCTTGGCCACCGTCTACTCCTCCATTGTCATTGCGTTTGGTGTGTTCCTGGCCCTGGTGATGATCGTCCTCCTGGAACCACGTGCCTCCATCGGTCTAGTGCTATGTGTGGCCGTCTCCGCTATCCTGCTTAGTGTGCATGGCATTCTGCGCTATCGCACTGCCACTAGCTTTGGTAAGTTAATCTCATGGAGAAGAAGATAAAACTGTTAATGCAAAAAGTATCCCCTTACAGAGAGCTGCGTGCAACCCACTTTTACGGCCCTCGTGGGCTGGTTCCTGCTGGCCCACTTCTGCTTCTTCGCCACCTCGCACCAGACGACACTGTCGCAGATTGAGTGGCGCGCCGCCTTCGTGGGTCGCACCACTGGCCTGGGACAGTCCAATATAATATCCGGTTGCCTGGTGATCCTGAACACCTTTTGCGGTCCCATCTTCTTCTTTTGCATGTACTCCTTGCTGAGCACGGAGACCTTTTCACTGTTTGCCCTGTTTCCCAACCTAATCCGAAGCTGCAGAAATAATGCTGGCAAGGCAGATGCGACGGCAACCTTGTCGGATTTGGCCAACGAGGCCGTAGGCTTTGATATGACGAGGGGTGAACTGACACTGTATGAGTATGAGGATGTGTTCCTGGGCGCTAATTTTAAGCTGGCCGCGCAGTTCTTTATGCTGCAGGGACTGAAGGTAGGTGTTTATATATAAAAATATATCATTATCGATTTTTAGAAATTTCTAAGACGAATTTCATTTCGTATCTTGCAGATCTTTTGTGCAATGCTCGCCTGCACCATCCACTGCCGCCACCTGATGGTTTGGAAGATATTTGCGCCACGCTTCATCTATGAGGCCCTGGCCACCTTTGTCAGCCTGCCGGCCCTGATTGTGGGCTACCTACTCCTGCTTCGCATCCACCGCGCCGTGGACACTCTGATAAAGCGCATCAACAAGACCAAGGTTCACTAGTCAGTCCGAGTCTCATCCCGAAATGCAACACTATTTATTTAATAAAATAAAACCAACTGCTTCTGGTGGTCTTGTAGTTTTTTAATCTTATTTACTTTTTTTTGTTTAGCTTAGAGTTACAATTAAAAGTATCGGGTTCACAATTTCTCCAAAAAGTCACACAGAAAAACGCCTTCATCTATGGATTTACATACAAAGTGTGGTAGGATCTAGGTTTTATGGCTTACAAAATTAACACGAGCAAACAAATGACAAGAAAATTAAGTACGGGCTTCGCTTTCGAGTTACAAACTATAGACTCGACGACACATACGACTCTCGATTACAATGCCTCCTTCATCATCTTCCTGGGGCGGCTAAGTACGCAAATAAGTAACAATGTTTGTAGGGGTGTGTGTGGGTATATGTGTGTAAATCAGAGCACCCTCCACTCGGGTCTCTTGCACTTAAAGTTTCTGTTTAGTTTTCTTTTTTGTACATTTTGTTGCCAGGTCATTGGTGTTGCTTATCTGTCGTGTAATATAATGCGTGTGCAAAAGAGATTCGGGGACAGTTCTGAAGCCTACTACTGGCCATTAAGAACCAGTGGCGTGCTCGATACTCCGTTAGCTATAAAATAAAAAACAAACAGAGAGAAAACACACAGGTCAGGCCGAAATCATAAAGAGAGGAGCGATAAATTTGACAGTGAAATGAAATGAAGGAAGCGTAGGCAGAGGCTTATATTATGTACAGCTGCGGAAGTGCAAGCTTTTGGTTCCATATTCTTTGGCTATGCAAAATAGTTGTTGATGAATCCTATGACGATCCCACGGCCTAGTCGCTGTTCTCGTCATAGGGATGATACTGCTTCGGTGGTAGCGGCGGCTGTTGATCCTGCTTACCGTGCGTCGCTGTGCGGCAGAACTTCTTGGAGATGCTCCAGTCCTCCTTCAGGGACAGATTGAACATGGAGTAGTCCGGATCGCCGGTTACCTCCTTGACAATATTCAGGAACTTGGGCATGCAGTTTTTAAGGGCGTCCCCGGTGAGCGATGAATACGTCTCCAGCAGCACCAGTCCCTTGCAGCTGCAAAAGGGAATTTCTTCTAAATGAAAACATTTGTGGAAATATTAATAAGTAGTCAACGCACCGTGGGTGGCCTGGCTCCTTGTAAATGTCCAGCTGGAAATATTGGTTGTTGATGAGGAAGCAGCGTCGCTTCTTGTAGATGGTAAAGTGGGCATCGTCGCGCTGCGCCAGCAGGTTCATGTAGTCGCGATGCGTCAGCTGGGTCTTTACCTCGATGCGGGTCTGCCCGTGGACGTTGGGACGTCTCTGTGTGTGGATGTAGCTCCAGTGATTCTTTTGCCCCCGCTTGCGTAGGCGTGCCTGCACCTTGGGCCCGGCGGATTGCAGATAATGATGCACCACTTCAAAGTCCTGGAAGGGTGGAAACTCACTGTCGGCGGGCAAGGCGGCAACTACAAGAGAAAACGAAAATCTTTCAAAATGAGTCTCTTATAAATAGAATGTTTTGCCGTTAAGAAACCTACCCAGGTATTTTAGCTTGCGCGACGTGGCCTGCAAACGATCACCAATATCGATACCTAGCTTCTGGCACACCGACTCAATCATGCGATTCATCTTTGCCTCAAAGTTGGTGGAGTTATCAATCACATCAAAGTAGGGATGGCCCACCCAAGCGGCAGCCGATTTGTAGTCCAGTTCCCTGGCCAGATCAACGCCTTCAGAGCGGCAGGCGTGGTCCTGAAATAAACGAAAATAAGATTAGCCAACTTTTCCATTCAGAGTGCTAAGCCCTTAGCTCCGATTAGAAAGCCACTATGAATAGTTGAAAAAAAAAAAAACACGACTGTCACTAGAAGTATGGTCCTGACATTCTAATTTAATGTACAACAAAGCTTTTGTAAACATTTCGTTTTATAAAGAGTTAATACAATTATCATTTTAGCATGAATTGTACAGTTTACATCCTATAGCGCGTACACACTATGCTCAAAAGTTTAAATATACAGAATTCAACTAATTTTGTTGAAATAGTAAACCATTAAAAACAATATTAATTGGTATATACAAGCTACATCCTCTTCTATCGAGCTCTAGCCTAGCTTAAAGTTCAAATATACAGAAATAAATAAACTATCCTCTTAAACAATATAAAAATAAATAATATATGACATTCAACTGGCGACCGTGACCATTATTAATTGGATACCTGATAGTGGCGCTTTCTGTTCTACCATTTTTATCGGGCGATTAATTATTGCAAACAAGAGAATTTTGGTCAAGTGAAAAGTGTTTTCTGACCAGGAGGAAAACACACTCACCTCTGTGGAGTAAAAGTCCTCGGCCCCATTGGCAGCCGAGACCAAGTGAAGGATCTGGTTGTAGCGATTGTCACGCATCTCCACGGGATTCCATTTGTTGCCCGCCATCATCTTCTCCCACTTGTCCTTTGATATATCTGTAAGGGGAGAGGGTTAATGGATTACTCTGATTCAAAGACGGGGTTAAAGATCAAAACTCACAGGCACTGGCATCCATAACGCCGCGATCGCAGATAATCAGACAGTTGCGGGTGCTCGAGTTGCCGAGCTCAAAGTAGGTGTTCTCAATTTGCACCATGGTGCGGATCAGGTTCTCTTGGAACTTGTAGGCTGCGTTTGGGGGAAGGAAAGAATGAATGGAAAATGTTACTCTTTGGACTCTTTCATCGCTTTGATGAGTTTTTTTTTGTTTTTATTTACTATCAAAACAAATAGAAATCGAAATACAATTGCAAGCAAATTCGAATCGAAGGAAATTCAACACTGGGGGCATCGAATTGTAAGAGAATTAATTGGACTTGGGCTCTGATTCAAGTGGGATGACAGTGCTGTTGATGGACGATGGCCAGTATCCAGTTCTGCGAGTTCAGCGGTGTCAAGTCGAGGCGATGAAACCTAATCTGAATTCGAGTCGATGGAATGAGTGAGTGAGTGGCGGGCGCACGAATCGAATTCAATAGAGTTCAGTTCAATCAAATTGTTGTTGTCAACGGGGAACGAAACGCTATAATTTTTGTTTCCCTCATAAACAGTTCCTAATCAGCTGGAGGTTAAAGTGCTCATCTGCTCCAGATGTTACTGTTTCAATGGTTCAAATTAAATGTGACTTTACTGCCTGTCTGCCTTCCTCCTCACTCTCAATTAGATTTCAACGATGACATTTATTTGGAAAGCAGTCATATTGCTGCTCTGGTTTAGTAATTTCCTTAAGCTTGCATTGTAGCTTGAAGCATGAATTCGGAACAATGGAAGTAAGGAATTTTTATTAATAACCTGTGCATTTTGATGTGTTTTAGACTATCGTTAAACTATATACCTAGAAATTAGTTTTTTTCGTAGCTTTCAATTTGCATATTAATGGTGAAGCCATTTATTTTATTACTTGCGGTTTAATTTTGGCATTTCCTGCTCCTTAAGATTTATTGTTTTCTGGTTGAAAGAATTCAATTCAACCAAAATATTTACCAGAAAATTCTTAAACGGAATGATTCTATTTATAAACGCTTATTTTTATTTTCGTTTTCAATTCAAATATATGTTCTTTACATTCTGTTTCCTAGATTAATGCTGTGTGTTGTCAGACGTCGGAAACCTAAAGCAGTTGAAACAAGTAACTTAATGGTAATCTCCCACTGCGTCACTCACAGCCTCAGCTGATTCAACTGACGATGAGGGGGTTTTATTCCCAGAGACAGGCAGTCACCAAAGGCGATAAGATTTCTATATTTCATAACCGCACACTTAATTCTTTGAAGCACAGTGAATGTTCTCGAGCACTAAACTTTTAAACATAACTAAAGATAGCTTATATTGGTTTTAAATATAAAACCTGAGTGAAGGTACTTGATTAAACCAAAAAGAGAGATTTGTAAAATCAGCACTTTATTTTGTGATAATTTTAAAGGTATTTTGTTTCATACAAATTTAATCATGTAATTTTGTATAGCAAAAAGTTAAATTTCACCAAGTCAGCATTTGAATGTCTGGAAACACAAGCTTCCGAAGAAGGAACAGCTTTTTTAAAATGGTCTGCCTGGTTTCGACTTTGAAAGCAAAATATTTTGCCTTATTGCAAAGATTTTTTGACAAGAATTCAACTTAATTTTAAAACTTTAATTAAACAGGACAGAAAGCAGAAGTCATATGTTGACAAATTAAGGCAAATGTTGCGAGAAACATGTTGCGCAACAAGCAAATAACGAATATTGTTTCTAGGAGTATGTCGAGCAAAAAGGAATTACTTTTTCTTAAATATTTCATATTTCATAATAGTTCACTAAGGCAAGTTCCTCTGTAGTTGTTATGAAGTGAAAGGCAATGTCAGGTGGGTTCAGTGGCTGTGGTTAGAGTCAGGTGCAATTTGGGGGAGCGACGCAACAACACTTGTTGCTATTCTCAGTCGCGTGCAGTTGCGGAAAAAAGTGCACAAAAAATGCACCACTGCCTAACGAGAGCTGCCTTTGTTTACGCATTAGCTTGTGCTTTTTTTGTTTATTGGTTGCAATTTCTATTGATATTGCGATTGCATTGAACTTGACTCGCCGCATCGTGTGACAGGTGAAATAGATCGATTTGTGGGACGCTGTTTGCTTGTTTGTCAATGTTTACCGCTGTTCTTTTTTATTTTTGTTGTGTTTTTGCTTCTGTTTTTGTTCTAATTCAATTAGCAACGATGATGCAAGAGAAAATATAATGAAAAAAAAAACCTCAAGATTGTATGTAAGCGAGTGTACGCGTATTTGCAATTTCACCAGCTATTGCGCATTAGACAATGGAAAACTGTACACTGGAAATATTAAATAACTTAATATTTATATATTCAAACTTCACATTTAGTATTCCGATTAAGTATGTATTTTGAAGATTTAAATTCAAGACTTTTTTGAAAGCCAAGGGCATTTAATTAATTCAATTTTGTCAGTACTTTCGGTGGGTATAAAGTTCAAATCTAAAAACTCCAGGAATTTTGTAAGAATATCTTGTCCCATTACACATTTCCCTTACGTTTTTAATGATTATTTGGTACCAAAAAAA